TTAGCTTGTTACGTGGATAAGAAGAGGTTAACCTGGAACCGAGACATACCACCATGAAAGGGACGACCTGAACCTGTAGGCCTGCGTCCATTGGCGCCACCCCAAGTAAAACCACCTGGCCCTGATTGGCGGTGAACTCTACGCCTTGCTGGATCAAAGGTACCACTCCAGTAGCATCAATAGTGATGGTGGTACCGACTTCTTTGGTGAGCTTTCGCACCTCTTCCGTCAGTGAACCGGCCATCTTAGCGGTATTTATCCCGTGAGTAGCACCTAAGCTCTTTGCGAGTTCGATACGTTCTGGCACACGATCTATTCCAATAATGGTCCTGCACCCTTGGAGTTTCGCAGCCTAATGTGGTTCACTCATCAGTAATGTCCACAAAGAAGTGACTGGGCATCGTTGTACTGACCATGATTGCAGATAGCCCTACTCCGCCGAGTCCAATGACTGCAATTGTGTCGTCGGCTGTAGCCTTCGCTAGCTGAGTTACCGTACCAGCCCCAGTCTGCAAGATGGAGGATGTTAATCAGTCAAGATTTGAAGAGGAGGCAGCCTCTCGAAAACAACTCACTTGAATCCCGCAACCCAGAGGTGCGAATAGCTTGAACTCTTCGTCATTTGTAATGAGGTTATTAACCTTGACCATGGAAACCTCTTGGACCTTGGTTAGTCGTGAGAAGCTTGATTGGCCGAAGAACGAGCCCCCAATCGGCTTGCTCTCCTTGATTGTTGCGAAGGCTTCCTTGTTGCCCGTAAAGTTGATGGGGGAAAACTGGGAACAGTATCCCGGTGCGCCAAACTGGCAATTGTGACATTGGGTACAGAACGCAAAGGACAGTAGGACTTTGTCGCCAGGTTGAACCTTGCTGACGCGAGAGCCGACTTCTCTCACGATACCGGCACCTGCTTTACGTTAGATGTAGAGCTTGAGGACAAGACTCCTTCGGACGTACCTTCATGGCCTAGCACTCTTGGGTAAGGTGGAACGGGAAACCCTGGAGTTCCGTCTGGTGCAGTCCCACAGCCAAGATCGGTATGACAGATTCCTGATGCTACAATCTCCACGACAGCCTCATATTCAGCAGGCCTCCCAATCGCTATCTGCTCCAGCCGCCATTGCCGTTCTCCATCGACTGGAGGATGAGAGACAATGGCTTCTGTAGAAGACTGTGGAGTAGTCGTATTGTGTGGCATTTTGCTTGATGTGGGTGCTACAAACGGCAGATAATGGCTACCTATACAGAAACTGATGGCAGACACTGAAGCTGATAACCCTCAAGCCACGAGTTGGGAGCATTGGCATCTAAAACAATTTCAGCTGTCATGGTAGGCCTAGCGCGCACCAGAGTTCGGACCGGCGTTCTCATTAGTCTATTCACGACGGACCTAACCTCCCCGCACCGCACCGTCCTTCATGGAAATGTACATCCTCCAAGGACGCGTCAAGATGTGGGAACAGCAAAAAGTACCTCGACTAGACACCTTTGTAAAGTGGATTTCCCCAGACTACTCCACATCCTGCTGTAACCCCATACTTGGTTAGCAGCTCCCCGCGTTGAGTTCCAAGTTGTGTGGTTTCTTAGAGGCGGGTGGCGACAGAGCCCAGGGAATATCGCCGCTTATCCGTAGCGGACCGCACGCACTTTCACGCCAACTATAGATGATTATAAAGTTACGAATAAACCTTGTGAACATTGGACGACTCTTAAACCTCACAGCCTTTCAAGACAGTTCCAAGTACTCGAATCATCCCTGCTCCTTGAAATCGCAATCACCATGTCGCTTACAGTGAGTAACTCTAAGATTCCATGGCTACTGGCCTTTAAGAATCAAATGCTAATTCAAACACAGCTCACTAAGACCATTCAGGCGCCGAATGGCACACACCACGATGATGATTCGCTTGCTCTTACCAAGGTCAAGAACCGTGTATCTGATGTAAACGGCCCCAGAACCTTGGAGACTACCAAGTATAGCAATGAGACTGTTGGTGACTTTGGCTGGGGACCATGGACTATCAAAGGTATTTTATATTGATCGATGCATTCGAAACGGTAAATGGAGTCACCAGAACGCTGACTCTGATCTAGATGTTCTCATTCCTCCTAATGCGGGCCGTGGCCTCATCAAGAAATACCACCAGCGTCGTACATTGTACCAGTACATTGCGCTCTCCGTTGCAGGGCTATGGACGTTTCATAACGTGCAAAGCACCTCCTATCGGGCAGCCGCTCTAGGACTGCTGTTTCCTGGTGCTGGGTTTACTGCTGTCGCCACGATTCCATCTGTCCTCACCTTCCTGGTCACCTTGGTGCTCATTCCGATATCCATCTTTGTTTGGTTTGCTATGGGAGGCATCTTCTTCCCTCTTGCCCTTTGGTTCGGTAGCAGCATTGCCGCAGGTTTCATGGCCGGCGACAAACTTTTCGATCAGTCCGCCGTGATTTGGGCAGTCTTCTGCTACGGCGGAATCATGTGGCTTATGAGCAACGCCAGCTCACTCAATGCAGCTGGATACTCGAAGGCCCAGGAGCGCAATAAGTACCTTGTGAAGGCAGTGGAGGAACAGATGGAGAATGGCACACCAGCTCCCCCTCCCGGCTCTCGAGAACTGTCCTTGGATACTTTACGCCACGTGCAGCATGTCATTGAGCGTGGTCTGAGTGCTCGCGACGATTTCAGCTACCACGATGTTATTGACCAGTTCCAGACGGGTGCTGTTCGCTATCAACTCTACGGCGTTGTTGACGTTTTGAGCTTGTACCAGTGCCACTATACTCCTGGATTCCACGGTTATCTGTCCAAGGCTTCGCAAAACGCCATTGAGAAGAGTTTGCAAAAGACTATTATGTCGTAAGTTCTCCCAGGCTATGTGTTGTAATAGTTCTTTTCTTAACCCTTTTTCGTGCAGGTACTGGAAATGGGAGTCGATCTTTGGAAGGTTCACACTGAGCGATTTCGACCCTATCAAAAAGGATAACATTGTGAGTCGCAGCTGCGCGAGCACGCCATCTTTTTCACTATACTGATATTGACGGGTACAGATGGTTACTGGATATCTCAGCTCTGCCATCGGCCTCTACGCTCAGGCATCAGGCGACAGACGGTACAACGACAAGAACGCACTGGAATTCGTTGTTGACGACGGAAAGCATTACAAAACAAACTATGAGGGTCTTGCAGATGCCCTCAACGAGAACATGACGGATAACCCATACTGCCTCTACCCCTGTGAGCCAAACTGGACTTATTCTCTGTGCAAGTATGTTTTTCAATCCCCGATGATGTAGACCGTGAAGATGATGGACGTCTAATGCGAAGATGAATAGCCTTACTGGAATGGCCGGCCTCGTTATTTCCGATCGGATTCTTGGCCGCGACCTCGGCCACAAGTTGAGGAACCGGTTTGAGAAGTCTCTCGAAGAGGAGTTTACAGAATGCGACGGAAGAATCCTCCCCATTCGCAGCGAATTCACTGGTCTCACGGTAATTCCAAACGCTCCAATACCTCATGAAATTTCCAGACTAATTCCATTTGCGTTTACCAGCTCCCCGGTCTCTGCGGCACATTGACCGATTGCATCAACGCTATGCTCCTCACCGCGTATCTACCTCATCTTGCGCATCGTAATTGGGCAATCATCCGCAAGGAGTTCATCACATACGACAAGAACGGCCAGCTCCAGGTCCTCAATCTCAAGGGCGCGGACAAAATGGACCCTGGAAGTTACCGTGCTGGCGAAGGCCCCCTCCGAGCCTTCATCGCTGGTGCTGCAGCCGAGTTTGGTGACGAAAAGGTCCGCAAGGAAGCACTGGATCAGCTTGACCATGTCTACTTCCCTGTCGAGACCACCAAGACGGGCGCTCAGTACAACAAGGGCTTGTCTGCGACGTCACAGCACATTGCTCTGATGGCCCGTCTGGTCCGGAACCGAGACTTGGCCAATGCCACCCTTCATGGGCCAAGCAAGGAGGCCCTTGAGGGACCTCTGCTGGAAGAAGCGCCTTTCCCAGACGTTCTTGTTGCCAAGGCGTACAGCCACGACGGAAGCAATCTCGACCTTGTCCTCTACAACGGAAATGAGCCCGGAGTTTTTGAACTTGGCTTTGACCGGCTACTCCCCCACCGCAAATACAACCTCAGCACCGGCGACTTTATCACTGCGGACAAGGCTGGAAAGGCAACTTACAAGGCAAAGATCGATGGACGCACACAAATCATTCTTGCCCCTGTTGTTTAGGTAAAGAATTGACAGTGATGACAAAAAGATGAGTTGGAATCAGTACGGATGAAGGACAAGTTGAGCTGGTGTATTTACTGGTATTTTATGACGACTCACTCACTGAAATTACATTGATGAAAGAAGGTTAATCACACAGCACAGAAATTGCATAGGTGGAAACTTTCCTTAACACTTTTCTTCAACAAAGATTCATAGCAATTTACCGTATTCAAGACATTTTAGTCTACTGATCTAGAACCTCCGTGGCAATGGTGTATCAATTAGGTATTTTGATACGGTTATGACTCCATGAATATATTGTTTGTGCAGGCTATACTGCTGGTTTGACGCATGAGCACTTTTATATTTAAGAAACATCAGTCTTACCACTTTACAGCATACATATAAAGATCTGGTATTACATAAGTTAACGTTCTTCAATATCCATGTAGCAATGTTAGTGTGCCACAATAAATGCCCTATCATCTGTGTGATTCTCAAATTGATCATTCAATCCAAGCGCATTGATGAAGATGTGGAAGAAATCTTTATTATGCATTCAGCGTATGATTTTAGGTGAACTTTTATTTGATGTGAGATCTAAGCAGTAGTTCTGGGAAGATCAGAAGATCGTGTAATACGTTGCCATAACTCCTGATTATCACTGGAACTTTATCGGTCTAGCACACGATTTATTTCTTCTTAAACATCTATCTATTATGAAAAGATGCCCGATCGACCTTATACGCGATTTCATGCGGTCCGTTGATCTTTCAAAGCTTCCACACTCTCGCCAAGGTTGACTTCTTCAACAGTTGGTTCCCAGTGGCACGGATCAAGTGCTTTTGATACTTGCCACTGCCAGTTTTAGGCAAAGATGAACCAACACCTTGTTCACCAAGCCAGAAAATATGCTTGGGCTCCTTGATTCGTCCTAGCCTTTTCCCTACCCAACTACGAACAGCTGCGCCAGGCAGGTTTGGTGCGTTGTCGTGGGCCTTCTTTACAAAGCACCCCACAACCTCACCGTACTTTGGATCCGCGAGTCCAACGACACAACATTCCCGAATATCAGGATGCTCAAGTAGGCAGTCTTCAATCTCCTCGGGAGAAATATTCTCGCCACCTTTAATAAAATTAGAACCCTAGTTATGATTTGGAAGGGACACTGAATCGAAAGTTTGGAAGAGGAAGAGTCCCCCAGTTAACAAAAAACTCACCACGAATGATAGTGTCTTTGATCCTGCCGGTGATGTGGCCATATCCATCTGCATCTATGAAGCCCTCGTCGCCGGTGTGCATCCACAGTACGCCGTCGTCGTCATACTTCATCACTTCTCGCGTCTTCTCCTCATTCTTCCAGTAGCCCTTCTGCAAGGCAAATCCGCTCGTGCAGATTTCGCCCTTGGTTCCTATAGGGACAATCTTCCCGTCCTTGCCAACAATCTTGGCGCCGGTGTGGGGAAATAGCTTCCCAATGCTGTTGAACATCCTGTCCTCTGTGTCGTTGAGCAAGGTAATGAATGTCACGGGGCTGGTTTCCGTCATTCCGTAGGCAATGAGCATCCCTTGCACCTGCATCTTCTCTCGGAGTTTGGCCATCAATGATGGAGCCACGTGTGAGCCGGCAGCCAAGCCTGTCCTAACAGTGTTGACTCGGTGTCTTGATTCTTCCAAGGCTTCCAATTCTGCGATGAACATGGTCGGGACTCCAAGTAGGGCAGTGGCCTTCTCTTTGACCACAGCGTCGAGGGTTTTCAGGGCGTTGAAATTATCAGATGGAAAGACCAAGACGCTGCCGTGGCAGAATGACGACAAGAAGCCCATGACCAGGCCAAAGCAGTGGAAGAGAGGCGGAGGACAGCACACGACGTCGTCTGCTGTCAAAAGCATGGAATGGCCCGTAAATCTGGCGTTATTGATCAGGTTTCTTGGGAAAATACCATGTCAGTTGCGGCAGTTCTACTTAAGCTAGGGGACATAGTACAAGGAAAAATTCTCACCGATGTGTTAGGCAAGCGGCTTTGGGTAGACCCGTCGTGCCTACAACCACAACCTTGTTAGAAGAGTATACTATGACGCTGGAAGCAGACCGAGAATACTGCTTCCGAAATGTGAGCCTGGGCCTTGCCGCTTACCTGATGTAAATTGAAGATTCAAAATGTCGGACGGATGAACATTCTGCTGCGCCTTAGCCAAGGCTGTGTTGTCCACATCCTGGAGCAATTCTTCGAGGAATGGTTCATAAGAGCTAATCTGAATCCCATTCCTATTGCTTGAGAACTCAGACTTTCCTATGATGGTGATGTGTTGAAGAACCGTCTCCGACTGTGTTTGGAGTAGCTTTTCGACATATTTTCCCATCGGCCGGCCACCGATAGTGTGGGCGATGAACAACACTTTGCAATCTAAATAAGTGATCGAGTCAATCTCCGCGCCTCAGTACATTCATAGGGTCCAATCAGGGCGTACCGCTCTGACGTATCGCAGCATGCAATTCCTGGGGAGAGTATGTGTTGTTGAAAGTTACAACAGGACAGCCGACGCGAGCCCCTCCAAGGAAGATCTCAAGGTACTGGTATGAATTGCCAGAAAGAACGCCTATGCAGTCCCCCTTCTGCAATCCTGCTCCAAGAATCGCTCTCGCTACAAGCTTACTTCGACTGGAGAGATCACGATAAGTAAGACGGGCCGACTGCCACGAGCTGACCACGGCGATTTGGTCAGGATACTTTGCGGCCTGAGCATCGGCGAGATCACCAACGGTCACTTCCCATAATTCCGGCTGCGAAGGCCCCTGCAAGATGGATAAGCGCTCATTTTGAGGTGCTCGCGGCAAGCCAGATTCCGAGATGGGGTTCATGATGGCGGCGTGGCAGTCGTTGTTCTTGACAAAGCCTGAAAGGGGAAATTCTATAGATTGAAACTCCAGAGGTATTCCGACTCGTCGATTTCATTATATGCCAGTCATCGTCATTCACCTAGGATGTGTGGTTTTGTTGCCCGAAGCGGTTTGGAGTAGTTGCGGACATCGGACCGCTGCGGATACTCGCCTGCACTGGGGTTCCGGACCAAGACCGGCAGCTTCCATTCGGTTCGCCTTGGTCACGGAAAACTGATATTAGTAAGTTCTCGATACCTTGCATTAAAACCCGATGGGTATAGGCAATACCATCTCAGGGGCTATGCTTATCTTGAGCTGCTCGTGCCTTGCCGTCTCCAACCCGTAAGATGATCAACGATGCCGGGGACGGTCCGAAACCTGAACAGCACGGCATTTGCGACGCCGCAACTCTAAGGCTTGTTGCCTCTGCTATCGCCCGCTATTTTCTCTCGCTCATTCAACTCATGGGTGGTACAATTGGGCAATCCATTCAAGGTCCAAGCCCCGAGCACGCCCTTTGGTGCTATAATACTAAATTCGTAGCCACTCAAAAGTCTATTCATTCTAATTGTATACAATCTATCTCTATTGTCGTCATTAATTCCCAGGCTATCATATCGCACTCCAACCAAAGGGGTATTACAACAAGGAAAGCAAAGTGTCGACCAGAACATGGTACTCAGGCGCCAGCCGGGCTCGCACGACCGTGATTTGGATCTCAGCAATCCCGTGTGTGAACCAGGCGTATTGCCCGATCCGGTGCATCGCGATACACCAACAGGCGTACATGATTAAGAAATATGCCTCTCCGTCACGGATAGCCTGCTTCGCATGTTCATCCAGACACCAGACCCAGCAGGCAGCGGAATCATAGAGATTTGCCAGGTCCTCTGAAGCGTAGCATCGATCTATCGAGTACAGGAGGGCACGTAGTGTGCATCGGCCTTGTTGTATCTGTCTCAGTATCTTTGGGCAAAATAGGCTCAGCCTTGCAACCTCGTCGGGCAGGGAAGAGAGAAAACGAGACTTTGATGGCGGGACGTGCTTCGGAAGGTAGGTATTGTCGAAGTCGTCGTTGTTGAGAAAATCATTTGCCTCTTCGACCATCACCTGCGTCTCGCGAACATACTGCATAAAGTACGAACCTCTTGGTAAAAGATGCGCAAGGGCGTGTGGGAGGGTGAGAATCCCGGAGAGGAAAAATGCTACATATTCCAGCTCGTTGGAATCTTCGGGGTCCGAGAAGAGCCTCGAATTCTGCTCTACAGTCAGGCAATTGGCACAAGCTAGAATTGCAGTGGTATTGTCATAGTTGGGTTCGAGCAGATGTTTCGCGTACTCGGTCGCACCCAGAGATGAGTAGCGCGCTGCAGCATGTCGATGTTCCTGGCCTGTTTCTGGGTTTTTGATTGAGATGTGATATGCGGATAGGCCCAGAAGCGCGTGGAGAAGGAACGGATACTCGAAGGCGAGCTGTGGCACGTCGTCTTGCCACAGTTTCAAAGGCTGGCACCTTCTGACGAGAGTGGGCGCTGTATGCAATGTGAAGTGATGCAGATACATCATGGCTCTCGCGTCGAAATAATTGAGCTGGATCCCTCGAGGTACTGGCTGACGAGGGCTTCTGACCGCTTCCAACTCTCGGCCGCCGATGTTTTCTGCAGTTGTGTCCACAGGCGGGGTTGATCCTCGAGTCGTACTGACCTCAAAGTAGCGTAACTTGATCCCACGGAAGAAAGTCTGCAGAGCTACGGGACTAGCTCGAACGTTGCTCTTGGTATGGACACTATGCCTCGATGCCCAGTGCATCTGCATGCCCTTGTCGGTTGCACAGAGATACCGACAGTCGTCAGCGTCACAACGAAGTCCCATATGCGTGGGAAGCTCGGGAAGCTGCCAAGCCCGATTCGGAACAGGAACATCATCCGGCTGCCTGAGATCAAGCTTGTTCAAACGTTCGACCAACGCTCGCCGCCGATGCCGGTAGATCCGGTGTCGCAGGAGGTGGCTGTCCAGGGCGTTGGGCTGGATGGCATGTCGGCATTGCTGGCAGATAACGACGCCGAAGTCCGCCAGGTATACCAGAAAGTCATTAATCTGGACGCGGGCCAGGTCCTTCATTGTTGAATTGTGGCATGGGGAATGGTGACAGGCTGATAAATTCGCCGAAGGAAGGTTGCGGACGGAGCCAGATTTGTGGTTATTGGGGGACAATCCGCTGCATGAGTCCGGATTAGGCCCCTGTCACGCCGATCCCTGGAATTCAATATTGGAATTCCATGCCAATTATTATATTCCCTACCTATGCAATGCAGAAACCATGCACCGGTGAAACGGGGCTTTGAAAGTCGCGGTGTTGAACCTGGTCTGCGGACCACGAAGTGCCTCAATCTCGTCACGATGTAACTTAGAAACCTTAGGAGGATAAGCTATAAGTAGTTATAACCGTCCTGCCGTACAATGAGTTAGGAACAAAATCAGCTTCATCAAACAAAAGTCTCTACTTCGTAACAGTGAACGCACACCTTCCAACTTCAACTTGAACAAATCGAATCCCGAATCCCAAACTTCAGCCATGGGTTTACACGACGCAGGTGTTACGGTCGAACGCAACGGCATCGAGAGATATGCTCCAACTCGTATCAATGTTGTCATCTGCGGTGCTGGTGTTGGCGGACTGCTCGCCGCGCTCGAGTGCTACCGAAAAGGACATAGTGTGACGGTTCTCGAGCGAGAGCCGAAAATGTCCATCGTTGGTGATGTTGTTGGGCTGAACCCAGCGGCGCTATCAACCATACAGAAATACCCTTACTTGAAGGAGAACATGCCCCTCAAGTTCCATGACTGTCCCATCTCCTACTACTCGTATCACGGCGAGTTCATCAACTCTGCCATGCCCGAATGGAGGGGCTCCGATGTTGAGGCAAACAGTGGACTCGGCACAGTCGGACAGATCATCACTAGACCAAACCATGCCGAAGTGATGCTCGCTCAAATCAGGCAGCTCGGGATTCCCATCGTCTGGGGCAAGAAAGTTGTCAAGTATGGGGAGGCTCCCAAAGACGGCCCAGCATTCGCTGAGACGGACGATGGCGAACGCTTTGAGGCAGATGTCGTTATTGCTGCAGACGGCGTTCACTCGGCTTCCAGAGAGATTGTCCAGGGGAATGTCCCGCCAGTGCAACGTACTGGATACTATGCTGCTCGCACTGGCTTTCCTCGATCAGATCTCCCTGATTTGGGTCCCGAGTGCCAGCACCTGTTTCCTGGAGATGGTGAGGCAGATATCAACCGCGTCTATATTGGGAAGAGTTCCCATCATGTTGTTTCTACTTCTAAAGACTATGTTGCCTGGGTGATTAACAGCAAGGCAAGTATTTGGTCTCGACCGTATTTGGTTTATGATTTCGGGTTGGAACTAACGAAGCGCTTTAGAAAGAGGATCCCTCGGAGGGAACTTCAACTAATCTGACGCCCGAGGATGTCATTGCAGTGATGGGTGACAGCTGGGACCCGGCCGTCCTTAAACTCATCAGGCACTCGCCTGGATCAATCGTCAACTGGAGCCTTAACTTTCGCAACCCACATCGCCATTGGACATCACCCGGCGGGCGCGTGGTCCAACTTGGCGACGCTGCTCATACCTTCCTCCCGACCTCTGGTAACGGAGCCGTCCAGGCCATGGAGGATGCCATCTCGATTGCCGAATGCCTTCGGCAAGGCGGCAAGGAGAATGTTGGCTGGTCAACACAGGTTCACAATGTGCTTAGGTAGGTTCCCAGCCCCAGCGATCCATCAGCGAAAAGCTCTCACACGTTCTTATTATAGGTACCAACGTGTCACCACTATTCAACGGACTGCATTTGTCAACCAGGACGATCTAGATGGCGTCGACGTCAAGGAAGCGCTCAGGCGTGGACCCGACTTCAAGGTCCGCTGGGGTCGTTGGATGTGGTCGCATCTGCCGGAACAATACGCGGCGGATCACTACTGGGATGCTCTTACGGCGATCCAAGCTGGAAAGGCTTTTGAGAACACCAACTTGCCTCCTGGTCATGTGTTTGAGGACTTCACCATGGAGCAGGAGTTGAAGCGCCAGAAGCTCAAGATTCCCTCTGGTCTGAAGAAAAATGGTGACTGGACGATTGAGTAGTGTGGTATATTACATCTGTCGGGCTTGGAGACGTCTCTCAATGCAACGATTCGACGCTCGCGAGGCCTTTCAAGAGTCTACCATTCAGAGAGTCCCAATCTTCGGGTGATTAACCAAGCTCAGACACTTTGTAACTACCCTCTTTTTATAAATAAATTCACGAACATTTATCTATCAGAGTTTCTTTAAAATTAATAGAAGGGCTTCTCTTTTCTTAAGTCTTGCAATTCGTCCACAAGATACGCTAGTCCAGTCTTTTCCTTCTCCGCCAGAACGAGCCGCAGCGACTCAGTCATTTGCATCATGAACTTTCGCTTAAACTCGGATTTCGAAATCCCAGTGAACGCGACTTTAGATAGAGAAGTATATAATATAGAAATGAGCGTACCCGTACCGGTCCTAAACAGCGGGCGTTGCGGCGTAGGTATTGCAATAAACGTAATGAAGGAGATAATGTTACTGAGATGTATAAACCTAGCTACCCAGGTCATGGAATTACCCTGCATTCGACGGAAATTATGGTTAGCTTGATTCTTTTAGATATGGAAGGACAATCTAATCCTCGTGAGTCATATTAATATCAAAGAGGAGTACTTACTATCAAGAAGGAGGAAACTGACATTCGCTCTCCTCTGTGGCCTATGAAACCACTCATCAACAGGGAGACAGCAGTCTTCCACATCGTTCCGAAAATAATGTCTACCAGCCACTTGAGGAACGTGTTGCCCCAGCTGATTGATGCCCTTCCAGTCGTTCCCTTGACTATCAAGCGGCTCAGAGTCGCTTCCCCCTGAGGCTCATCTAGGTCAACCGCTTCTTCGGTCTCCGCGTCTACCCCCACGCCTCGTGCTCGCGTAGGCAGAAAGTAATCCTGCAATATATCCCAGAAATACATCAATGCTGCAATGAGTGCAAAGCATATTAATTCTCTTGGCAAGGTGCTCTAGTGATAGCTCTTAAATGCGCCGCCCTCGCCATCGAGAGTCAGGGTGTTGTTGGTGATGGTGAAATTGGCAGAGGTGGAGTTGGATAAAGAAACAGTTCCACTATTGAAGGTGGCAGTGAAGTTTGCCAAGCTGGGTCATCCTATCTGCTTTCATCATTCCAGTTGCGATACATCTCATGACTGATGATCTGTCCAATGGCGTGGACTGCTGTGCAAAGCAGCACGGCTAAGAGGAGAGCATTCAGTCCCGGCATTTTAAACTTGTATTTACTAGGAGATGGGAACTTGACAGGTCGACAATCACTCAACTTGTAACTCATACTCATGAAGAAGAAAATGGGAATGGTCCGAACATGTAAAAGCCGACAAAATGATGCTACCCCAGCATCACAACAGTATCAACACATCAGACTCAAGCGCACCTAGATCAAGGTTGAGCCTGTTGCCCGGCCGCAATAAGGTTCAGCGCCAAAAATGGCTTGCGTGTGGCATGACTCCTTCGCCGGCAGCCTGATATTATGCTTGGGCCCAGGGAGCGGCTTCTCCCCAAACCAATGAATCCAGCGTAATTGATGAGAGGTCAGCCAATATTTACGCCCCAAATTGCCAAAATTAGTCACGAGAATAAAAGAAGAGGCGGGATGAGAGGGAAAGAAGGAGCCTGGGGACGTTCACCTCGCTGTTCTTCTGGAAGCATCCATTTCCTCGCAACAGGCAGGGGTGGGTGGGGCTCAGTCAACACGCCTTATTGTCTTTATTGTCCCTGTTGGTGAATCACTCAGTATTGTGGATATAGTTTGACGGCCGCAGGGCGTAGAAAATGTGAATCGCTAAAAAAATGCCAGAATAGTAAAGCCGAAGTAAAGTTCTACATTGTTCCACACACTCGCAAGTCACGGCAAAGTCTATCTATGACACAACAATTGCCCGGTGAGTCTCTAAGACAGACTCAAAAAAAAGCCCAGCCAATGTGAGATTGATACCATAAATACCTGAGCAACGACCTCGAGCAGCTGTTGTTTCCAGCATCCTTTCATCATCTTTCACACAACACTCCACTCCACCTCCCATCAACCAAACATACTTGCACGTCTTTCCCCAAAACTTCTTGTCCATGATGACTTCATCAACCTCAGCTCGCTCTAAGACTCTTCAGAGCATTACGTTAACAAAGATTCGGGAGTTGGAAAAGCAGCGTGAGAGATACGAATCTCAAAAAAATCAATTGCTTCAAGATGCAGATTCCTACGCCGATCAGCTGGTACGGATCAAGAAACTGCTTGACGGAGTGATTAGAATATGCCCAGACCAGAGAGATGACAGCACTGAGAACATTCATCACTGGTTGAATCAGGCAAAGTACGACAACTCAGTTCCGCAAGAGCTCATCAACCAGTATGAGCACAACCTACGCTCTAAGCTCGAGGTGCCGACCAAGAAGCTAGGCTTGGGTCACCTCTATGCTCGCTTGGTGACCGAGTGGATGGACTCATCGGCTGATGACGGAGAAGCCACGGCAGCTGAGGAAGACTCCTTCGAGCTACTCGACCGCCAGAAGCAGCGCTTGCAGGAGTTATGTGACCACTTTGAACACGTGGTCTATGAGCCGCTCGAAACAGACGAGAAGGAGATTGAACTCTATCTTCAAGATCTATTTGAACCAGGCCATGATGAAAAAGCGACAAATGATTTCAAGCAATTGAGAGGAAAAGTCTTAGGCCGATGCAGGACACTTTTCGATCACAATAACCGAGCATTTAGCCCCATTACACTAAAGTGGTGTATCAAAGGATTATTGAGAGAGGATCTATTAAGTGAGGAAAAGCAGGGCATTCTGCGAGAGTTTCTCGATGACGATGTCGTCTTGGATGAGATTGCGGATGTCCTCAATATGAGAGTCTCCGACTTCGAGAGTTGGGACTGGAACGCCGGCCCAGATGGAAGTAAGTCTACCCCGTTCCTTGTATTGCCTTTTGGAAATGAATCAACTAACCGCAACTTTGTTTAGTTCCTGTTCTGCCGAGGCAACAGCTGAATGGAAAATATAGAATCTGGATGGATGAAGACGTGCTGCAGGCCATTTTTATTTTCTATTTTGGCACCACCCTCTCTATTCTTCTCAAGAATGGCCTTGAAACACTCGTATTTTCCAACAATTCAATATGGAAAACACACGCTGGACACCAGCCCCATTCTGACCAGGAGAGAGTACGCAAGTTCTACATGGGGGTCGCCAGGGCGATCCCCTCAAAAAGTGCTGACGCTGTCCGAATGGAACAGTACAGAGACCACTTCTTCTTGTCAGCGTTGCCTGATAGTGTGGATTCAATTCCTGGAGCGTACGATGACGACGATGACGACGATGACGATCATTCGGATGCTTGTGATGATCAAGGCTCCAAGAGTACTAAACAAAGATTGCTTGAGACATTGGCTACTGAGCTGTTGCTTCACCGTTCGCTAAACGGTGAAGTTGCCATGGTTCAGACCGATCTACAATGGTTTGGCACGGGTCTATCACACTCGACAATTCTTGCCGTCCTCCGTTTCTTTGGTTTTACCAATGCGGCCGTGTCCTTCTTCAAGAAGTTTCTGGAGGCTCCCTTGAATATTCACTCGCCAGAATTTCCGAACGGAAAGGGTGCGCGAATTCGTCGTCGCGGGATGCCAATGGCGCATGCCCCCGAGAAACTAATCGGTGAGCTCATTCTATTCATTCTGGATGTTGCGGTGAACCAGCAAGATGGTATGCTCCTCTACCGCCAGCACGATGACCTTTGGTTCGTCGGCGAGCCTGAGCATTGCGCTCGGGGCTGGAAGACTCTCCAACATCTGGCTGGGATTCTGGGCTTGGAGTTCAACCAGAAGAAAACTGGCTCGGTGTATTTCAAAGAAGGGAAAAAAGACGCCGAAATTCTCAAAGCTCTGCCAGATGGAGCTGTGCGCTTTGGGCATTTAATGCTCGACCCCGAGACTGAGAAGTGGAAGATCAACGAGGATCAAGTGGAAGCCCATTTGAAACAGTTCAAGAAGCAGTTGGATGAATGCAAGAGCGTGCTGCAATGGGTCCAGACCTGGAACAGTGTCATGGGTCGGTTCTTCAGTGACAGCTTTGGCCAACCAGGGTACTGTTTTGGCGGCGAACATGTCAAGAGTATCATTGAAACCTATCAATCGATGCAACGATTCTTGTTTGCAGAGGGCCAAGAGAATGAAGAGGAAAGTAACATCAGTGTTGTCTATCATCTGAGGAAGATGATTGAGACCCGATTTGGTGTGGTCAACCTGCCAGATGCATTCTTCTATTTGCCTGAGCAACTTGGGGGCCTGGGTCTGCGAAATCCCTTCATCAGGATGCTTCAGATCAACAGGGAGTTGGAGGGAGAAACCCCCGAGAAGATCATTGAAGAAATGTTGAGAAAAGAGCAAGGGGCTTACAAAGAAGCCAAAAAAGAGTTCTACGGAATAGAGAGCGCCGAACGGCGTATTTCTCGTTACAGCAGGGGCAATTCGCAGCTAGCATCAGACATCACTCGCCTGCTCACCAAGGGAGAGCTGGAGACATTCTTCAGCATGGAGGAATTCACCAAGTGGAGGGCTAGGCACAGTTATGAATTTGCGGATGCGTACAAGCGATTACGCAGTGCCCCGGATCGTTCTAGTCCACGGCTGGATTCTGATGTCAACCAAGCTGTTAGAAATGCATCCAGCAGTTCGCGTGAAGGGGCGCATGTGGTTAACAAGAGTGAGGTCGGGTGGGCGCTGCAGATGCATCGCGAGTCTCTCAAGCGAGATTACGGACAACTCAGTTTGATTGAGCACAGGTACCTATTGCTGGGAGTGCTTGCCGCATTGAGAGGCAAACCTGTGAGATGGACCATGGTTCTATGATATATACCGTCTCATTCTCTGTGTAACTAGATGCTAGGTTCGTCTATTGGTCAAGGCGGGAACCAGCATGAATAAATATCCTTAACGTAGTCAGTCTTCCAACTCAATTTTGAAAGCGCAAGATGCTACGAGTGCGGTTTATGCAATTTACAACCCAAATACACACAGAGCCTTCCCCTTACTGACCCTGGAGCTAATCATGCCAAGCTGTTACGACGCAACGATGTTGCGAGTCAGTACCATGCAGCAAGACCAGGGGAAATAGTGTATGCCATGGGTTTGTGCCACTTGGTTAGCTCCATTCTGCCGCCAAGACGTAAAACTTATCAGGGTTCCAGGGTGACGATCTCACGTTGACATTAGTACCCAGCCGGATTTACCAAATGGATCGCCGTGAAATTCCTGATATGCGAGGCGGATAATGATCACCATCGGGGCCCTTGCAAACCGGCCATGGTTGGTCGATCATGACCCATCAGGTTCACCGGAGAGCTGAGACCTCACCGCAAACCACATTCATCCTTGAAACGATGCCGCTATGACCACCGGAAGATCGATCCTGGGCCTACCGGAGGGGGCGGGGCGGCAACTGGCCTCTGCGCAAGAGAACATCTCGCTTGAACACCTCAATGTCCCCTTTCGACAATGGTTGACCAGTGAAGTCGGCAGATCAAGCCAAATTTTGAAGACGCCAGGCTTGAAAGAGGAACAAGCAATGAATATGCCACCACATCACCTTACTAGTGGCAAGTCCGGTCGGCTTAGCGGTGAGTAGCGCAGCCTTTAAGAATCGCTGATGAAACATTGGCAATTCCTTGCCGCCCGTTAGCAGACAGACTGCTTGGCGTCATTCCCCATCTGTGCTGGCTGCTTCTCCTGATTCTTCCCCGACAGACTAGACAACGTTGCCCCAGTGGCACTGCGTGATACAGAGTAGCGAATATCCAACTGCCACTAGCTGACTTGGTATCTTGGCTTTGGGACGCGTAAACACTGCCGGTAAAGCGGTGGGCCTCAGATGCCTGTTCACCTTGCCCCGGAGTTCAGTTGGGTGTATCCAGATAATGAAGCCATGGCCATCCAGGGTCGAAAATCAGGCCTGTCGAATCCAACTTTTCCCTTCATTACTTGTTTCCCAAGCTCCAAAGACTCATAAGATTAAGATCCTACAGAAAATGGTTTCCTGCCATTCGTATCAGCGGCAGCGGGTCTGTGGCTTCGAGCTAGGCGCTGGCTAATATTAAGCTGGGTGACTATGGGATGGAGGCTGACGTTTGCTAACTGAAGCGAGTTAACCCACTATTGATCTGCAGTGATCACATCCCATCCAAGGAGTCTCCGGGGAGTGATCAATCTGGAGACTGACCCCTGATTCAACCCGATTGGGTGCACCACGGCTGTGGGAGAGCTGGGGAACTCGGGGAAATTAGGATCATCCCAGGCTGATGAAGCTCGCATAAACGCATTACGAAACGTTTACATACGTGATACTTCGTACACTTACGCCAAATTGTGCCAAACGAGCAGAATGCCGATTCCAGAAATTCTAGCGGCCAGACAAACGTGGCAAATGCCACCATCTCGCAACTATGTCTACATCGGATGGTTTTGGCAATCTTAGTACACCGTAGCATCCTCTAGCAGTCGAACCCCACGTGGGATCGGCTTCACCTACCTACGCTATCCCTCCTTCTCACTGGTATCATGGCCATTGCTATACCTAATGAAGTTCATTAACAAAGGTCCGGGTGGAGGATGTGTCTGTTTAGGTGATCATTCAAACTTGAGTCAGAATCCATTGTAGCCTAGCTGTTCTGTAGTCATATCTGACTTACCCCTTCGCTTATGCTCAAATACCCTCTATGCGTCCCTTCTTTTCTTTTTCTTGTTCCCCGCGTTGATCTGCTGCGTTGCTGTAGACTTGCCGATTGACCGTTAGTGGAGGGACGCCCTCTAATCACTCATCATGGGCGCCAAGTATGGCCTCCTCATCCCGGATACCTACGAGCTCGAGGTCCCAGACGATGTGGACATGAACACGACCAGCATATTCTGGGGTCTCTCTCTCGGCATCGCAATCTTCTCCGCCACCAAAGCAGGCAAACAGTCATATCGCTCATGGAGGCGCACACGCAGGGTAACAGCATATGTTTTCATGATCTGGGCTGTCTGGCTTTCGTCTCAGGTCTTGGGAGTGTTGGCTTGGGGTTTCCAGAGGGGCTACATCGCACCTAGCTTCGGTTTTTACTTTTGCGTCGGTAGGTTCTCTGTGGGTTGTCGTTGGAATCGTGGGGTTTGAGCTGACTCGGTTCCACAGCACTGTTTTGGGCATTTCAGATCCAGTTCCTGCTTCAGATCATTCTCAATCGGCTTGGACTCCTCATCATGGTGCCGGGGAAAGCGGCCAGGCTCAAGTGGATTGTTTTCGCCATCATTCTGGCGGTGAACATCAGCGTGTTCATCATCTGGATGCCAGCTCGCCTTCAGATCAACGACACCTGGATTCACCTGAACTTGATTTGGGACCGTTGTGAGAAGGTGATCTTCGCCCTTGTCGATGGTGTTTTGAACGGCTACTTCATCTATCTCGTCCGAACACGCCTCATCCAGAATGGATTGACCAAATACGTTCCCTTGTTCAGATTAAACCTCTTCCTCATTTTCCTTTCGCTCTCTCTTGATGTCAGTTGCTCTTCGGCCCCGGCCAGGTGAATGGCGAAGCTAACAATGTTCCAGGTCGTTCTCGTCGGAACGATGTCGCTGAAAAACAGCATGGTGTAAGTAGTGTCCACGACACACCCATAATGAAATCACAATACCGGTCGACACACATTCTAATCAACTCATCCAGCTACCTGTCTTTCCATCCTGTCTGTTATCTCCTGAAACTACAGATCGAGCTAAAGATGTCCGAGCTCATCACCAAAATCGTTCGATCAACCGGTAACCACGCGGCTAGCGACGATATTTACTACAGACATACCTCGACCAATGGGAAGAAGGGCAAGAGTGCCCCGACGGGAGGAAAATCAAGATCCAAGGTCACCGGCGTGGAGCATCGAGACTCCGTGTACAGAGGAAACCAGACTGCGGGCAATATTACGCAAATCGAAGCCGACGATCAAGATATTGAAATGCAGAATACGGGGCCCGGCATTGTCAAGACCGTGGAAACGACTGTTGCCACTTTCGCTGCCAGCGAGAGGGATCCGGATGGTGATAGCCAGAGCAGCTCGACGCGCAATCTTCATTATCCTTGACGAACGACGGCGATGATATGATGACGGCGATACTGCTAATGGTTGTGGCATATATGAACGGCCTTCCGCATACTCGAATATACACTAATGCATCTAGAAATATATACTCAACTTGATAGATATTTTAATTCATACCCAATATACTCCATTGATAATAACCAAAAGAAGCAGCATCACAAGAGCGATCAATACGTTGCTGTCAGGCGCTGCACTAGATAATCTCCGCTAGTAATGCCTGCATACTTCTGTTCACCTTCTGCGGCATATGTTCCCGGAAGCGCCTCGATAAAGCTGGAGAAGTTGGGATTGCAAAAGTAACTTGTGATTTCAAATCAGCTTCACCGTAGAGCAAGCTCAGAGAATAACATCTGCTTACGCAATACTGTACCGGGCTGGGTGAGTTGGACCCTGCTTGAACGGCGGCTCAACGACACGGTGAATCGTGCTTCGGATGGTATCGTTGCTCCAACGGGCGAGGAGGTCGCCTGCGTTGACGACAATGGTTCCCTCGATAGGCGTGGCATCAACAAACGTGCCTGTCGGGCTTCTTACCTGCAAGCCGCCTCGTGCGTCTTGGAATAACAAGGTGATGGAACCATAGTCCTATCCTCTGGTAAGCTTCACGGAGCAAATTGGTATCAATCATGGCCTACACTGTGCGCGCCGGCCCTCACAGCATTTGCATTATTTGCGAAAACGCTCGAGTCCACCGCTGGATAATGCAGAAGTCGCAGGGTATTATCTCCGACGTCGACATGTTTCTCAAAGAAGCCATCATCCAGGCCCATGCCGACGGCGATTGCGCTCATTACCTGGAAGTGCAAACCCTTGCAGAGGTCATGGAAGCTCAGCATGTCCTTTTTGAACCCAGCCATCGGTCCCTCCTCGCGCTGCGGCCACTGATTCGGATGCTCCTCTTCGCCTTCGCGCCCGATCTCGTAGCTCTCCTTCAGATCCGGCGCGGCGTCTCGCTCCTTTGTAATATCGCCGATATCCATCTGCTCCGACACCTTTTCTTTGCCGGGGGCAGAATACCCGCGATTGGCCTCGGGAGTGGTCCACGCGACGTCCATCTTGGCCTCGTCCGATTGGCGGAAGAAGTTGGCAGACATTGAGAACGTGTGCTGGACTACGTCGAGCGGGATCGGGTGGTTCTTGAGGTAGATGAAGCCGGCGTTCTGGAAGCCGCTGAGGATCTCCCCGGCCGTCTCCTTGCGCTCGTCGGGCGTTCCGTGGAGGAATTTCGAGAAATCGATGAGCTATACCGGCTGATGTTAGCTAGATATGCAGTGCGCAGCGCTTAACCGACCTACAGGAATAACAAGGCCCTCCTTTTCGACCGCTGCGCCGCCCATCCTGGCGATTTGTCGTCTCTCAGGCGCTACGGAGGGCACGCTCGGTCCAGTTCTCGGGCGCTTGGAGCAGCCGCTGGTTGTCGCGACTGGTAATGGCGAGGCTCGCTGGGAGATGATTGTAGAATACCTGGATATCTGCGATCGCGGCGTAAAGCTCCTCAGACGGACAAATGGCGTCGTCAATCTGACTCTGGGCATGATGGTAGGTTCGGAGACAGTGACGTGAGGGGAACGACTGAGATCAACGGCTTGTCTCGGTTACAGCAGGGAGGGGGAACGCCACACCGAGAAGCTGATATGGCCATGTCTTACTTTTTGTTTCCCTTATCTCGCATGCAGGGCAGCTGGCTCTCCGCACGTCAAAGATGCGATAGGCTTTGATAGCAGGGTGACAATCGGGCATCTTAGGATCCCCCCTGTCGGTCCTCCCATGTGTTCGTTCCTTTTATATCCCGAGTCGCCATCCCGGAGCTCGCCTGTCCGGAGTTCGCCGTCTGCCTGTTCGAAATACGTGAATCTCACCCTCATTATTGATGTTATCACAGCTGGAATGATATCTCCATCAACAACACGGACGTCATTGATATGCTCGTTGGAATCCCATTCGTGGGCAAGTAAAACCCACACCTCCACTCAATTTGGTCCCTGGAAAGGCCAAAATGCGGGGTTCCCCGCCGGAGAACACCACTGAAGGCTTGAGCGCGTCTACGATATTTATTGGCAGTTAAGCTGCTGCTTGAGCACCCCCTTATTGCACGTCGGAGCACTACGTACAGCTTGATGGTTATAGGATTCATATTTAAAAGAGGCTCTCATGATTATACTTGAGTTAGAATTTGCTCCAAGAAGGGCCAATTATATTTAACATTAATTGATTAATCAACACGTAGAGGAAGACGACGAATTTGTGAGGACAGGCCTCCAGCACAATCAGAATTTTCGCAGAATCCCATATGAATTTTTTTAATTATTTGAAATCAAACTTGCTTAATTAAAAATACAAATTGGGTCGATTTTTGCTCAATTCTTTCGCCTTGCCCTCCGAAGCCTGCGGAGTGGTCCCCCACGATGGGTCGATCAATGTCGCGGGGGCTGAATTCAAGTCAACAGGCGGCCCTGTCACTTCGCTTTGGGATGCCAGGTTTGGAGCGTTATTGAAGGATGATGCTGGGCTCAGGTCAGGTCCCTGGCTATAGTGGCTGGATTGCCAAGCCGCGTCATGGGGTGACAGATTTTGTTGCGAGCTATGAGTACCGCTTGCCGGGGTTGCTGTTCCGACATGCTGCTCATGCCATCTCCTAATGTCCATCATAGACTCCAAAGGAAAGCTGTCCCACTCCTTGAGCCTGTCGGCTTTACTTTGGTCAGAGTTCTGTGCGAGGTTCGAGGAATAGAATGTGCCTTCGTCAATGTAGTGGAGAAGGCGATGCAGAGCATGTTCTGTTTCTGCTAGGCGAGCTTCTAGTCTGTTAATGAAACCAATTGGGATTCCTCTGTGATTACATTTGATTTGATGATCAGCATGGATAAGCGAAGCTAGAAGTCAAAGTTGCTCAATTACCGTCTGCTCTGCTCAGGATAGTGGCAGTTTGCCGGGTCATTGCTGCACTGTTGGCAATTTGGTCTAGGGAGAGCATCGAAATTCAGAACACCAATCCTTGGCCATGATGTATAGGGGGTGCATACAGCTGACGATCGCACTATGGGAAAATATCAATCATCGGCATCAACCCAAGATGCTCGGAGTTGGGGAGACCTCCACCGCCAAGAGACCGTGGTGGACCTGGACCTGTGTGCATCCGTACCTTGCGTTTTCTTTGTCGGCAATTGGTACAAGCAATTGGATTCTGGGTCGGACCAGAATCCTCTCGTACCACTAATTCGTTTTCGGCCATGTGAATTGGCGCTTGGAGGCGAGAAGAGCCCCACGGTCGAACTGAAGAACTGCCAGAGGAACAAGGGCGAACCCATGGCCATCAAAGACAAATAAAACCCCGCCGCTCGGACATTTCATTGTCCGGCCATCCATTGCCCCATCCGGACCCTAACATTCTTCCCCGTGACTCAACGTCAGTCACGGGTCAACCGCCGTGGGCGAACCAAACAACGTCCTCCCTATTGTTGGAACTGGTTGGATCCATATGCACCAATGCACCGGCTCCATCTCGAGGCTGGCTGCAATGGATGCTAATCAGTCACCCCTGAGCACCTCCGACACTACCTCCTGCTTCACGCCATATCCCGCAGACTCCCGGAAACGGAAGCGATCTCTGGCTGGCTCCCAGCCTCCTCGTGAATATGGATTGATGCGAGACTCTGGCGAGCATGGTGTTGCTCGTTTCGTCGGCAGCGGCAGCGGCATTCACTATATACGCGCAGTGTATCTGAGGCTTGCCCGCAAGTCGGCGTCCAGGACGGCCCAAACCAACACGGCTGCCGTCAATACCTTGGTCCCAGGCGAAGACGATCAGCTCCGACAGTCACCTTCAGACAACTTCGATACTAGGAAGCCGATCTGGAAGCCCAACGAGGTCTCATCTGTCCCATTGGCCGACTCCCAATCGCCGAGCTTCGAGTCCTTGATTGACTGGTCCAAGAGTTTTTTCGAGTCCTGGCATCCCGTCTTACCATTCCTCCATGGCCCAGATGTCCTTCACATATTCGAAGAGGCCTCTTCCAAAGGGGTGGCGTCGCTATCTGTATTGGAATACAACATCTTGAGATCGGTTCTGTCCATTTCGCTAGCAGACAGTCGCCAAGGAACGCCCTTATCAAAACCAATCCCCTCCCATCTCGTCTTCCAGAGCGTCGAAGAAGCAGTGACCAGCTCTCAATTCGCTCTCAGCCAACCAGCATCAATCCGAGCAACACAGGCAGCCCTCTCCATTCAGCTCTTTCTCACATCCATGCTATACCTCAACGCCGCTTCGCGACTAGGCGGCTTGATTGTCCGAATGGCGTTTCACCTCGGGCTCCATCGATGCCCGGCGCGCTTTGGCTTCTTCGGTCCAGAGGACGCGTCCATCAGGCGCCGGGTGTTGTGGTGCATCTACATCCTGGAAAGGTTTCTCTGCCAGTCTCTTGGACTCCCATTAGACATCCGAGATGACGACCTTGACGTATGCTATCCAGGAGAGGAGCGACATGGCGTCCCAGGTGCCAACAACGACGGAGTTGAAAGGCTCCAACTCCTCACTCTTCTGGCGAAACACGCTCGAATACGAGGTCTGATATTGGAACTACGAAACAAATCTGTCCAGCAGCGACAGGACACCGCGGACAAAACAGCCGTTGTTCAGACTGAGTTGGCCAGATGGGCCAACGAGATCCAAGATGTGGAGGAGGAGGAAGAGGAGGAGCTTGATGCCGTGGAGGAATCCGATAGGCCGGGTCATCGTCCCAAATTATCCCCCAGCCACCGTCTCATGCTCTTGGTTCTGAAGCACGAGTCGACGATATGCTTGAACCGCCCCGCGCTGGCCTCTGAACCTTCTTTGCCTTCGTACTCCTCGGCCTTCCAGTCTTGCATCTCCGCGGCGAAGTCCATATGTAGTATTTTTAATCGGCACAAGCGCAAGTATAAACTGGCAAACGGGGAGTCTGGAAAACGACTCGGCCTGCCATTACTTTGGCCCTCGTTCACCTGGTCGATCTGGATTAGCGCTTTTGTTCTCTTGCACGCGACCTTTGAGAATCAGGTCCCGCTGAGCAGGGCGATGAGGTAACATTCCCCTCCATCGGGTATTGTTTGGAAAGATTCTAAACTTCTTCTTCAAGGCATGCGATGGTCGGAAAGGAGACTCTCAGCCATTTGGCGATGCGACAAACGGCCTGGCCGGAATATTGCCTCGAGGCCATTGACGAGCTGCTCTCGGCGGTGCAGGAAATGTCGCACCATCCCCCAGCCATCGGGGATCTACCGCCCACAGTTCCCTCCCACCAGGGACACGTCGACAAGGGCGCCTCCCAGCCAGCATCTCTTGGTCCGCGGAACAAGCGGCCTGCCTCGGGCGCCAGGTGGAACATGTCAAGCGGCGTACCAGACGGTAGCGGTACGCGACACAGTTTCCACGAGAGTCAAGGCACCGGTGAGGTTCACGAGCGAAATCACGGCACCGTCTCATTGTCAGAGCCGAGTATTTCGCCGCCGCAGCCAGGTCTTCACGAGTCTCACGGATCATTGCAGCCGCGGCCACAAATAACTTCAGGCGTGAGCTACGCCATTAATACTCCTACTTCCAATCGTTTCGACGTGTTTAATTCGCAAGGACCGGGAATTACTGATACGTTGGGTGGCTCTGCCGCTACCGGGCCTCTTGAGGGGCAAGACTCTCTGATCTGGTATGATCAGCTGTTTGCTAGCTCTTTTAATGCTATTGATAACCCATTCTTGGTGGCATCGGACTTTTAGTGTATGTTACTATGGAGTTTTTAGGGATGGAGTCTGCAAAAACGGAGAGGAAATTGACTGCATCATGGGTGTATTAATTGTAAGACAACAAAACTAATTACTTCCCTATACAATGAAATACTACATCAATACAAGAATAGAAAAGATTAGTATTAAATTCTAGGCATTGGTCTAATCTATAGACACTCAAATATTCAAAGGCTGTCTGGCAGAGAGTATCAAGATGTAGGGTAGGTGGCTTTGAACGTATCTGATGTAGCGGATAATTGTATGCCCGAAGGTATGCAAAATTTCCCTGTCAATGAAAGATGACTAAAAAGACAAGCTAAAGAAATGGCGTCAGTGCGGACAAAGAAGTGTCCGCCGTCAGTCCATCTTCCACCCGCCAAGTCAACGCGTTACCCGAATCCCCACAGGGAGGAGACAGACGACGGTTATGCCATCGCAGCTCCGGGCTCGGCAGCGAGCTTGCAGCCATAAAAAAGAGTAGCTGGGAGTTGATGTCGTGCATATTTTTATTTGCTTCCTCACCTCTTCTCCATCTCTACGCCGGCTTATAAGCAAGTCTCCATCACATCGTATTAATCATGTCTCCCAGCGCCCACCCCGTGAAGAAGGCCTATAGCATTGCCTCGATCCCCGCCGATGGTATTGGCCCAGAGGTTGTTGAAGCTGGTATTGAGGTTCTCAAAGCGCTGTCTGGAACTCTCCAGTCCTTTGACTTGGACTTCACCCACTATGATTGGAGTTCAGACACATACAAGAAGACTGGAAAGTACATCCCTGATGGTGGCCTCGAGCAATTGAAGAAGCACGATGCCATTCTCTTTGGTGCTGTCGGTGCCCCTGGTGAGTCTCATATTTGAACGACAGTCACGCAGCATCTCAAGTCTGGCAACTAATCGAATGAGTTAGACGTTCCCGACCACATCTCTCTGTGGGGTCTTCGCCTGGCCATCTGCCAGCCTTTCCAGCAGTATGCCAATGTCCGCCCTACCAGGGTGCTGAAGGGCACTCAGTCTCCCCTCCGCAACTGCAACACCGGCGATCTTGACTGGGTCATCATCCGCGAGAACAGCGAGGGTGAATACGCCGGTCACGGTGGTCGATCCCACCGCGGTCGTCCCTGGGAGACGGCCACCGAGGTGTCCATCTTCACCCGCCACAGCGTCGACCGTATCATCCGGTTCGCTTTTGAGATTGCCCAGAAACGCCCGCGCAAGCTCCTTACCGTTGTTACCAAGAGCAATGCCCAGCGAAATGGCCTGGTCCTGTGGGACGAGGTCGCCGCAGAGGTCGCCAAGGACTTCCCTGATGTCACTGTCGACAAGATGCTGGTTGATGCCATGACTACCCGCATGGTTCTCAAGCCCGAGAGCCTGGACACCATTGTCGCTACCAATCTTGTAAGTATACCCCGAGTGTTGTGAAGAGGCACCCCTTTATGCTGTACTCTCTTTGACTAACGTGGATATCTCTAGCACGCTGATATCCTGTCCGACTTGGCTGCTGCTCTGGCCGGCTCCATAGGGATTGCCCCCACAAGCAACCTGGACCCCACGCGAGAGAACCCGTCCATGTTCGAGCCCATCCACGGCTCTGCCTTTGACATCACCGGAAAGGGCGTCGCCAACCCCGTCGCCACCTTCTGGACCGCCGCGGAGATGCTGGAGTGGCTCGGCGAGGGTGAGGCCGCGCAGAAGCTGATGCAGGTCGTCGAGACAGTGTGCGAGGCGGGCGTCCTCTCTGCCGATCTGGGCGGCAACGCCACGACCAAGGAGGTTACCGCCGCTGTTGTGGCTGAGATCAAGAAGAGCCTGGGGAAGTCTGCGTAGAGATGAGCTCATGATGTAAGCGGATATGATAGATTATGCATTGTAATTGAGAGGCATTGAGAATAACTACAATGATCTGTTGCCTTATTGTGGGTGAACATTTTGCCGTTCAGGGGCGGTACTTGCACTAAATGGCTTAGAGACGGTCTCTATAGTCTATATAACGGACGTATGGTCCTGTCTGTATGTTTCTTTATAGCTATTGCTTGTAAAGATTGGGTCAGGGGGAAATGGGATTTATCTAATTGCAGAGGATCGTGTCAGGGCTGTGGTCCAGCTGTTGCAAGACCCTTGTTGATCATCCGCTTGGCAATCAGTTAGATGACGCGTTATCTCACGCAAGGATCCATCCGGGATTCGCGGAGAAACATCCTGGGAATCAATCAACGATGTGGCCCTCTCTGGGGATGAAAGCAGATCGATTCTGATTCAATTAAGCTTAATGGATTGATCCGCGCCAGCGCCTTTAGTTAAATTAGTTTGTATGTCTGAATCCTGAAACATACGCATAAGTTCTATGACGATGCGTCACGTGGAGTCTCGATGCGCATTAACTAATCATGAGCAATCATGAATCATTTTGCCCCTTGCATATATTCCCATCCCTCGGATCTCAATTCCTCTCCAACCTGTGCCAGCCCATCTTACGCCATGGTGAAGCGCACATTGCCATTCCTTGCCCTGGCAGGACTGCCCAGCGTGGTCCTCGCTGCTGACTGCGCCAATACTCTGACCTTTGGCTATCCCACGCCCGCCGTGGCAGACGGCTGGGCGTTCCGTCTGGTCGCCAATGGCTTCACCAAGCCCCGCGGCCTGGTTTTCGATAACGATGGCGGTTTGCTTGTGGTTGATTCCGGCGTAGGCTTGGTCCACCTCACGCTGAAGGATGATGGGGGGACATGTTTGTCAGTGAGCGAGAAGAGGACGCTGATAGGCAATCGAAACGTACGTTTGCCATTTTACCGAAGGGAGATTGTAGGGCTAGATAAGAGAGTGTTCTGAGCCGCTTCAGATTGAGGGAGACAGGCCTTTGGTTGCATCTGCTTACTGACACATGATTTTCCGAATTCTAGCTAAACCATGGAGTCGCTCTATCTGCCGATGGCAGCGCCATTTACGTTTCCACATCTGACAAGGTATTATCCTGGGGATACAACAGCACATCCGTTCAAGTGACTGGCACCTCCCGCACACTGGTCAAGGGCATGGCCAGCGGCGGACACACCACTCGTACGCTTCTCGTGTCCCAAAAACAGCCCGGCATCCTTCTCGTCTCCCGCGGAAGCGACGGCAACATGGACATGGGCACTCTCGAGATCGATTCAGGCCGTTCTCAGATCCGCAGCTTCAACATCTCCCTCCTCGGCCAAAACAGCGACGGGATCGAGTACACGGATGGCGACGTCGTTGGCTGGGGTCTGCGCAACTCTGTCGGTGTCGCCGAGCATCCCTCCACCGGCGGTATCTGGTCTGTCGAGAACTCCGTCGACCAGCTGCAGCGCCAAGGCGAGGATATTCACAACGACAATCCTGGGGAGGAGCTGAACTATCACGGTACTGCGGAGAAGCCGGACGGTCGTAATTACGGATATCCCTCGTGCTTCACGGTCTGGAGGACCGACGATTTCCCCAACATCGGCTCTCTCAAGACGGGCAACAGCTTCGCTGTTGACGATGCAGAAAATTCGGTGAACGATACCACCTGCAACGCGGATTTCATTTCACCGCGCCTTGCGCTTCCTCCGCACACGGCGCCTCTTGATATCAAATTCGCCGAGGATGGTTCCACCGCATACGTCTCTTTCCACGGCAGCTGTAAGTAATACTTACTTCATTAGAGCATCAAGATGCGATTGGTTAAGGCTTAAAGAAAAATAAGACTGACAAATTGATGACCAACCCAGGGAACCGAGATGAGCCAGCTGGGTACCGTGTTGCCAGTATCGCCTTCAAGGACGGCCAGCCCACGGCCGCCAACGACAGTCAAGATGCCGCCGTTGACTTGTTGACGAATCCTGACCTGTCCAAGTGTCCGGGCAGCTGCTTCCGCCCCGTCGGCCTTGCGTTCGATTCCAAGAAGCGCCTGTGGCTCACCTCTGACAGTACGGGAGAAATCTTGGTACTCGAACACGGTGGTAACTCAACTGACACTGGGAGCTCGGGCAACGATGACAGTGCCGGATCGCGATATTGGCCGAGCAGGGCTGTTGATGGAGTGATGGCAGTGGTATTTGTAGTTATCGCTGTAATTTATTTGAGCTAAGTGGTACAATATGGCCTTGGGAAAAGGACCTAAGTAAACAAATCTATCATGGTTTTATGAATTCCCCTTTACAATTTTATTCTAGATGTACAAGTATGAGCTGAAGCCGCCGAAATCATCAGTCGTCCTCTTGATCATGTCCACAGCAGAGCGATCATACTCTCTCGCGAATGATTCGATCCCCGTCATGGAGGGTCCCGAGACTGAGGGACTCGCTCCTGTCAAGGTCTGGGAAAAGTGAGACATTCTCAGACAGATTCCACGGGAATCACTCTCCTCCGAGCCACCGTTTTCGAAATCCTCCAGAGCCGCCATGGCCGCCTGCTGGCAGATGTACTCGATATCCGAACCTGTATAACCGCTGGTACTCTCCGCCAGCTCCTTCAGATCGACAGACTCGTCCATCTTCTCCTCGCGCAGACAAATCCTGAATATGTTCTGCCGCGACGGCGTCGAAGGCAGGCCCATGTACAACCTATTCGGTGCCCGTCGCAGCACGGCCGGGTCCAGGTCGTTGGGGAAGTTGGTCGCCAGGAGCAGCAGGGGGGAGGTGATGTCGTTCTCGAACCCGCCAAACTCGCCTAGCAGCTGGTTCGTGATCTTGCGCTCCCAGTTCTTGTCCGAGTCCTTGCGCCGGCCGAAGATGCTGTCCGCCTCGTCGATGAAGACGATGCACGGGTAGATCTCGCGCGCCAGCTTGAAGAGGGCCTGGATGACCTTCTCCGCCTCGCCGGCCCACGTCCTCTCGATCTCGGCGGCTGAGATTCGCAGCATGACGGAGGAGGTTTCCTTGGCGATGACGCGGGCGAGGTGTGTCTTGCCCGTCCCGGGGGGGCCGTAGAGGATCACGCCTCCCATGGCGGCTTTCTTGAGAATTCCGGTGAGTTCTGCTCGGCGGTTGAGAAGAGAGATCATGCGCTGCACACGAGATTTGATGGCGGGCTCGACCTCGATGTCTGACCAGCCTTGGGAGAGTTCACCTACAGAGTCATGGTTAGAAAACGCCAGGAATTAACTTGGGGGTGCACGGGTTAGGAGTGCTTACTTGGATGTACTAGAGTCTTCATAATCTCCAGATCCGCATTGAACTCGCTGTAAGACTGCTCAGCTTCCTCTGTGACCCTTTTGATGACGCGAACCACACGCGGAGGTAGGTCGGCCGAAGAGCCCCTCTTTGCGTCTCTCTCGTTCCATTTACTCAGCGCCTCAGATCCCTCTGAAATTTGCTTGAGGGCTGCAAGGATATCCTCGAGCTTGGCTGCTTTCTTTGTCTTCTCCAACATACTCCCTACCTTTATCGACTCAGGTATAGCGTGGAGTTTGCCGCCTCTGAGATATTTGGTGATGGGGTTGGAGTCGGAGTCGGGAATATTCCATTCCGCATATGGTTGCAGATGGGGCAAGCTTCTGTAATTCTCCTTTACCCTCATCTCTCTCTGGAGTTTCCTGATGCTGTGTCTCTGGGAGGCAAGGTCTTTATCGGAAGAAAAGGAAGCAACTTGTGCCAGCGATCTAATAGGGAAGATGGGTAGTTCGAACAAATTGGGCCGCAGCCCAAAATGACGCACGCTGAACACGCTGGCTCGGGGGAGCTCTGGTTGGGAAGGCGAGTCGGGGAACAGGCTTGCTGACCGCTTTCCTGAGCTGGGTGGCGGCTTGTCAGCCCTTGACGTCGTTGTGATCGTGATCATTCTTTTCTTGAGATGTGGTGATGCTGCCTTTAGCGCTTTGAGGCCTCGGAAGGCGAAGTTGGTCACATGGCTGAATTTTTCAAGCTGAGGGATGACAAGAATGATTGGTCGAGAGTTCTTGCCTTTGGGGTCCTGGAAAGTGAAATGACCTCGGGGTTGAGGCTGTTCTGTTGGGGGATTGTCTCCGCTGTTGCCTGCTTCATTGTCCCCAACTTTCGCGCTCTTGTCGTCGCTGCCACTTTTCTCCTTACCTTCACTATCCCCTTCTCCATTCTCCTTTTCATCGTCTTTCTCTCCAGCCTTCTTCTCCTCATCCGCCGCTACTCCATTCTCCTTCACTTCACTCTCCTTCACTTCAGTCTCCTCCACTTCGCTCTCCTTCACTCCATTCAGCTCCACCTCCATCTTCTTCTTCTCCTCTTCCTTCCGTACTCCGTTGATCTTGACCCCTTTTTCCTTGGCCTCACTATTTTTCACGCCATTCTCTTTGGTATCGCTCTCTTTCACCCCGTTCGTTTTTACCCCATTCTCCTTGACTGCGCCCTCCTCCACACCATTCTCCTGAACCTCGATCTTCTTCACTCCGTTCACGCTGGCATTGTGCTCCTCGACTTTACTCTCCTTGATCCCATTCACCTTGGCTTCAACCTCCGTAGTCTCAGCCTCATTGATTAAGTTCGCCTTGACCTCAGCCTTGGTATCCTCAGCTTGCTTCATTTCATCTGCCTTCTTCTTGGCCTCTGCGTCTTTCTCGTCTAGAGCTGCTCGGGCATGTGGCGAGGAAAGGATAGCGCGATAGAAGGTGGCAGCATTCTCTTTGATCTGATTCTTGACTGGAGGAGACTTCAAATCTTCCGCTGGCTCTTGCGGTCGGGTGCGGCCCTTCCTAAGATCCATCAGCCATAACAACATGGATGAGATCGTGCGAAACTCGGACACCGTGCGCGAAAGTGCCCGGTGAAGAGATGAGTGGCGCGATGCCATGGATCTTCTTGGGGCGAACGCCTGCCCGGAGTATATAGACGCCATCTTGTCACTCCTATGGCTCAATAGATACGTCGTCTTATAGGTGGCCGGTGGAGGCGGCGGGGGATCGCTGATGGGTTTGCGTGGTTTTGACGTGGAATCCAAGGACAGAACAGATTCGGCACCGGACTCCCAATCCGTATCCGCGTCGGATTTTGAACCTGAGTCTGGGCTCGGGTCTGAATCTGAGCCTGAATCTGAGTCCGCGTCGGAGCCCGAATCGGCATCCGATGCCGGGGTGGAATCATTGGGAGGGCTCAAGCCTGAATCACTCTTCGGTTTCTTCTGGGGCTTCTTGGGCTTTGGCTTCGGTAACGGCTTCAGAAAATGGTGGAGAGATCCCCTGTTTCCTAGCGGGGGCTGGGGGATGTGACGCAGGTAGAAGTACTCTGCAAGGTCGTGCAGGTCGTCGGAATCCAGGACAATCATATCGGCCTCGACGTCGCTGGCCAGCTTGGCTACCATGGATACCAGGAAGTCGCGCCCTGGATAGTCGCTGTCGGGAAGCCTTAAAAGAACCGCGTCATCTGTGAAGGACGCGGCTTTGCCCTCTTTCGACTTTGCCGCGACAAGTCCTAGGAGCGCATCGTAGATACACGGCTCGACCTCGTACCGGTTGCTGGCGGCTTTCTTGGCCGAGCCGTCCTTTTCATTGCGCGACTTTGCGCCCGGTTTCGGAGCCTTCGCGACAGGCTCCTTTGTGCTCTTCTCCCCGCGCAGGGAGATTTGCGCTGCGAGGCGGTTGATCTCGGGCGCGGTCTTGACGCAGTTCCTGAGGAACCAGTCCGGCGCAGGGACGACGGGGCTGTCTGCGTCCATGGCGCTGTCGCCGGATCGAGGGATGGCAGCAGGATGGAATAGCGATCCGTGGCGTCTGTGAAGAGACCAGTGCGCACCGTTGGTCAGCTCGCGGGGAGCATGGAGGATGGCTGAGGTGTTTGGGGATGCGCGCGTGAGGCAGACGGTGGTTAATGCCTACAGCAATTGATCCTTGTCGAAGCTGAGCGCGGCGAGTTCCACAGCGGGGCACGACGCATTCATGTCATACCTAATCATAATGAGCTGGAGGCCTTTACTTTCATCTCATTAGTCACTGGCCGTGTCTGCCTGCTCAGGCGCTGCCCGAGTGACGTGGCAGTGCTGCCAACGGCCAACACCAGCGCTGCACAAGAGGCTGAGCAGGCGCGAGGGTAAGCCGATGCCAATGCACAAGGTCTGCAGCCAATGGATCAATCATTTGATGGCAAGTCAGCAGTGTGGTTACAGCGCCACCTCAACTGCACCCTTTCCTTTATTCTCTCAGCGTCCCCTCGCCGAAGTAATCTTTTAGGAATACGTGATCGTCTCTTAACACTTAGTTGCATGGCTCGAAAATTGGAGACGGAGAGGCGTTAAACTTCCGGCAAAGGGTCGATGCTGAACCTAACTTTGTTCATTGGAAAGCTTGTCTACCTCCCGGCAGGCTAGGAAATTTAATTTGCACACTTTGGACCTTGAATTTATATGAAATTACGTATGTTAGAAAGCCCGGCATATCTAGTTGTTTACATAATTGTAATAGATTGGGCTTCCTCTGCGCAAGTGGGCATATTAGGCGCAAGCAGAGGAACATTGTTAAGGTAGGCAATAGCCGAATATGTTCCTTTGAAGATAATCCTCATAATTATAGAATTTGGGGAGACCCTAGAATACGGGATTTTAGAAATTGCATCCCGATACACTTTATGGTACTAGCTCCTTAAATAAAGACACTTGAAATTTATTATGAGCATTTGCCTAGAATTTACAGTCAGTGCAACAACCACACCGGATGGCTGATGCGCGAACGGAGACTTGCTCTATTTGTTGGAGATTTTGCCATGTTCGAGGAAGAGGGTCGGGATGCATGAACAAAAGGTATCGTATAAGATAACATCAGATGAGTACTGTATAGCCATACGACGGCCAGTAGCAAACCCCAGGCATCGGTTCACCGACGTACCTACATAATGAGACAAAAACCCCATACATAAAATAAAGGTTGAAATTATTTATGCAGCCGAAGAGCAAGAGATTTCTCCCTTGATTTGACTACATATTTCCCCATGCCATTGGTCACTTGGTCTGGATTTGGCACACTAAGCCCAACAATACGGTAATACCACTTCAATGACAACGTCTTGACGCTATACGAGGTTTAATCTGTCAAATACATGAACTTTCGGATGTTTTCACATCGCCCACCCCGGTACAGTTAATTTCCATCGGATGCTATTCCCATGATGATGCTGATTTATGTTTATCTCACAGTCCCAGTCTTAATACTTCAAGTTCAATTATCGGGTGTTTTTGAGGAAACAATTACAAATTGAATAGAGGCATACATATTCTGGGCCTAAGATTTACAAGGGGATGGATCAACTGAGCTATAGAAATGCCTGGCATATTACTTTGATGCACTCTTAGGTAGTTCACGATCCGTATTTCTGCAGCTAATTCTTAAGATAGGCACAGACCGACTGGTGAGCGTGAAACAGGATTCATTTGAAATCCCCTAAGGCATAATAGTGAGCCAGCTGATTAACTACATAACCCAATAGCACAGTATTCTATACTATGTCGCGTGCTTTTCATACCAAGCCTGCTTAGGGCTATGGCCGATGCAGACGACGTCGAGCAAAGTTCATACCCGGATCTGATGCCACGACGCGTTTTTACAGCCTAATTAGAAACAATCAAGACTTTCAGTACCATTTAGAGGCCCCAAGATGCAGCCACTGCCGAAGATGCGGATAGGTTTGTGAACTTGAACTCATGCACCGTGTTGCTAGAGCCGGGCTTGCAAGATGACGGACATGTCGGATATTTTGCAGAAGCTGTTTCTGACATTGTGGCGTTGGAGTCTGATGTTAATTGGCTCTGGGAACTCAAGATGTCTTGGCCTAATCATGTTCTAAGCCAAGGGAAACCCAAAGCTGCGTTTCAGTATTCACTCAGCCCTCCTCATATGACATCATTCGACTCGCCGCCCCGAATTTAACCCAGGCACATCGCTTTGGTCTGGAGATACTTTTCAAGATCAAATTACGGAGGTCATGCTCGAGGGAATTCTCGACATTTGATTCAAGTTCTCTCAAGGGCTTTGGTATTATCGGCTTTTCTACGAATGCTCAAGCATGACTTCTTGGCACGGAGCAGGGAGTGCGGTGATGTCGTAGAAAATCAGTATCTTCACATGCTTGCAGAGTATCTAGGCACACTGCCTGAGTTGCCTGCTGGATGGCAGCAAGTTAGGCGTTGGCCTACCAATGTCCCCTCGAACACATGTAGGAACTGAAAGCAAGAAAGCCACTCGCAATGGTTGCTTGTTTCTATTGGCGGACTGGTTTTGATGAGCCAGAGGAACGGGGTATTTTCAGGATGAATTTGACAAACTGCACAATTTTAGAATAACTAGAAGACACGTGGAAAGATTATCTAGAATCCCCCTTTTCAGAACTTTACGAAGAGGGATATAAAGTGCACGATCCAACGAATAATGAAATCTAAAAAATTGGGGGCAACCTCGTCTCGTCGTCAAAAAGAATCTTGATCAATTGTAATGATCGTAAGATGTTGGCATAAGATGATGCTACCCCTTGAGATATCTTAGAGCCTGATAATAATAAAACAAAGCTTATTTAGAAGCTTACGTTAAGTTTACCTTGCAGGATACATTAGTGGAATGACCTGAAACTCGATGACATTATAGCTGAATCCACCAGGGTGATGGTCCAGAAGAAACCGCTGGCCTACTGATTAGGACGGAGGATTGATTTTGCGTCAATGCAAGATTTGCCGTGTGGCAGGGTAGCATCAGCCGAAATCGCCATGCAGACGGGAGAAATGTTTCAAGTACAACGCTGAGATGATTTGGCTGTATAAGGGCGGATGACTGCCGGAAAGTGGGAGTAGCTCATCATCAGGAACAACCGGGAATGATAAGGGCATTCGTTCCACATATCGCGAAACCAATTTTCTCACGGGTGAATGCATGGCGGCTCTCCATAATCCACCAATAAAGCTTGTTCTGGAAAAACTAAGTGGTCGACGTTGACCCTGATATCATCTTATATTCTCGGAGTCCAATCTCCGAGATCTGTTTTGGAAACTCGTTGGCACTGTTTCGCCGTCTCATGTGTGGGCCAGATACACCGACAATTATTTATGTCGATCCCAGGCTCATCCCAATTAATAAAGGGCCAATGTCCGTCTAAAATCAATTCCCACGGAATCCGAGGGCTTCTTCTGCAAATACTTCAATTGAGTGTTGAAGGCATCATGTTCACAATCAAGACAAGCCTGGTGCTCGGTATCAGCACCCTCGTGCTGGGTCGCGAAATTTACGTTTCTCCCACTGGCTCAGGTGATGGCTCGTCAACATCTCCTTACGGTTCTATCCAGTCAGCTGTGAACGCTGCTGCGGCGGGCGATACCATATACTTGCGGGCTGGAACTTATAGCCCGTCGGCCAATATCCAGGTCGCCAAGAGCGGTACCAGAACATCGCCTATCTCTGTGAAGCCATACCAAAGTGAAAAGGTTATCATCAATGGAGAGAATATGCCAGGGTAAGTTGGACATCACTGGGACAAGTAAAAAAAAAAGCATCGTGCTCACTCAGTGTTACATCTAGAACGCCATATGGCGTTGGTGAAAGTCTCCCGAACAAGGAACGCGGCATTTTCCACATTCAGGATGCCAGTTATTGGGCTTTCTATAACTTGGAGTACGTATACATCGGTTCGAAGCTTTAGGAACATCGATTAAATATTAACCGAATCAGGTTGATCAATGGGCCTTACGGAATTTATGCCCGTGATGCTTCACACAATTACTACGAGGGACTCTCGACTCATGACAATTACGAGACTGGATTTCAGCTTGAGGGTGCATCTGCCAACAACACCGTATTGAATCTCGACTCATACCGCAATCGGGACCCCCGCAAGAACGGCGAAAGTGCCGATGGTTTTGCCTGCAAGGACGGAACAGGAGAGGGCAATGTTCTACGCAATGCTCGTCTGTGGGACAACGTTGACGACGGATTGGACCTTTACATGTTTGGATCCCCCGTCACCCTTGAAGAGGTATACGCCTGGGGAAATGGCTACAACCGTTGGGGTTTTTCTCCATTTGAAGGAGATGGAAATGGTTTCAAGCTGGGCATCACTGGCAACCCCGCGGCTAATCACATTGTACGCAATTCAATCGCCTTTGCAAACTTCAAGAAGGGGTTTATCGACAACGGAAACCCGGGATCAATCACATTTGAGCGCAACACGGCGTGGAACAACGGCGACACTGGCTATGTTATGCGAAGCTCCTCTTCCACCATGAAAGCGAACATTGCTGCAGTCAATACCAACAGCCAGGTCAGCCTTATCAGTTCGGTTTCCTCGTCTGGAAACTCTTGGGATTCATCCACTACATGGTCCAATAGCTCATTTAAGAGTGTTGATACTGCCACTCTCAAAGGGTCCCGTGGATCGAATGGAAAGGTGCAAGGAAGCAATTTCTTGATTCCCACCTCTGGCTCGGCAATCGGAGCTACAACTTTGCAGGAAGTCTGATGAGTGTAGAAGAAATTGTGATTTTCCATCGTGTCTCATTATATAGTGCCCTGAATATTTTATAACCCTTTACTTAGTTATAATCGCTATTGGTCCGGGCTTGTTGTCATTGTGATATGGAATGCCCTTCAGAATAGGCGAATGAATTGGGTTGAACAAGAAAGCTTGTAATGAAACACACCTTCGATTTGCGCGATCAGGATCTCGAGAAATTCGAAATGGCAGGTTGTTCCTGTTTCAATTCCTCAAAAGCTTGAATTCTTCCTACAAACCGACAACTGCAACTAAACCAGACGTTTTTGAATGACACCAGGGAGAATTTCTTTGCCCTCAACTTGATCCTCACTGAATCCAGGACGTTGATTCCATTTTTGCTTCAACTTGGTGAATTCCTCCATTGTTGGTATTTTATGCCCCCCCAACTCAAAATCATTCCTCGCCCCTGCTTCTTGTAGAACGGGGGAATCAATTGTCTTGAGTGGCAGATCGTTCTGGGGCCGGCTGAAGTACATTAGGCCTAAACGATCAACGTCCCGCTGATCCTTTGGCGGCACTTTGACCTGTCAATGAAGATTTAGAATTTCTTTTTCTCATCATCCGTTGGAGAAATACAACTTACTCTGTGGACGGTAGACTTGATGTAACCACCAGTCAAATAACTGAGGGCATCGCCAGTATTGACCGTCAAGCTCGCATTAAGTGGCTTTGCCCACTTCCAATCATTTGACTCTGGGTCACGGATTTGAAGACCTGCAACAGGCTGGCGGAATAGCAACGTCCAAGATCCTAAGTCAGTATGTCCGTGAATCCAAAGGTTGTCCTTCAGAGAATCAACCTCTTCGGGCGTAAACTTAGAGTATCTCATGTATCTCAAATGCGATTCATCATTCAAGTTCCATTTGTGGAAGTTCTGAAAAGTGTCTTCAGGCACTCCCAAGGCTAGAGCAATCAAGTGGTTCAAAGGGTCCAGGATCTTGTCGTGTAAATTCTGCATAAAGGATATTAGGATCTTGAACATTCGACCTGAATTTGTGTGCATCTAACCTTTGAAAATTGTTCAATCTCGTCTCTGTAGCCATTAAGGGGATATGGAAGAGGCTGCCTAACCTGACCATCTTCGGCTATATATTCTGTTAACAGATCACAATGTCCGAATCTTGCTACCTTGGTACGAGCGGCAAGGGGAAAAGGTCCAAGGCAACCTACTAGACATATTCCACATTTCTGTCTTTTCCGGAATGCCCCCATTCAATCGCCGCCTTCCTGCAGGTCGATAACCGGTATAATTTCCTGCGTCCAGATCGGCGGTATACTGTAATCTCTCTTCAAGAGGTAGATTGTAAAATGCCTGGCCGAGGGCAAATTGCTGATCTACAGCGTCCTGGGAGATTCCAAAGTTGGTGACATAGAAGAACCCCTTGGTCTTGATTGCTTGAATCAGGGTCTCAGATAGTTCAGCATTGCCTTCTGATGTCCCATACCTCGATAGATCGATGGTAGTCACTTGAAGGGGTGAATTATTAGCCATATGAATTATCACAACGGTTGGAAGGTTGCATTTATTGCTGCTTACATGATGCCCAGTCGAGCTGTTCCTTTGTTTCAGGAACATGAGAATATGGACGAATCACAGGAACTGCTGAAGGCATTTTTCCGATTTTGCTGTCCGAATCCTGATGAAGTTTATGGATGTATTGTTGAGCGATATCTTGAGTTGGCTCGCTCCATATTGTATAGAAACCGGTTCTCCAGCTTAGCCGTCGCACTAGTTAGGTCGATCGGAGATAGGGATCTGTGACTGAGACGTCAGTTTACCTATTGATGTCGTGATTGATGCCGTTATCGGTCCATGCCATAATTATTAAGACCCGGCATTGTTCTGTTTGGCTTGGACTTCAGTGTGGGGTTTATGCATTGTATTGCACCATTTCCCCTCCTATCACACCATTATTGAAAGATGGGCGTTGAGGCTAGATACATTTGCAGGATTGTCTTACGGAGATTAGTGTATAGACTATTTGCATTTATTGCCAGTTTAGCACAGTTAATCACGCAAAAAAGGTATATTTAAAGGCTAATAAAATGTTCCTGAACTTGACTTGGTCAGAAGGTTGCAGTGAGACGACGTCTTCGAAGAGGCTGGCAATTTGGAGGTGGATCAAAGATGCGCTTGTTTATTCCTCATTGATACAATCCACCCCAAAGCCGGGACCGGACCGAGAACGGACTCGCTGGTGAAAGCCTGAACATGATATCCTTATTCCTTTTCTTTTTCTTTTTGCTCCGAATTTCTATAAAGTACAAGTGGTGTCCTTGCAAGCAACTCCGTAGTTGCCGGCTTGCGGCTTGTGTATGTCCTGCCAAGTCTCAACTCATCCGTAAGTCATTAAGCCGTTAATGAATACACCCGAGCGGTTTCATACAACGGAAGATCTGCATCGGAATCTTGATTTAGATCTACATCGTTCTTGTAAGCTTGAATTCGGAGTTGCCAGGGTTTGGGAAGACTGGTACGAGAATGATTGCCACGAACGATAGCCTAAGTCTGAAGAACAAGACGACGAAAACACATCACGTGAGCACCTTGTGATTAATCTTCTACTCGCCTTTTTAAGAGTATCGCAAAAAGATACATTTAATTTCCTATCCAAGTTATCATAAATGACCAAGGCTCATATTCCCGTAGACGAAGGAACTAGCCGCAATCAGTCAATCTCCGCGTCTACACTCAGGCTGCGAACCACTATAGGTTTGAAGTACCAATCAAGAAGGCGATGTAGAAAACGAATGGTATAGCATTACTTACTGTACTCCATTGGTTACTGCGCTTCCTAGGTGTTAATATGAAAAGAAATACGAAGCTAATTGCATTTAAGTCTCTGTTTTTGTCTGGTGGGAACTGTGATGCGGATCGTATGCCTACTCTGCTATAGTATATCTCTACACCGAATATATTCCTTTCGTGACAATATTTCTAAGCAAATACACGTATCAATACACGATAATGACGTGTATCCTAACTGGCTTTATAATGCGGAGGTAAGACCTCTCGCTCAGTGTGACGTATCAACACCCCGTCTAGCCACGATGTGTCTTGCTTCTTGTGATCTTCATCATTCGAATTCCCTAGTCGGTGTTCCATACCCGCCTTGGGAAGAGGAACCCGCGGCTTTTTCCTGCGCTGCATCGGTCGTGGAGATGAGGCGGCTGGCCTTAGAAGAATGGCCACTTCTTCGGGTAGCAGGTTGTTCTCGGCATCTTGCAAAAGCGTTATCCAACTGTCATCTTTGGCATTTTTATCGGCCCCATAGTCAATCAATAACTTGACGACAGAGGGAGAGGGTCTGGGGGAGCGGGCTGCTAGATGAAGTGCGGTGAGGCCATTTCTGTCGCGGATTTCGGTTTTGGCGCCTATATCTAATAGCTTCTTCACAATTTCTGCATCTCCTGCTACACAAGCGGTAGCCAGAAGCGTCCTCCCTTTCGCATCTCTCATCTCGGCTAGCTCCTTCTTTTCAGATCCGCTGGCTGGCCCACCATGCCGGTCGCCACTGAGGACGAATCTATCAAGTAAAAGGCTGGCAAGATTGGTGTGTCCCATGGAGATAGCTTCGTGCAAAGGGCTGGGTTGAATTGTGCAACGAAAGCTACCGTAATTTTTGGTTGGCTCAGATGGACCTGGGAGCACTCGCACCCCCGACTCAAGTAATAGCCTTCGTACCGATTGTTCGTCTCCTTCGTGGGTGGCATGGGCGAGAGCAGCATATAACCTTGTTTGATTTTCGACGGACGTGCTCGTTTCCGGTGTTTCGCCTTCTGGTGTCGCGACCGGATTGCGCGCCCGTCGGTTTCGAAGCGAATCTACTCTTTTGCTATAAACAGGGTTCGGAGTAGATTGAGACGGAAGAGAATGCGACGTTTCTCGATCTACAATAGGGTCACAGGGTGTGATCCTGTTAGTATCCGGCGCTGTCGCCGCCTGCAGTGTTTCATCCTGTGGCGAAGCACTTTGCTGTCGCTTGTCGCTCTCGCCATTGTGTTTGACTTTCGTCGCTTGGGCCATCAGCCGCGTCGTGATTTTCTTCCACCATTTCCCATCAGTTGGCTCGCCGCGTGTAGGCATAGCGGCAAATCAGTGTGGTGCCACGAAATTTGGCATCATTCGCCTGGCCTCATCAACCAACTGGAAGCCTACATCCCAACTCGGGAGTAAACCTGAGGGAACCGCTTAGATCTATTCCATTGAAAAATGCCTCTGGGGATTTTAAAACAAGAAATGAAGGGGCCATGCGTGGGAAATCAATATTGTCAGCAGGAATACATGCGCTGCATGCTGGTGGGGTCTTTGGTCAGCCCAGCTGGACTGATCCCCCAACCCCAACTTGGGACCGAATGGGCTGCCTTAGTCGAACGATGTAACGCAGGTCTGCCATGTGATGCTCCAGGCCTTGTTCTAAGAGTTTGCTTATCAGATAGCCGCTGTATTCCCAAACGGGGGCGCTGAAATCCTGTCTCTGAACCATGCCACGTACATATCTGTCTATTAATAGGCTTGGGGTCTCAATTACGTAGTAATACAACCGCTTCGAGGCAGGGGCGATGAGGCGTCAAGTGTAAGATTTCTGAATCATCTTGTTTTGTCGCGTTATTTTGCTCTACTACCAATAGAATGCCCGACATACTAGACCGGCAGTGATCACCAGGCTTGTTTCATTTGAATCATGCAAGAAGCGGTTTGGCGTCCGCGTGGACTTTCCGCTTTGCTCAGTTTCTAGCTCTAGATTTTCCGGTCACGTATGTTCAAATTATACTGTAATCCGCTTTCATCTACATATATGAAATCATTCATACTGGAAGCTGTGCATGCGGACGGACGAACTTGAACACTCTAGAAATCTCCACTCACGCAAGGCAAGGCAAAGTCCACAATCACCAGTTGAGCCGGTGAAGCCAAGATTATTTACAAACGCAAAGTATGAGTCCTTATTGGCATCTTACAGACTTTGAAGATGGGGGTTTCACAATGGGAGAGGTGTGGAGGTTTGTTGCTGTGTACAGTGTGACTTCAACCAAGTGCCTGGTCGGGAAATATGGAGCAAGCTGGACTATTACATCGACAATTAAGGAGTTTTCTTAAATGTTTTGATCATCTTCTCACATCTAACGTTAATCCCGGGGAGATATCTATCCCATCCTAAGTCGGCAGTCAGTCTTAAAGGGTAATCCGGCCAGACGATTGGCCCAAAACCCCCGAAGCCATCTTGGTAGAAAACAATCACGGCACAACTTGAGGGCTTGGTCTTATCTGGTATTTTGACAGAGAACATAGATTTGACGCAGATGGAGTAAGTACAGAACTGGAACTCAAGATACATATTCGATAAAGTGGAGGTGGCCCATGCTTGATGTTGGCGATTTGTCCTCCTGACACTTTCCATTGTGAACGTATCTACTTAGAACTCTCCTCTCAGGTTGCTGTGGGACAGTCTTGGTACTATTAAATGTATATTTAACCAATTATTCTATAATATGGCTGAGACTTGTGTACATATCTATGAAGGAGCCGAGATTTTCCTAGCACTACTGCAACAGCTACACGTCATATCACTCCGTATATCTCCGACAAGAAAGTTAGACTGAACATAGCTCAACTACTTTGAGGTTGGAATAGACGCAAGGTCCACGGCAATGTCGTAGAGCTTGCCTCCGGCACTCAATTCATCCACCAATTTGGCCAGAGCCGTATGTTTCCTAGATTCCTCGTAGCTCTAAGCAAAACATTTAGCCACAGACTTTCAACATGATGCTCTCAGAAATATTGTACTTACCTTCAGGCTAGGCCAGCCAATGAGGCCCAAAAAATTACCTTGCTGCTCCTCTATACCGCTTCCGTGGAAGAACTGAGGGGTCTCTGACTGTGACTGAGAAATGGCCTCTTTTATTTGGCCCCATACTTTCTCAGTGTTGCTGCCTTGCGCAACCTTGATAATTTGAGTAATATTCGCCGAAGCGCACGAGGATGAGGAATCGGGTGATTCGTAAAGTTCAGGCAGAACAGGAGAAACAATCAATGGCTTCATCATGCCAGCGAATGCCTGGAAGGCGGGAGACTTGGGGAAGAAATCGTGAAAAGAGGATTTGTTATCCCACTCTGCCAATAAGTCAGTTAGCATGGTCTATTAAATACCATCCTCACTAATACCAACGAACCCAGAATAAGAGCACTGCGACCGCTTCTTGAGTCAACAGATGTGCCATCATCAGCTACGACCTTTCCGCGTGACATGGACTGTAGGCCATTGACCCCGATAAAGTGGGAGAACATCTCGGGCGCTTTCTGCTTGAGTTGCTCCTGCAGCTTGGGGTCCAGATTGTAGGACACGAGAATGAGTTCGGTCACGGCCATGTTGGCTAGTTGCTTTGCTGGCAGTCTTACTCGGTTTACTCGGTTCATTGAAGATGAGGTTTGAGATGGTAGTTTTCATTAAAGATCCAGGGCTATTTAAGAAAATCGATGGAGGAGAGCGATAGTGAGAGTCACAGCGGTTGCTAAGATGAAGATGCGTGCGGGGATCCACTTTTGACAGCCGCACATCACGGACCCCCGCCGGCATATGAACACGGTCATATGTGGAGGCCATCGGCGTTGTATTTCTAAGCTGAGAGAGCTCGCATAGAACCGGAGCGGCTTGCGAGGATATGAATTGGTAATCCGTGTCTCCGTGGAAGAGACATTGCGCGGCGGGGCGCTTTCAAGCTGCGCTTAAAACCCAGTTGGGGCCGCTCAAGACGAGGCAGAGAAACAGCATCGATTTCACCCACTACAGATCAACAGCACTACCACTGGATCTTAATACAGTAACATTAAACAACAAATATGGCCAAGATTGTTACCGTCGTTGGCGCTACCGGCATCCAAGGAGGCTCAGTTGTTCGAGCCTTGCTTGATGAACCCTCCTACTCTATCAGAGCCATCACTCGAAACTCCAAGAGTGATGCGGCCAAGGCACTTGCTGCAAAGGGTGTCGAAGTCGTTGAGGCAGATATCAACAAGCCGGACACTCTTGTCTCTGCGTTCGCGGGGAGCTATGCGATCTTCGCTGTGACCGACTTTTTCGAGCCTCTTGTGACCGCCGGTATCTATAAGTCGATGGACCTTGAGAGCGAAAAGGGCATCAACCTTGCAAATGCTGCAGCTGCAACCGATTCCTTACAACACTACGTGTGGTCCTCGTTGCCGAACTCCCACCAAGTCAGCGGCGGGAAGATCGTGGTCCCGTACTACGAGAGCAAAAATCGGGTGGATCGCCACATCAAATCTATTCCTCATCTCTTGAGCAAGACAACCTTTGCTTGGTTCTCATGGTACGCAGGGAACATGAACTATCCTCTATACCAGCCCAGCCCCATAAACTCAATGGATGGCGAGAAACTGTATGTCCAGCTCGTTGGGGCCTCGCCGTCTACCTTGTTGCCCCTAATGGGAGACGAGAGGACGAATGTGGGTCTGTTTGTCAAAGCCATTTTGGACCAGCCGCAGAAGACCCTGCCTGGAAAGATAGTTCGCGGTCTGGTTGAGCAGATGTCAATTGGTGAACTCGTGGCCACTTTTGCGCAGGTTCATAAGATCCGGGCCCATGTCTTACAGATATCAGAGGAGGACTATGCCAAGGTCTATCCTATTTGGGGGGAGCTTCTCAACATCAACCACGGCTACATGAACCAAATGGGCAGCAGGGCATTCACTAGCCCCGAAGAACAGGTCGTGACAAAGGATGATCTAGGTATCAAGGGACTAGTCGGGACAGCTGAGGCTTTTGCGGCCATCAAGCTTCTGAATTAGCTTGATTCGAGCAAGGTAGCGATAATCAGAGTGACGTACCGAGGCTTTCTATTGTAATACATTTTGTTCGTTCTAGCTTTCCTCAAGCTATTGGGGGCAGTAGCAAAACAGGATTGGTGTCTGTGCAATGATTTTGGAGAACTATGTTCGGCTGTGCCACTTCAAGGGTGGAAAGACGATCCATTATATCTTTCAGAAAAGAACAGACTTCTTAACCTTATAAGGTACTAGCATAGACATTTGAGCAAACAAAAACACACCCCTGCGGCGGAAAACTCATTGATAGCCTAGGCGATATTTGAAATCTTTTTCATCCCGGTCTCCCTCTTTGTTATCTCATGACACCGCCGAAGTCTACCCCATAAAACCCTCCAATAGTTGCGATTAGTTTTATGGGGTGAAGCTTAACTTTTGAAAAGATCCCTGGTCAGGCTCCTTTGCAACAGGGATCAACACGGGTCGTGTAATATACATTGCCGATGGAACATACCAAAAAAACCTGAATCTGCCGACGTTTGATTTCGTCGAGTAATGGTAAGCATGGCAGTGATTGGCGGTAACATGTAGTAAGACAGGGGTCGCGCTTTCGTAGTCCCGAGAATGGCTTAAGCAACTACTACGCCTGCGAACCATGTTTTACGCCCTTTCCCGTCGTGCTATAGAAACGGAGCTCCAAAGAATGAGCGAAAGAGCCGCCCAAGACTTATGATGGGTGGTTGAGTCATGGGACAATCATAGGCGGCGGAGGCTTCGGCCAATATCCCTGTAGGAAAGACATAGCGTGTTTCGTTCACTCGCTTGGTTGATGCGTAAGCACCACATCCATGCAAATCCCGATTAGCAAGGCGAGACATGAGACTCTAGCCACGGCGGTTATGTCACTTAAAGATGGTGGAATATCAGAACCTGTTGCATCTTGGCTGACAATTCGCGGAGCTAGGCGAGAACTTCCAGAGTGCGGGCTCAACACAGAACAATGGATAAGATGGGGAAAGTATTGCTGTGGACACGATGTAAAACAATGCGTTGTCATGGATCCCAACTTTCACATACCGGTCCCACAACCTTCATAGAACCGAACCGGTATATACCCCGGCGACACAATTGAGTCCATCCCCAGCGACTTTCTCAGTCTTGTGACCAGCTGTTTACGCCAGAGCCACCGGAGCATCCGATACCAGCATGACTAGCGTGAATAGAATCCTTCGTCAATGCACTAATCATCCCATGGTTGGGTTGATGAACTGCCCTTTGATGGGTGGAGGATACGGTGGGCATTGATCCCTGCTTGCCCCAAACTTCATAGCTCAGGTCGGAGTTGGCGCAAACTCCTACTGGTCGGAGCGTTTATTCCCTGTCTGTAAGCACTATCATAAGAATGAATTGTTGTGGGCGTGTGGCTGGTTTGATAAATATATAAGGGCCGAAGGCCAGGGAACAAAAGTCAGGGATTTATAATGTGCGTATCCGTCTGCCTCGCGACTAGAAAGACATCAGACAGAATTGAATATGCGTCTGTATCGAAATCTCTATTTGGCGGCTTTGCCTATCATGGCAGTCGCCTCTTATTTGCCGCAGACTCTCCAGGAACGGTCATTGGACTCTGAGTGTGGTATAAAGGGGACACCTAGCTCTCTTGTCGAGGTCATCGAACAGCGAAGAGATGACGAGGCCTCATACCAATCCCTGGAGGGGAGGGACGCTGAGATTCAAGTCACCGCATACTTCCATATTGCTGTTTTTGCCAACTCTACCGAGGATAAGGCTTCCAACGAAGCCGTAAAAGCGCAATTCCAGCTACTGAAAGACACTTGTAAGTCGCCAGCACGCCATTCTCACAGTTCATCTCTATAATTACTTTCGAACCAGAACTTCCTCAATTAACTTGTTTCTCCAGATGCCCTCTACGGGATCAATCTCAGTCTAGGAGGCATCTCTCGCGAGGTCAACGACACTATCGCTGTTCTGTCTGTCTGGACCCTAGATGAAACCGAGAATGAAATTCTTGGCTCAACAGTCGAAACCGAGGATTACTGGAAACGGACTAGAACGGGTTCCTATGAAACTCTACACATTTACTTCTATGAGGATCTGATAGGCACAGCGGCCTTTTGCAACTTCGCCAAGCCTGGTCGTCCAGAGTCTGATTACTACCTCGATGGATGCCACCTCAGAATCAACGTGCTTCTAGGCGGATCTGCACCTTACCGTGCCTATGGAACTACCCTCACTCGTAAGTGAACCCTTTTTTTCCAACCAATAATTCCAATCGGTCGATGTAGAGGGTTTTGGAATACCACGTTCCAAGATGGAGAAGGCCTATCACTAACCTAAGTGCCAAACAGATGAAGTAGGCCATTGGTTTGGGTTGTTTCATATTTTTGCAGGCGGATGCGAAGGAGAGGGTGATTACATAGATGACACTCCAGCCCAGACTGTTACCTCTGCCGACGGGACATGCCCTCTTGGCACGAAGGATACATGCCCTGACCTGCCCGGCACTGACATGGTAAACAACTACATGGATTACACCGCAGACCCATGCAGAGACACATTTACTCCAGGGCAGCACTCCCGTATGCACAATGTGTTCTGGGCTGTTCGCTCTGGAAAATGATCCTCCTTATATAAGGGTAAACGCATCTCAGATATGAACAATATAGTTAGGCTACCCTACCCTCAATCGATAAGCAACACCCAATTCATCTAATCTTGGGGCTTTGATCACTATCTCATAATTAATAGTAGTGATTTGACTGAAGTAACGTGAATTCGGTAACCAGGCGCGGCTACTCCGACACTACTAACCTTCTTCGAAGATATCTTAGCCCACTAGTACCGAGTATCCTATTATCAAAAACTCTAATCCATCACATGATGTCATTTGGAGTCATTCATCATCCTGACGACCATCCCTCCACTGTTGCTCGTCCGGTTCCCGCATGAATGCTGCTGCGCGGATTGCCGAACCCAGCTTGCCTGGATCCGGCACGGGTATCTGCAATGCGGGTACTCGCTACACCCACGGCCGCGCATTCACAAAGGGCGAGTTCCGGATTCCAGATCACTCGAAAATGATGTGTGGCGGAAGACGATCGTCATATAAATCAACATCTTGGTCTCCAGAGTAATCAGTTCAACTTGCTGCGATTCAAACTACGCTCTGATAAGACACGAATCTCTGGCTATAATATCTCACCAAAGTCGCAACAGCTGACTACACACTGTGCAATAAAATGGCCGACCAAGCAACCATCCCCCTCAAGATGAAGGCTGTTCTGCAACCCGACAAAAACTCCCACAGCCTCATCTCATCCGAGATTGCGGTTCCAATTCCAACCCACCCAGAAGATGTTCTCGTCAGGGTTCATGCGACATCACCTTGCAAAGGCGAGCTGGATTGGGCCCTCTGGGCCCCAGAATTCATCGGTCCTGACAAGATACCCATTCCGGGCCAGGACCTTGCCGGCACCGTCATCTCAGCCCCATCCACGAGTCACTTTAAGCCCGGCGACCGTGTGTATGCAAGGATCAACGCCAACCGCCCGGGTTGCGCGGCCGAGTATGTGCTCGCCCGAGAGTCTGAACTGGCCATCAAGCCCAAGAACCTCAACTGGGTAGAAACGGCAGCCTCACCCATCAGCGCCTTGACTGGCTACCAGGGCTTGTTTACGCAGGGCACCTTGGATAAGCTGGCCTTCAAGGGCGACAAGGCTGCACTGGAGAGGAATGCAAAGCAACGAGTTCTCATTACTGGAGCCAGCGGCGGGGTTGGCAGTTGGGCGGTGCAGCTGGCTCGGGAGGCCGGTGTGAAGAATATCGTTGCTGTTGTCGGAGAGCGAAACGTTGAATATGTAAAGGAGCTTGGCGCCTCGGAAATGATTATATACACAAAGCAAAGTATCGGTGACTGGATTAAGGAGGACCAAAATGAGCGTCAAGTCGATCTGGTCTTCGATTGCGTTGGTGGATCGTCGCTCGCAGCCTCGTGGTACGCCGTCAAGGATGGTGGCAAGCTCGTCAGTGTTTGCGGCGTCCCAGAGGATAGCCGTCCAGAGGATGTCAAGAAGGCGGTGCAGAGTCTGTTCTTCGTTATCACGCCACTGGGCAAGGATCTGGACATCATTACAGAGATGATTGAAGCCGGTAGACTCAAGGTCAACATCGACTCCGTATTCGAATTTGACCAGTTTTCAGAGGCCTTCGAGAAGACTGAGACAGGTCGCCCAAGAGGCAAAGTTATACTCAAGGTTTCAGGGGAGGTGTGAGAAGGAATTTGGACTGAAGTTCTTGGGTGCGAGTCCAACATAATATCAAAATCTCATCTTATTATTTACGTTTAAATATACAAAGGTTTTCTTCTTTATCAATTAAACTGAAATGTCAGTTCACCAAATTGCCAGCTGGTACTTCTTTGATAGGATATAAAGATCAAGATCAACGGTTTATAGGGGTGGGACGTAGGATGCACTCAAATATCAAGCTCTACGGTGCTGTGAAGGCGATATCAATAACTACCTAGGGCAGAAATGGAGTTGAAATAACAGAATCTATGTATGCATTACTGCTTTTAAATATTTCCAGCAATAACGGATGAGCAAGATGTAGAGTGTTCCCCCTCGGCAGACCAATTCTGATATTGAGCATCGAATAGCGATATGCCACAATCATGTATGCAAAAAGTATGCGTTAATTTACCAACACTAAGTCGGTTGTGAACGATACAACTGCATGACGCGTGACTTGATAAGCATTCTAGACATATCATTTGGCAGGCCAAGACATGACAACATATAGCACCACCCCCACGTAGCAACCGTTAAGTCTCAAAGCAAGTTGTGTTGCAACATTCGTAGAATATAAGCAATCATTGGCTAGAAGTGAGTGAAGTTCCAAGTACTCCGGACCGGTCAGCTGTGTCGTGAGACCAATGCGAACCAGTTCACCCACCACTGCTGCCTCACTCCAGGCAGACCACCAATCGCGATGTGCTTATTGCTCCACACCTGTCGAGATGAACAACGCACTTTGCATATCCAGATGCAGTGAGCAGGAAAGTTATTGGCTTCCGCGAATACTACTCTACCTGTCGGGCTCCATGGCATTTCTGCCTTGCTTTACCCCGGTCCCAGGGCTTCTATTAAAACCGACACCCCAACCGGCCGGATGGATCAGATAGGCATCACTCGTCATTCCTATATTTTTCACTTGAGCTTCTTGATCACTAGTAGCGATGGCAGACGGCAAGGCCCATTTCAAGTGTGCAAGCTCCATTGCCCTCCTAGAGGGACGCGCATCGTTGGAGCTCCCCGGTGATATCTTAAGCGCCAGCACTCTGGGCGCTCTCGATATCCGCCTGAGAAGAGTAGAAGCGTTTTACAACGTCTCACTCCCTCCGGCATGCCAGGCGGCGGCTTGGGACACACTTGCGTACCGCGTCTTCCGCCTCATCAAAGCCTACAGAACCTTTCCTTCGTTTCCTAATAGTTTGTTTTCTCCGAAACACTTTCTGGAGCTCGTTCCAGATCCCAACAGCGTGTCCTCGGAAACTCTCCAGACTCTCTGCTCCGACATCGGGTACAGAAGTTACAACTGGACCAAGTCTCTCGCGCTTGCCAATCCTTCCGATGAACTCAGCGTGTACAGTCAGATATGTCGTTATTATACCGGAAAGTCTAACCAACTGCGAATTGTTGCGATTCCGACTACTCGGGCTGAGATTTATGGCTTATTGGCCGTCCTCGCAGTCGAGAATGGGCCGGCAATCAAGCAACCCTTCGGTGTGCCTGTTCCACCGCCGGGGCTCGGCAATGGGGTGACTGTTGTCAACGCATCACCCGGCCGCAAGAAGACCCCAAAGCGCTCAATACTTTCCAAGTTCTCGTGGATGAAAAAGCTAGCATTTTGGCGGAAGAGACCTAGCGACGATGATTCGTCCATCTACAGCTCCAGCAGCTCAGGCAGCTCCTCGAGCAGTACCATTTCCTAGTCAAGCCTCAAGCTCTGACTATCTCAAGACCCATGATATCTACTAGGTTGGCACAAGAGCCGGGAGTCAGAGCATTTCCTTAGCATATGAGAATGATAAACACATCTACATGAAATATTGTTCAAACCAGAGTCTCTAGATTGTATACATGTCATTTCTTGACAATAGATTAACACAAAGAGAACCGTATCAAGGATCTCACGCCTAAACTCTATGATGTTGAAGTCATGATAGCCGCACTGATGGATAATATTAGAGCCTTGATCCTAAATCACTTCCCTCGCGCCTCGCTGCGCCTGGTACAGTCTTATACCCTCAAGTAGGGTTTCTTTAGTAATGGGAAAGGTCATCGGTATGAGTGTTCCGTCCCCCATTCTTTCCGCAACGATCTCTTCCCGTGTCGCCCATTTCCATTCAGAGTGCTCCTCTGGATCCGTTCGAACCTCTCCTTCATCCGCCTCAATTAACAGAGTGTAGCGGTGAAAGAGTTTGGAGCCGGCATTCCATTCGTTCCCTTGGCCCACGACACACATGATCCGTCGGGCTCTTAAACCTGCCTCCTCCCAGAGCTCGCGGACGCAGGCGTGCAAGAGGCTCTGGTCTGTTGGATCTACCGATCCACCGGGCGGCTCCCACAGTCCAGGGAGGTAATCATGCGCTGCGCGGCGGAGGATGAGCACATGCCCTTGTGGATCAAAGACGATAGCGCCGGCGACGAGCCCGCTATATTTGTTGTTGTGAAGTTGATGCCACTCGATCAGGGGCTTGGCGTATTCGGCCAAGTCGTCATCGAACGTGAATTGATAGTCTAGGGGCGTCGAGGGAGATGGGGCTGGTTCGGCCATTTGTTCAATTTGTCGGAAAGCACAAGATATTCCCCACACTTGGTTGACTCGTAAAGTGTGGTTGAGGGCTTCTGATGGAATAGACGATCTCGTAATTAAGTAGAGGCATTAAACGTCTGCCTAAGCAGGCTGATACTAAAAGCCCAGCTCAGACAGATGCAAGCTAACTCCACACAACTGAAAGATGCCTAACAGGCAGAATAGTTTTGCCCCAAAATGACGCAAAAAAATGCCTTCATTCCCACTAGTTGAACGCAAGCGCTTACAACATCAAACCTCAATGTTCTGAGTTGGCGATTGACACACGAACCTAAAATAGCTAACTGGAAGGCTTTTTACTGAAACGTGCACATCCATATCTCGTATTCAATCAACATGTTCTTTCGAAGTTCAGAAATAAACCGGCAATTGCTTTCCCATTTGTTCTCTTTTCTTTTGTTGTCATTCATCCTAGTTTCATTTCAAAAACATCATTCATGATCAAATTCCGGCTAACGGGTGTTTCCGGACATTTCCTGGACTCGCAGGATCTTCGAACACCAGCTCTCTTTCTGGCCTCTTGATCGAAACCGAAGAGTCAGAATATCAGTTCCCTCATCCCCGCTCCAGTGTATCCTAAAGGCAAGCGGGCCTGCCAACAGCCAAAAATTAGTACATGGGCTGATTGTTTTGGTCTTGGCAATCTCCTCTGAATTTTACTTACCATCTGTGCTACTGTCAATCTTTCGAATGTCTTTGGCCCAGATCCGTCCACGCAGTGCCAGCACGCGTTTTCCGGCAGGAGCAGCAACTTCTCTCACACATAGGAAAATCTTCTCGAACAGGTACACATTATACTGCAAAGAAAGGATTTGTCAGCTATGAAACCAACCAGAAAGCAAGACAGTTGATCACATACGGTCTTAGTTGTGTCTTTCGCTCTGTTGTCGGATCGCCCTCTCAGCGAGTCGTGGGCAATAAGTTCACCAAAATTATCAATTCGATAACCCCTCCAGTCCACCATGCGGGATTTCAGATCGGCCAGAGCATCGCGCATATCCGCCTTTTCTGTCGCCTCGTATGCCTTTTCCAGGACGTTCTTAACCGCAACTTTCCCGTTTGCGATATTTTCCGCCTGCCAAGGCTGGAACTCTTCACTGGAAATCAGATCAAATTCCTAGAGACCAGCAATAATTAGCTTTTGAAAAGAGTTGAGAGGACGAGGCGGAATGTTACGTACACGGAAGAAATCTTGGTACTTGCGGAGTTGATCGTGCAGCGTCATGATGCGCCGGACGCACTTCATCACAGCACTCCTCTCGCTTTGCTGCTCCGAACTGTCCAGCCTATGGGAGCGCTGCCTCAACTCTCTAGCATTGTCATCCTCCAGGGAAATGAACTCAGCATAGGTATCGCTGCCCTCAGACCATGTGAGGAATGGAGTGCCCCACTCCTGTAACTTGCGCGGCTTGGTGATTTGTGCTTCAATGTCAAGTAGTAAGCGAGCCTCGAAGTGAATGATGATTTTCAGCGTTTCAAATGCAGTGAGGAGCTTATGGGAGAGCGGTTCGGCCTCCTGTAGCACATCTTGGATCTCTAACAGATCTCCCAAGTCGAGAAAGTATCTTCTCTGTTGAATGACAAATGTCTCAAGGTGGGCTTGCAACGGTGTCATTTCTGTGTTTTCAGGTAAATTGAACTCTCTGCGGACGACGGGGCGGACCAATCCTCGTGACATGAGTTGAGATAATACTAGCTCAATTCCTGAGAGAAACTATACCAAGTCAGACTACGACCAGATTGCAAGATGGGTCGTTTAAAAGGAACTAACTTACTCTAAGATAGCCAAGGTAATCGTCTCCCATCAAATCGTCATGGGTGAAAAACTCGTATATGTCGAAGCCAAACTCTTTGCATAGCTTAAAGAATAGCGGCACAGTGTATGGAACGCCCCCGGGTTTCGGTGTGACGATCTTAAAGCGGGAATCAAGCTTGTTGAAGAGCCAGAAAAGAGGCCACCCCTCGCGGAAAATTGAGACGAGTTCTTCCATTGGGTTTGTGGCTCTCAACTCGAAGGCATATGAGGATATGGCTTCAGAAAACCCGAGAAGCTGGTATAGCTGTGATTTGATGGCCAGGCAGTTGTGAAAGATAGATGTGCCGTGGCAATACATTCGATGCAATATCTCCAGGCCAGAAGCAAGTATTTGCTCACGAGTAGGTGAAGCAACTGATGACACGGGAGTGGCAGGTGGCTCATCGACCTGCTCAACGACTGTTGGTAAAGCAGCACCCGCACGCGAGCCTTCGCCCTCTGTCGCAAATGGACTGTAAGGAGGAGGTGGATAAGAGGGAGGGGAGCTAAAGTTGTAATGCTGAGGGTTTGTAATATCATCAGCGAACAGTGGAAGTGCAATAACGGATATGGCTGACACCTGCCCTTGGCTGGAGTCGGATAGCGAGGACCAGGGCCTTCGGAAGGAGCTGCGCATGGAGAAGTCCATGGACTCTCGGTTTGCGCGTCGGTAGGGGCCAGAGTAAGCAAGGTCTGCTTCGAAATTGAACGATGACGTTGAAATGGGAGACAGAAACCCAGATGGTGACTGGTCTTCAAGTCCAGGTAGAGCTGCACCAAGGTCTGCGAACGAATCGACCCTTGAGGGGGTGATGGGTGACGCTGGCAATGGCCAATTCTCGTCATCCGGCTTCCTCGAAGAGAGGTAGCCCTTTTTTGCTCTTAGGCTCTCGATATCGAAACTACTGTCGGCGGCCAAAATACGGCGCATGACATCAAAATTCTCGTCCATCAGACTATCCACATTGCTTGTGAGCTGGATACGATGTTGAGCGCCCTCAAAATGTGAATCTCTATCCACCCACGTCATTAATTGCGCAATACTGCAATGAATACGGTGTTATTGAATCACTTACGATCGTAGGATGGCAAGAATCATGGAGGTAGACTGCTCGAATGCGGCAAGCCTCTTCTGCAAGAGTTCCAGCTTTTTCTCCTTGCCCGGCCACTCCGGATGTGCCTTCAAAGGCAGCTTGACATCGGCTAACGGAGGTGATTCAATATCCTGGGCTGCTGTTTCCAGCTCTGAGAAGATAATGACACCATCAGTGAGTACTGCGACAATCTGGTGGGTTTGCAACTGGGATGGCTTGACGACATCAAGCTTTCTAACTGTGCTGCCGAGGCGCGAGAGCACATGTGCAGTAACCTGGATATTTTCAAGCAACTGAACCAGAATGTCTGGAACATTTTTGGTTGCGCCTTCGACATGCTCTCTAATCACTTTCTCGATTTCCTCCGCTGCCTTCCCAAGTCCCGCAATGGAGTTGGTGACACTGAGAGGGTCCATTGCGCTTTGATCTAGACGTTCATTTGCGATCGGCAGTGCAGTCAGAGTGGTATCCATGCGTTGCTACAATGCGCAACAGCATGCCTAGTAAGCAGCAGCATCAGGCATCGGCGAGACGGAGGGATCATTCTTTTTCGCAGAAGTGTAGAAGGACCAGGGAAGAGAAGGGAAGAGAAGGGGAGCGACCAACATGTGCGGTGCCCTGCCTTTGCTCCCCGCCCATGGTTCGCTCGGTCCGCCATCGAGACAACACAATCCTCGATCCTCCAGGTCTGACCAGACGGAACACAGAGAGCTCTGGAAGGTCTGCCCCTGACTGGTGCAGGTCGTCCGCGGCTGCTCATTGGTGCAGAGAAGGGCCCTTCGTGCGGATGAGCTTCCCGGTCAGGTTGTTCCCCACTGCTTGTGTCCAACGGCTTAACTAGCGTGTGGTTTGTCTCAGGGAATGGATCGATTCTCGGGTCCAAGACATGGTAGAATCGGCCTCGGCGTGCTGCTGGCGTGAGAGGACCAAATAGTCTATGAATAGATTGGGCCACAAGCACCTGTTCCAACAAGCAGTGGCAGCAAGCAGACCCAGGCTTTACGTTTAGTCTCTGGCCCCTCAATCACCGTACGGGATGCTTACTCACAGCGACTGTGACTCCGATGCAGGGCATATGCATGTTCCAGGTTTGTCCCCACCAACTAAAGTAGGGTCCGTCCATTCAGCCAGGCATTATTTGCTGCTTGCTGCTGCTGCCTGCGCGAACCACTACTCAGCTCACTCAGCTGCCTGTCTTGAAGTTCCCCATTGCCCTGTCCCATTCATCCTTTGAGTTTGGAACAGTCTCAATAGCCGCCCCGCTGCTCCAGGTCTCTTCAATAGATCCCAGCCTAGCAGAGACGGTGTCAGGCAACCGGCCGTCAATCCACTTTGCGGAGAATCATAGTGCGAGGAAGCTGCCAAGCCTGCTCTGGGTCCGTGACAACACGAGATCTCAGGTGGCATGAAGCTGCGATCGCGGATTTCTCACTAGCCTGACGTCGGCCGCCAATACCAACTGGATACATCTATTTTAGCGCTCTGAAAAAAACAACTCAATGAATGTGTATTGGCATTTATTATTATTGTTAATGCGGTCATCGTTTACCAACGGCCGATGCGCCAGGGCGAGAACCATTGTCTCGCCCCAGTGATATAGGGTAGGGTCAATGTCGAGGTCTTCAATTTGTGAGTGCGATGACTTAGCCGAGAAATATGTCCAAACTTTGGCAAGAGTCCGTGTTTTTGAAATGACAGGTTTTCTCATTTGAAAGAAAATGACTCGAGGGAGCCGCTATAGAACCCAAAACATAGAATAACAGAACAGGCGGTTATCTATATGCTGAAGCGTTTACACTCCTTTCGGAACGCCCGTTAATCACGACGTTCTAGCCTTCCTGAAGGATTAGTGAGAGATGGAAATATCCTTTACAATAACAAGTATTAATACATGTCAGATATACTAGACATTGGATGAGGAGTTTGGGACTTGTGAGCTAAGATAAATGAAAATCCAGTTCTCCTCAGCATGCACAAGAAAAAAAAAGCATGTCGAGCAGAGGAACTGTGTAAAAGACGAAAGGGAATTATGTATTGATCGCTTGAACTATATCTACTGCCTATACTAATGGTTCACATATGAAAAGAAATTACTCGTACTTGGGTGGAGGAGGCCCAGGTCTGTCTCCCCAGTAGCTCTCGCCGTCGCCTCGGCCGTCTGTCGACTTGACGCACCGAGGGTGCTCATAAGCATCCACAGTCCCAAACGGCCACATGGGGATGAGGCAGACCTCGTCAACGCCACAAGGAGGGCATCGTTTGAAGCTGGCCCACCCGAGGTAGTTCAACAAGGACTGCAGTGTGCCGACCGCGGTTGGGAGAGCATAATCTTCATTCTGCTGAGCCACGAGGGAAATGTCACGGACCTTGAACAGCGTAGTGCAAATCTGTGACAAAACCTCTTCAAAGGCAGCATGAATAAGCTCATCGGCCGTTGTCTTTGGTGTGATGGGCTGCAAGTACAGGCTGGTGCAGCGGGAGATGCTGGCAGAGTTATCTTGGCTCTTCTCTTCCTCGGAATAGTCGATGAAAGTGTCTAGGAGGAAGTTTGCTTCGTCCGCGATGCGCTTGGGCGAGGTGTCTTCCTGTGTCATGAACTGGAGCCTCTCCGCATATCGCTTGACGATGAGATCTGCAACATCCTGCCAGTTTATGACTGGTGCCTTTCCGTCCAATCGTTCTTTGACGACATCCCCGACAACTCCCCGGATATGCTTGAGCTCATCCTCGGAGAGGTTGGTCAGCCGTGGCAGATCCGGACGCTTGGGGTCGGGATTCGTCAAGTTGACAGGGAAGAAATAGGCAGACACCATGGACGAATAGTCCAAAACCGTGCGAGTAGAGCCAATGCCGTCGTATCTGTTCGAGATTCCACGAAGAAACTCGAAGCTGGAGATGCTCCCCCCTGGGCCGTTCCCTGGGCCGTGTCCGGGGCCACGACTGGGGCGCTTTCCTGGCGAATTTCCAGGTTCACCCTCTGGGCGGCGAGGGGGATGTCCTGGCCATGGCTTCGGACCTCTTTGTGGCGGGTACTCAGGTCCATCTTCAGGGCGTCGGGGAGGACCGGGCCAGGGCCAGTGTCGAGGCGGTGGTGGTCGATGTTCGGGCCCATCCTCTGGGCGCCGCGGGGGATGTTCTGGCCGTGGGTCTGGGCCATGTGGTGGTGGGTATTGTGGCTCGTCTTCAGATTGACGTGGAGGGGGGCCGGGCCAAGATCGGGGACTTCCTTCAGCTGGATACTCGGGCCTGTCTTCAGGGCGGCCATGAGGATGTCTGGGCCGTGGTTCAGGACCGTCTGGTGATGGGTATTCAGCTCCCTCTCCTGGGTGGCGAGGAGGAGGACCAGGCCAAGGCCAATGGGCAGGTGATGGAGGAGGGTGTTCGGGACCGTCTTTGGGGTGTCGTGGACGAGGACCAGGCCAGTGGTCGCGCGACGGGGGCAGATGTTCGGGGCCATCCGCGGGGCGTCGTGAACGAGGAGGACCGTGAGGAGGAGGAGGGCCAGGCCGAGACCAAGGGCCGCGAGGTGGTGGCGGGTATTCAAGCCCATCTTCAGGGTGACGTGGGGGATGCCCGGGCCAAGGTCGCGGTCCCTTACCAGGCCATTGTCCAGGTCCATCAGGGCGCTTCTCGGGGCCACCAGGACCATGATCAGGACCATCAGGACTGTCTGGGCCATGGCCAGGGAAATGTCCAGGACCATCGGGTCGGTCTCCATTAGGACCATCCGGCCCATGACCAGGCCAGTGTCCAGGTCCATCTGGGCGCTCGCCGTCTGGCCTTTTAGGGCCATGACCGGGCCACTTGCCAGGGCCGTCAGGACCCTTTCCAGGACGATCAGGACGGTCTCCATCAGGACGGTCTTCATCAGGACCACCAGGACCATATCCAGGCGGGTAGCCAAATCCATCAGAGCCTCTTACAGGGCGCTGAAGCGTCTGAATCTCCTCCAGTCCGTCCTTGAAGTCACACTTGATGATTTCAAAGCCAGCCTCCATGCGAATAACACCCTGTAAGCCCCACGAGTTGCTCAACTCGCACAGCTCCCGGGCACGAGTCCCTTCACCCATGGGACCACGATGTGGCTGGCCGGGTTCGTCCTCCTCCTGAGTCTTGTTGCGTAGGAGATAGTCCTGTGAGTCCAGGGTTCCCATCTCCGTCTTACCACCGCTCATCCCGTCAATGTATAAAAAGGGAAGGGCTCTGGCGGTCTTGTACACATGCAGCCACCCACCCTTCTTCTTCTCGCCATCATCTGGTACTTGGGGCTCCTTATCACCAGTGTTGAGGATGTGCTGCTGAGTCTCTGTGTCCACCGGGTTGAGATTGAAGAATGTATTGCGACGCTCGGCGCGCGACTTGCCCTTGCCCCGGGGAGGCCCTCTCGATCTGGCAAACTGCTCGGCGTGCTCGATTTCGTAGGCCAGCCAATCGGGCTCAGTAGGCGACTCGGGTCGGTTGTTGCCGTGGTAGAGGAGGACGCCCTCGGGGACGGTGGCCAGGAAGAAGGACACTCCGTTGTGGTGGAGGCTGGACCCCCACTGGCGCATTGAGTCGTGCACCGAGTTGAAGATCTGAGGCGCGCGATCCTTGGCGATGTCCTTGCTTGGCTTGAGCGACGAGGTCGCATGGCTGGGTGAGGCATAGCAGATGACGGCCAGAGCCGCCAGCTGTCGAAGATTGAACATGGCTTCCGCAAACGTCAATGATGGACTGACGGCAAGCTGAATCCCATGAGGAGGAGCAGGCTGGGTATAAGCGCCGAGGACGGACGAGGCCTTTAGTATGAGCACCCTTATCGGCCATTCAAGACTTGGTACAATTAGACAGCGACCGGGATGGGGCTTTGATATTAGCTCAAGGGCTGGGCCACGTCAGTCCGTCCCTCGAGGCTCCTCCTTCATCCCCAGTCTTGGCCATCTAATCTGATCGTGACCCACAGGGCGACGTAAGCTTGGCACGATTTTTCGCGCAGGTGAAGCTTTCATTGGATCCTCCTGCGGCGAAGCGTCCAGGGTCGTCGTCAACGCTTTCAGGTTTTCATCGAACCATTTCCATGGCTGGGGGCATGGCCAGGGCCGCCCGAGATTGCTGCCCCTGTGTCATCGGATGAGTTCAGTCGATGATTTAAGTTGTAAAGCCCAAGCATCTCATTCTATGATGAGGCTCAAGCGCGTCCACTGACTGATCCCCGCCGGAAATGAATGGGCATGCACATCACTTCTTAACTGGATCTATTTACGTCACCAATAATTGTCGCATTGGCACCTCTTGGCGCATCACGAGCCATCTGGGGCGGGCCTTGACGAGGGGGATGATGCAGCCTTCGACCTCACCTGGAAGAGGGGTTTTCCCATATCGGGCCGCTTGTTTCATCTAGCTTGTGAGCTCTGTATTAGTGTTGGCGAACTATTGGCATACTCCATCAACAGTGTCACCTGTCATCCGAAGTGCCTTCGTAGTCAAACCAGGTATCACATGCCCCTGCCGTTCTTTGTCAATTATACCAACAATCACATTCGTAGAGTGTTGACAGACTACCGGCTCATACTTCCAAATCTGGTCTGTCACCAACCAGCCTACGCTTAGACGATTATGCCCACCTACGTAACCATGTGTATCACTCTTGGCTGTCTGGTGCTCATTCCTTCAGAAATGATCCTTCCGATGAAATCCTGTTTTCATAGATGAATGTTAAATGATAGGATCAAGACCATTAGATCTATGTCTCTAGATTAGGCTTCTACAGTAGAGTCGACACGTTACCTTGCCCCCTCGACTGAGCAAGGCACAGCATATGTAGCGAGAAATGTGATAACAAATCCAATAACACAGCTATAGGTCAATAATGGGAACCGTACTTGAGTCTCAAGATGGGGCAATGTTAGTCACATCCGCTTAAAATTGGGGGTTGTTCTCCACGCCCCGCCGGTTAAGAGCATAAGGCCTCGTCAGCTCGTCATACATGGAGACACCAGACACCAGATGGGATCAAATTCAAACCCCAGACTCCAGACAATGGGACTAACAGGATTAGCTCATACCCAAATACAGAGCGTCTTGTGTCTCACCAACTGACTCGGCCGAGACTTGATCCTAGCTTGCACTCAGACCACTGTCCAACAACCATCAAACGGAGGCTTCAGCACACCATGCATAACAGGCTCATACAAATGTGTTTGCGTGAAGATTAGGCAGAGTCGTCGCATCCATCAATATCTCCACACACCGCCACCCAGTGACCCTTTCTCTCCCAAGCTTACTTATTGACGATTTTGCTTGGGGACCACAAAAGCTGTTCGGGCCCTACCTGCCCATTTGACCTAGGAATTACGGACATGAAAACTAGACTTGTAGAGATAATAAATTTCGTAGATTTGTTGATTTATTAAAATTAAAATTTTGAGGGATGGCTGAGGCCCTAATCTGAATGTCCTCGGGATACCAAAATGATGATGCTGGAGATAGAACATGGAGGTTGGACCGGGTTCCATTCAAATCACCCGATGCTGGCTCAAAATACACATAGTGAAATTTGAGAACCACATCAATGATATATTTTGGCTCTAGGCCTGTCGCCGTTTAGAAGACTCTGCCCTTGGTCTGGATACCTTGCTCGCTCTGAAGCTTCCTGATGTTGGTATTCTTCCAGACAAAGATGGCAAGGAGACAGAGGGGCATGAAGCAAGCACCGGCGATCACCATTCTTCGCTGGAGGTAGCCGTAAGCACCCACAATGGCCTCCCGCTCCGGCGTGCCATCTTCGAAGCTCATTTGCAGAACCATGTCGCCGTAGATAGTGGCAGACTGGTTCTTCACAGACTCGGGAAGGCGGAGAAGCAGCTGCTCGGGAAGGATGTTGTTCCAAAGTGCACCGGCAATGGCGTTACCGATTGCCGCACCGAAGGAGCCAAACATGCCCCAGATGGCGAGCACGACGGCAATTTCCTGGTGTGTGACAGGGACTTGGACGGCGAGCTGACCGCAAGATGCGAACAGCTGAGCGCCAACACCGACGAAGATTTGGGTCATGGTAATCAGGCCAGGGCCGGTTTCGGGGGTTCGGAGGGGGATAAGGAGAGCTGTTCCAAGAAGCATCAGAGGGACCCCAGCAATGGCAGACCACTTGAAGTCTCCAGTGTAGCTAATGACACTATTCTTTTTGGTTAGACGCATTCTGTCGATGGTAGACTTTTCGCCATGCACTTACGCTCCGATGAAAGGGGCAAAGACGGCAGAACTGAGGGAATAGGCGTTCAGGACATAACCAGCGGTGGTAATGCTAAGCCTGTTCACAACCTGCAGGTAGGAGTAGAAGTACGCGTCCCAGCAGCTTCCCCCGAGAATTAGCATACATTCTTTCACGTTTACTTTAGAACAAGATCCTGATCTAATACTTACAAGGTGGAGATAAACATAGCACCGTAGAGAAGGCAAGAACCTAGAATAGTAGGGTTCTTGAGATACTTCCAGGGAATGAATTTAACGGGTGCAACCTTCCATTCCCAGAGAGCGAAGGCGGGGAAGCAAAGAATACCGATGATAATCATTGCGATGATATAGCCCGTCTTCCAGCCGTATGGAGAGTAGGAGACTAGACTGAAAGGCAGGAGGAATAGGGAAAAAGCGGCGACAATCAAGATGATCCCGATAACTTGCACATGTTAGTACAAACATTGGGTCCAGTGAGTCAAATACTCGTCGCGAAGTAGGCTTACCATCTAGCTCGATAAAGTAATGCCAGAGGGACTGGATGATATTGCGACCAGAAGCCTCCTTGGGCTTGATGAGGCCTTGCTTGGCAGCCTTGCGCTGCTCCAAGAGCATGACGAGGAAGACTGGAAGACAGATTCCAACCTGCATGATCGCGAAAGCACCGAATGCCCATCTGAAGTTGACGTTTGTATAGAACAGCTCGGCAATCTTGGGACCCGCAAAGGTTGAGCAAATCGTCGGGGTACCGTTGATGCCGGCGATAATCATACGGTTCTTGAGGGTGGTCATATCGGCGATCATAATGTCGATAATGTACATAAGACCGATGTGGCCTGTCCAGTAGAGAACGTGGGCTCCAACGTAGACTTCGATGGTCTGGCAGGTAGCCTTCATGATCAGCCCAATGGTGACAATGAGCAACATGACGATGAAGCCCTCGATACGGCCCCAAATGTCGACAACTTTGGCCAGAGTAAGCTTGGTGGCGCCACTGAGAACCGTGGAAAGAATGGAAACAACGTTCAGAAGACCGTGCTTTCCAAAGGAGGAGGTGATGTAAGGGTTCAAAGATGACTGGACTGATTGAAGGAGGATATCAATGAAAGAGACAAGATACAACCTTGGCACGGGTTAACGCTAGCTCTACATTGCAGTTCCACGTGAAAATTGATACTTACATGACGAACATGGAGATGAGTGTCTTGTTGGTCCAGACACTTGTCATCGCACGGGCGCCCTGAACACCACCCTGGAAATCCTGAGATTTCTCATCCGACTCATATCCAGAGACTTGCTGTGGTGATGACTCCTGAATAGCATTCTTCTCGGGGTCGACGCTGGTCGTGGTGTCGACGGCGGCGGTCTTGGTAATGTCTGCCATGGTTAGAAAAGGATATGCTCCAATCTCCAGAGCAACGCGAGACCAGTATGTCTTTCTACAAATTTCGTCTCAACCGAAGAAAGACGGATGAGGGGACAGCCATATTTGTATTCCTACTTAGCACAATGCACGGAGAGAAGGTTTTCTTATGCCCACCAATACCACCGGAACGTAAGGACACTCCCATACAACACGGCTCGGGATACCCTTGCCATGGCCACGCGGTCTTGGCCGACCTGCCCTCATCCGAGCAAGTATCCTTGTTGATCTTTTCCTTGAGAAGTAAACGCGCGTGCTTTATAGCCCCCACTGAGAGCGATTTTGTCCACCATGGAGGGAAAGGAGCCTTGTGACTACCACCGTCCGACTGCAGGGCGTCGCCGATTGGGTGGGCTTCACTCTGCGTAGGGCCGACTTACCCAATCTATTACCTCCGTTAAGGTTCGTAAAGTTGACAACCCTTGCCTTGAATAATAAGGTCAGACGTTTCTTCGGCCCAGACCCGCAGCAGCGCGGGCGGATCAAACCATAATCGGCTTGAACAATGCAATTTATTCCCTGATAATCAATCTGATTAGATATACTCCACCAGCATGACACACAGCTCGGAAACCAGCAAATCCTCTCATCCCGCCGACGAGTGGATGCCGACAACCGCCAAGCAAAGGATGAGCAGTTCATCTCTCTCCCGGCCCATTGGGTTCACTGGGTCAATCAGGAAAACTGATCGCTTGGCATCACGTTGGTAGTGGCGCTGAGGAGGGGCCGGCAGGCTACGCGGCAGAAGTCAGCCAAGTCTACGGCAATGATTTTGAATGACTCGACGCTGCCCACAATTTCCGGACTGGAAAAGAAAGACTAAGTGTTTTCTCTCACTGCATTGTTGTGTCATGCCATACACATCAATGCGTGGGGCAGACCCCATCGTCTTACTGCTCTTCGAAGGAAGGGCCTTTCACACTCCTCATTCATGCTCCATTGGCTGTACACCCAATCATACCAATCTTCTTTGCCTATGACACGTAGTCAAGCAATGGCCTCTCGTCCCTCCCAAGTAGACGGGCCCCGATCTCCAAGCCTCTTGGCAATCCAATGCAAGACAGCGGCAACGGCAATCGGAACAGAGCGTGGCTTGGCAGCCGCCCTAGCGAGATGAAGGAAGGAATTCATGACGGTACATGAGCAGTTGGCAGCTGGACTGGGGAATCTAAAAGCACCCACCCGGACCCTGCTTCGCTAGTTCCCACACCCGTGCCAAAACCCTTGATCCTTAATCCTCGTCCCGAATCAGATGTGATATCCGCCGCAGCGTAGCGCTCTGGGTGGGGTGAAGGAGTCCTTGTTGGATGAATCCTGTCTCGTTTGCATTCCACCGGCAAAGTCGGCTTCTCACTGTCTCCTACTTCGGACAGGCAAGAGGAGGCAAAGATGGCAATACCTCCGTCATTTCATCCAAGCTGGAAAGTTCAATTCTTTATGAATCTTCGATTCATTTAGAATTTAGATTTGTGAAAACTTCAAAAAGGTTTCTTCCCACTGTCTATAATGTAATCATTCCGCTTACACTTGCAACATGCCGTCGTCAAAAAGCCCATTTACTGCCCGCTGCTGAGACCAACCTTGGCCGCTGTAGTGTGCAAGATCCAAAAAAGAAAAATGGATATCGTGTTTTCAGACTGCAAGATCTCCTGCATATTCTGGGGACGACTAAATACGCAACTTATTCTTAGGGGCCAGGGGATGCCTTCATGGCTCTGAACCGCCTCAAACGTATTTGGTTAACAAAGGGAAAAAGCTGGATTAACCCAAACAACTAGAAGGAAACCATTTTCAGGTCACATGGTAACGACCCAAGCGTATTTCTGGTAAGCCCCTTCGGCATCAATGGATCTCTACGACCTCCTAGCTTTGCCATCGAGCTATACATTAATCGAACCAAAAAATCACGCTCGTGCTATAACCACAGAGACCTTCCCAGACACTGTTATCTCCCACATCCCTCCCCCCGAATGCGTTTCTAGTCGTTCAATACGCCATTGATGCAATGAATGACGGCCAAGAGTAAGAATGTGTTTATATGAAGGTCTAATCCCCTAAATTTGTGGAACATGGCATACATCTTATACGGATACCACTATGAAAGTCAATCGCGCTGTGGCGTGAGTGGCACATAGTGGTCTAAAACATGATTCTAGGCTGTGTCATGGCTTCCTCCAAATAGAATGGACATTCTTTTAGGCTTCATATGGATTGCAAAGGTGGACGCCTTTTAAATTTTAATTACCTGATATATTTAATATATGGAAAATAATTATATTGATGCTTCTTTCTATAGAAATTATGCTATTATCTACAACATTTTTACCATCTCGCTGGCCAGCACATTTACCTACACGTACCCTAGACCAAATCACCAGGACCTCGATATAGACTGAAAAGAAAGCAAAATCAGTAAGGAAACAAAGAGTTTAGAAATTTATTTCACAATAGAAGTAACTAATCTAGAAAAAAAATTAGACGAAACGGATCCAGGAAATCGTAGCACTGTAACGATGTTTGATTTCCGACCTTTGGGGCAGGGCATAGAACCACATTCCCTCTTGTTGACAGAATTTTGTCAAGGCATTACTGTTCCTCCATTTGCTAGAATACCTACTTGCATATACCTCAAGTCCACCGCTTTTTAGTTTTTGATGCAAACTAAGTTTCTAGAACTTGCGTGCTGAGTTGGCACCCGAATGCGACAAGCGTTTTACAAATCTGCATCCCGAAGGATCAATTGCATTGGGGGGGCGGAGAGGAGAATGAAGCCGCCGGTCGGTTCCATCTTCCCTGCGAGAAGCCCTTGAAACTCGCTTGATGCTTGAAGAGGTTTAGTGTGTGTCTTGGGGCTGATGCTTATGCGGGTGCGACGATTGTCGAACGATGATTGGATAACCGGAAACATGGCGGGCACAGTCTGAGTTGTTGGAGGGACACAATGCAACGTGAAAGCGAGTGCGAGGCGGCAAATATAGCATCAATAGTTACTTTCTGAATATATAATAAAGAATGTAATCCTGTTCTTCTGAAGGAGAATATATCTCATCACCAGTCCCAACAAGCACTCAAGCCACAATTATATCCCCTCGTCTTGAATTTTGTATTTCCTCAAGCCTCCACCCATATTACAAGTTTACAACCCCTACCATCTACCCAACATGCCTTCTAATCGCGCTGCGCAACAGCCTTCCAAGTTGGCACGCTCCTTGGTTGTCTCCGAGGTCCCTTACCGTACGCCTTTAAGAGGCCAAATCGTCATTCGCAATTCTGCAGTGGCCATCAATCCTATTGATTGGCTCATTCAGTCCCGAGGTGATCTTGTATTTCCTTGGTTGAAGTACTCTTCCATTCTTGGGTTCGATGCTGCAGGCGAGGTCGTCGAAGTTGGCGAGGAAGTCACCCAGTTCAAAGTTGGTGACCGCGTACTTGGAGTATGCCGCGGCACCGAAAAAGACGAGAATGACCCTTCGCAGGGCGCGTTCCAGCACTACACAGTGCTTCGAGAAAACTGGGTGTCTCATATCGCCCCAGGCATGTCCTTTGCCCAAGGAGCCACTCTGCCTCTCGGTGTCGCAGCTGCATCAGCAGCACTATTTGGCAGCTCCTACCTCGAGCTTGACTTACCCACGGTACCAGCACGCCCATCAACGGGGAAGACAGTTCTTATATGGGGCGGATCCTCCAGCGTGGGTTGCTGCGCTATTCAGCTGGCCGTCGCCGCTGGCTACGAGGTATTCACGACTGCTTCCCCAAAGAACCATGACCTAGTGCGCAGACTGGGAGCTTCACGGGTGTGGGACTACAACAGCAGCGAGGTGGTAGATGAAATAGCGGAGGGCCTCAAAGGCAAGGTGGTTGCCGGCGCTGTTGCCGTGGTACCAAGCTCGGGGAATAAATGCATGTGCGTGCTGGAGAAGGCTCCCAAAGGCGCCAACAAATTCGTGGCCATCGTCTCTCTCCCAATGCCAGACAGCGAGCCAACTCGCATGGGGATGGTGGCGACAGCCGCGACGTATCTGACGAAAACAGCGACTTACGGCGTCAGGAGTATGATGAACGGAATCAAGTGGAACTATGTGACAATGGACGGAATGGCTGAAGAGGGGCTGAACAAGCAAATATTCGTCGACTTCTTGCCGAAAGCTCTTGAATCAGGGTCTTTCGTCCCATCGCCAGAGCCACTCGTGGTCGGGCACGGGCTGGAGAAGATCCAAGAGGCATTCGAACTGCAGAAGAAGGGTGTTTCAGCCCAGAAGATTGTCGTCACTCTTTAGGGAGGGAAATATGTATCGCAACGAATCACTGTATGGCCTTTTTAGTTGAATAACATTTAATTATTGTTTTTTTACAGAACACATCTGCTGAGGGCTTTTCCTGCCCTTTAACGTTGACATCTTCCAAAAACCATCGAGAGGACTTGAAATCATGAGATAGTGAAGAATGACTCCATGAGTTCCAGGGGAATATTGTCTTCCCTAATCAGGATGTGCAATACCGACGATATAAGATCAATATCCTCTAGCTACTAATCCTCACAGAATGAGTCCCGCCTCCCTGAACTGCTCAAATGCCTCAATCCATCCTTCGATTGGATCGCGGCGTTCATGGAAACCACAGGCTCGCAGCCGTTCTAAGCTCAATTGTCGGTCGAATGTGAGGCAAAATCCGACGCTGTCCAACTGTTTGCTCCCTGCTCCAACACCGCCAGATAACGCTTTCGCACGATTCTTCTCCGAGAAAATGGTTTCATGCTTCTTGACATACTCGCCTGGTTTGGGCGCATCCGTCTCTGCAGAAGGGCCAACACCAGCAAGCCCGAACCAAGCAGCAATCATTGGCCAAAGCTGGCGAAAAGTGGTAGGATGGGCACCATCCGCCATATTGATGACCTTCCCGCCACATACATCGGGGTTCAATGCGGCGAATATGGCGATCCGCCCAAGAATTTTGCTGGAAACTGGAGTAAACTTGCTATCCAGTGCTTCTTCGCATCCAGGAAACGGCACCGGAGTTTTAGAGCCTTCGGTTGCAACACCTGCGCCTTTATTATGCGAGTACAGAGACAAGTATTGTGCCCAGTGGAGGGCAAGAGACCACCCAGAGCCATTTGGGCTAAATCCGATAACAGCATCGGGGCACACCTCTGTCCATGACCAACCACGCCCGTTGCTGGCTTCAGTTAGGATCTTTCTGAACCACGGGTAGGCCACAGTCTTGGCATAATCATCAGGAAGTTGGTCTGCCATCGCCTCATCAAGCGGTGCCTGAAAAGTACCACCAGGGATGTAGATTCCGTACCCCTTGAGTCTCTGTTAATATTCGAGAAAGGATAATTGCGTAATTGAACGGTCACATACTCTTGTACCACCGGGGTAGATGAAAGCTTTGAGAGCTGGGGATATTATGTTCACTGCGGCTACAACTCTCCGCATCATATCGCAGTTGATCTTGCACTCCTCGACGGCGTCACTGTTGAGTGCAGAAAACACTCGATTTAAATTAGCCAGTCTCATCATACGATAGCCAGGGGCTTAGTGTACCAAAGTAGAACACATGGGTAATGGTCTCAGCATCGGCGACATTGGTTTGAAGCTGATGTGCCAAAGCCTCCCCGGTACCGTCTCGTAGATCTATTCCTGAAACAATCTGTAATTTTGGCTTTGCAGAATCTTGAGTTCCTTTGGAAGATAAGTTCAGGTCGGGTTCGGATATCGGTCGGTTGACGACAGCCGTTACTCTTGAAAATGTTCCAGATTCGGGGTAATTAGAGGTCAATTGGTTAAGGACAGACCAACCGAGTAGGCCAGCAGCCCCAAACACGATTGCATGGTTTGCGTTTTTGGACATTCTGAATACTGAGTTGATGGACCCTGGCTATTCATTTAATATCGGGATTGTAGGGAATACAGACAGAACGTGCCCAGAACGGAGGCAAGGAATACACGTTTTAAATTGAAGGCATGCGGCCATTAGAAGTCCAGGTGGGGTCGATGAATCATAATGAGCCAGGAAACACCATCGATTCTTCTCACACCGATTGTCACAATCTTAGAGATGTGGGGGTTTTATGTAAGAATCGCCCCAATTAACTTAGCCGGTTGAACTAGATGGTTCGGGGGAGGTAAAACCGTCTCATATGATTCCCCTAGCTCTTTTCAAAGTCCTCCCTCGCGCCTGTCGCTACTTGATCATCAGTGAGTACCCGAAGAGCAAGCATAGCCATTCCCTTGCCACACTCAATCGTGGCGTCATGTGCATCATCTGTAGCGGCTTCCGCGGTAAACTTAGGACTGTGAATTGGAACGCCCAGAGTCGAAGCAACAAAGGTACCATGGAAGCTAGGAACATAGTATGACACATTGCCCATATCTGTTGATGCATGAAATTCCATTCTCTGCTTAAGGAACACGTTATTGCCCAAACCTGCCATCTCGTCGACATAGGTCCGGCATAGAGTGCTATTTACTCGGAGGTCTTTGTAAGTGGGTGAGCTGTAAATAGCTTAGATATCAGTAAGTCACCAGAATTGGCTTCGAGATGGAGGCAAGACATACTCAATATAATTGACAGTACACCCACTCGCCAATGCACCGGCCTCCATGCATTTCTTGACACGAGCGGCAAGCAATTCGCTCCGTTCACACGTGGGGGATCTGACAGCCCAGCTCATGCGAGTGTAGCCAGGGATAATGGCAGGCGCAACACCACCGTCCTCAATAATGCCGTGGATATTGTCGTCAGGGCGAGTCTGCTTCTTCATAAGTGCCACATTGTTGTATGCAGCAACCGCAGCGTCTAGTGCATTCCTGCCTTCCCACGGCTCGCCTCCAGCATGCGCCGTCTTGCCGTGGAACTCGACCTGGAACTTGTGGTTCGCAACAAGAATCGGCCCCGCGAGACCTACTTCGTCGCCTTTGGCTAGGATCTGATGCATACCGACCGGATGAGCCATGATTGCAGCTGCAACATCTTCCGGTGGGTCAAAGGCGCCAGCTTCAATCAGCTTAGCCTTACCGCCACCACCTTCCTCAGCAGGTGTACCTAGAAGTCTTACTCGTCCGGGGATCTGAAGCTGAGCAAGGGTATGGGCTGTAGCAAGGAACGCTGCAACTGATGCGGTCGCAATGAGGTTGTGGCCACACGCGTGGCCGATACCTGGAAGAGCATCGTATTCAGCGCAAAATATCACTAGACGACCGCCTGAGCCAAATCTAGCTTCAAAACTGGTTTCTAGTCCATAGGTCTTCTTTGAAATCTCAAGCTTAAGCTGGAGACCTTCAAGAAACGCCGTGATGGTGTCATGCGCAAAATGTTCTTGGTAGCCAAGCTCGGGATTCGCGTGAAGAGGGACGTTGACCTGAGAGCGTAGAACGCCGCTTAGCTCATTTAGATGCTTGTTCACCAAAGCCCTAACTCGGATGTAGTCAACCATGTCTGCGACCGAGTTAGAGACAGTGATGTTTCTTGAATCTTGGAGTGGTTGGGATGCAATAGTGTGGTTGCTAACTCTGCAGAGGAGGAAATACGGGACAGCTAAACATGTAGCAGTAAATGTGACCATGTCAGGGCTACGTAGCAGCACATCAGGCCATTGCTACATGCGAACCACAAAGGTTCCAATTTACAGCTTACCCATGAAGCCAGAAGCCAATCCTGTTGGTTGCAGATGCACATCTCACCTTCAACCAACAGATAGTCCCACGAGGGGAAGATGACGCGCCCAAAGAGCCCAACTTTCCGGGTCCCCCGTTTGCTATGGATATAGTGGAAGAACAATGCTTATTCACTTCATAGTACGAGTAATTAAGAGCTCAGACTGGTGCCTGGGCTATAGTTCGAGCTATGAACGAAGTAAGGTCGAAGTAATTGAGCCTGAAAACTGGGCATATGAGGCTCAGGCTTTGGGGTGAACCATACCCCAGTGGATATTTCAGCAGTTTCAAGAAGCTGAAGGCCCATTTACGCCATCGAAAGTTGTCATTGAATGGCTGAAAGCTTCTGGTTTTAATCTGTAAGCTGTAGTGGTTAAGTCTAAAACAATACTATGGATTCAGATAATCTAACCAGTATGATCAGAGATGATTCACTCTCTCTTGCAAAAGGTATAAGTTGCCGAAGCCTCGTCCCTGAACTCAATGTTTATGATGACAAGAACTCCAACATCAAATATTATATTACTTCTAAGTAAATCAAATTGGTAAAATATCATACGAGTTTCTCTGGTGCTATGTTCTCTAAAAGAAAAACAAGAGATGAAGCAATAGTCGCCGTGGTATTACTCGCCCGCTAGATTTCCAATGAGGTTAGTTTCACGCAAAGTGAGTCAACACAACGGAAGCCCACATACTGTAAATGAGCACGCCGTCGATATTCTCAAATTTCTTGTCAATTCGAATCGACTGTCTTCGATACGACCCGTCGTTCTTCTTAGCGTCTGCGCACAACATGACATGCCCATCGTCATCAACCATGAGTGAGATGTTCTTGGTGCTGTCTGCAAAACCGTCGGCTGTTTGTGCAAGTTAGGGCACCAAAGTCACCAGCCAGCTTTCTCCATATCAACTCACTTGCTAAGTCCAAGCTGAGGAAACCGTTGGTATTTTGAACCACATCGTTCAAATCTAGTGCTGCGTCCACATAGTCTTGGCTGTTGTTTCGAAGCTTGATACAGAGCATATGATCGTCCTCCAGGTGGATGTCTTTTGCAGTCCCGTTAAAGGCCATATTGGAATACTTTCTGTCCGTTGAAACGTATTTCTCTTCTCAGATGTGAGAAGTTGGTTAGTTTGCCCGATGAGGAGGGGTGGCGTCTTTATAGACTCCAGACCCAAATGACTCGCATATCTGCCCACGTGCCTTGCGTGATCCTACGAGTGCAAATGATTCACGGCAAAAGAACATCAGCCACTGGGCTAGTAAGAGAAGCGATCGACATTCCTACTCCAAAGGTAATAGCCAACTTGGCGTGGGCTAGAATCTGTTCCTTGTACAAACGAGCTAGCGTTCCAATACCCGTGCCGGATCTGGGGATCATTCAAGCTCGGTTATTTGCATATATGGGGATTCTCGTTACTCGAGTTGGAATTGGGCTGACACGAGTGGAAACTTTCTATTGTGCAAATGACTAGAATGATTGGGTAGAGTTCGTGCCGGCGGCGAGTGCACCATTCCAGCGCAATCCTTGGCTGTCCATGTCGAATGAATCCGGCAGGATCTAGACCTGCAAGTCAAGATAGGCAAAGGCGCATTCTACGGAATTTCCCAGGTACCTTGCCCAGCCAAACAATGCATTTCACAGCCAACTCTTGACCTTATCTGGACGGGAAGGAGGCGATTCGGGTGGGTGGAAGCAGGCTAAACAGGGGCATTGAATTTCACTTGACCATTTTTTGATAATGTTGATCTTGTCTCCTGATTAAAGATATATTGACACCCCCGAGGCAACGAACAACTACATGTGCGTGCTTTGCATTGTCGTCTCTGGAGCCACTTCCCATTGTCTTGTGCTGGGATCGTACTCTAACAGATAGATGCACTCGCTGGCACCTGACCCCTCGAATTTGTGTGGTATGATGAGCTTTGGCTCGCAATAGTGGCCCATGAATTCAAGCTCAATATTGAATACAGTGTCCGCTTGCAAAGGGCCACTGATAGCCGCTATGAACGGTTCGGCAATCATGCAATAATCATAATCGAGTAATTTGACTGTGCGGAGAAAGGATGCCGGTGTGCCGTCGGTGTCTATTCCCATGACGCTGACCAGTGAAGTATTGTGAGTCCCATTCTCTATTTTCAGAGTCACAAGTCGGCGAAGAATGAATGGTGGAATGGGGATTTCAAGTTTCTCCATCACCTTAACCATCAGGTTATCAGTCTTTGCAAAAATGCGCATAGTGACCAGATCATCCTGCGGTGTTGGCTGCAAATTGCAGATCGCCAGGGTAGCCGGCCAACGAAGTGAATATTGGCGACAGCCAATCTGTTCAGGAATCTCGTTGGCGGGTGAGACCGTCAGCGATGAACCGAGGACAATACAGAGGTCCGTTTTCTGGCCGTGTTCGAACGCGATGTCCAAGACATCCCCCGGTAGCGCCTCTCCGAAGTTTATGATGCTATCGTGGAGATCTCCGCCACATCGGGCACACTTGCGACCCGTTCGATGGTCGTGCACGCTGGTTTGGTAGGTGGCTGTAGCGTGAAAATCTAAAGCATGTCAGCTTTCTCCGGTGATGGGGGACGGCCTTTCACATGTACTGTCGCCAATATGATTCCATCGTACCTCGAATGTAGTCTTTTCCGCAGTCCTTGCAATACTCACGATTGCTATTTCCGTGCAGCTCTGATATATTCTCCTATTAGATCATTAGCACTGGCTAGCCGACTATGGGGTGTGAAAGCTTATGAGATGCACGTACCGGCAAGATCCCACTCCGTCGATGCAAACCGTCGCAATTCTGGCTAATTACGTGTTTTAACAGTCCGCGGTCCTGTAACTCGACGAGCGCCATGTGTGTCAAGGTAGGGATCGCCTGAAGGGTATCAGTCGTCGGGCCAGTTCTGTCTCGCCCCTGCGCCTGGAGTGTCCACGTGCCATCGGGGCCGCGAAAGTCGGGAATTCCTGGTATCAATTGTCACTTAAATCATCCGGATCTCCCTATAGTATACTGACTTACCCGCAGATGTCGAGATACCAGCTCCGGTGAATACGATGAAGTGCTTGCTTTGTTTGATGAGATCGGCAAGTCGCGATGCTTTTTCATCAACAGAGTGGACCGACTCGTGGTACTCCTGCTCGGGGTTTGTAGACGCGGTCCATGCCATGATGTATTTGGTTCGTATTGAGCAACAAAAACTGGGTTCGCGGGGGGGATTATGAGGATGGCCTGCGAAGGTTGATAGCTAAGAGTCGTGATGGTTCGCTGAGGCTGAATGCGAATGAGTCACTTACGTAGGCAGAAGAGGATGGTGATTACGTCAGCCAGGCACCAGTGGCACGGTTCAATGGTCTGATTAGCTCGTGTTCTTTGTGCCGCGGTTGATGAAGAAATGTCTCGTTGATGATCATGCGTCTCGTGGTGGGCGTTTAATGTGGTGGATTGTTGTGAGTTACGGTTTGTGGGTGTAGTGTGCAAGCTCATCTGTGCTGTCAAGATCATGCCAAACTGAGCACGTAATTATATCCGAAGCAGCCGCATGTGAGCTGTATGAAACTACAACTGTATTTCTTTATGGGGAAAGTGATGGGGATGTACGCGTTACTTGGTTACATATTGTCACTTCCCTCGACGACTCACTCCTGGCCGCCGTTAAGAGCCACCACCCATGTGTAGGTTCGTAATTGCCGAGATTCATTAGTAAATTTCACGTCGCCTTGAAAGCTCCCCAAACACATATCTCTATCATGGATTATTTCTAGGTGCACTGCTTTGAAATATCTTGAAATGCCACTGGCCAATGTCGCTCGTAGCATGCGCCATGATGTCTAGCAGCTGATTCCGCTCTGAAGTTCACTTCCAATTTCAAGCTCAACCTTTCGGTTCGGTTCGGTTATTTAATCATTCTCGATCTCAAGCTATGGCACCATTTTATGCTTCCGAAAATATCATGACTTAAAAGAAGTAATTATGGAGCTCATCGCAATAAATAATTTGTGATGTATCAACTTCAGCGACCCGGAGTGGAGTTGGTGGTGCTAGTCCATACGGCATCACGGTCTTTCAAGTGGCACCTTAAATAAATGAGCAGAAGGGCGTGCTTGTTGGTAGCTATTGCGGTGTGAGAGATAAGAGACTAGTCAAGGTTGTAGCAGATCAAATGCTCTTTTGCACAGGAAATTGGGAAGGGGAATAGCTGCAGTCTACGAAGAGGTAAGACAATGCTGCATCTATGTCCCATTCGGGCAGATGCAGCTTTTCGTCACACATGGCGAAATCATCCACGTCATTATGCGATCTGAACTTTAAGTAGTCCTATCGAAACGGCTCCAACCCCTCATTCTTAATTCATTCTTTATTTGCAAACAATTCTCCAATACCTACTTTACCATATTGCTGACCCAAAACCCTGTCTGTTGACAATGCAGCCTCTGTCAATCAACAGCTCCATCACGCTCTCTAACTCGAACAAGCTTCCGCAGCTTGGGTTTGGCGTCTATCTTTCACCTGCAAGTATCTGCACGCAGTCATGCCTGACCGCCCTGGAGAATGGCTACCGACATATCGACACGGCACAGTACTACGAAAACGAGGCCGAGGTTGGTTTAGCTGTAAAGCAGTCTGGTCTGCGTCGCCAAGATGTCTTCTTGACGACCAAGATCCTGTATCCAGGTGGGTCGGAGGATCTCAGCTATGAAAAGTGCGTGGATAGCGTGCGCAAACTGGACCCTGAGCATGGATACGTGGATTTGTTCTTGATTCACAGCCCCAATTGCGGCGGGGAGCAGAATCGAAAGGAAATGTGGACGGCTCTAGAGAGGCTCTACGAAGAAGGGAAAGCAAAGAGTATCGGGGTCAGCAATTTTGGCATCAAGCATATCGAGGAGCTGCGAAAGTTTGCCAAGGTCTGGCCACCTCATGTAGACCAAATCGAGGTACGCGGCTTCCATGAAATTCATCCTACCATGATCACAAGCTGACGCAAAGGTGCTGTAGTTGCATCCATGGTCCCAGCAACGAGAAATTGTCGACTACTGCCGTACTCATGGCATCGCGGTAGAGGCATATTCTCCCTTGGTGCGCAACCAGAAAGCGCAAGACAAGACACTTGTGCGTATTGCTGAGAAGTACCACGTGGCCACCAGCCAGGTGCTCATTCGGTACTGCCTGCAAAAGGGCTGGATTCCTCTGCCCAAGAGCGACAACCCTGGGAGGATCAAAGCCAACGCCGACGTGTTCGACTTCTCCCTCGACGACGAGGACATGGAAATCCTGGATAACTTGAATCAAGGAGCTGCCGGGGCAATTGTCGAGGCGGTGGCAAACTAGGTCTTGATCATCACTTTCGGAACTCTTCGTATCCTGGTCCCTGTCGCGGCCCCTAGAGAATCCGTCAACGGACTGTGCAGCACAGACCTTGCGTGAATCAGTCCAATGAGAAATGAGACAAGTCTTCTTCTTCCTCCTTTCCTATGGTCAATTTCTGCCTTTTGTTGGTCGCAACCGTGATCTACAAGATTTCTTCTCGACAAGAAGAATCCAAGTGATGAATATTTCCAGATTATCTCCGCTCTATGTGACACATCTCGTTCTAACTGTAGCTTTTGATCCTTTCCGTATCCCGCCGGTATTACCCGCATGATAGACGGCACAGTTCTGCATGTCTGAAATCGCTCCAATCGAAAGCACGGTTGATGTGATGGATGGCGAGAATTACTGTGATGATTGTCTCCAAGGATCCAAGGGCGATTCAATTTGAGGGATCAAGCAGTATTAATAATCTTACGTATACTGGCTGAAAATTAAGGATCGACGTGGCCCTGTTAAAGCATTGTCTGTGCTGTGCAGACTCTGTAACACATACGAAGAAACCCTGGTCATGTCCCATGTTGCATTCGACACTTGCCACGCCCTCGTTTGAAAGCTGCCCAATTACTCTGTCAGCTGACAGGTGTTTTGATCTGCCACTCGCTCGCGATATTCTCTCCTGCCGATAGTCGCATCACTGACACTTCGATCTGATTACCCCCAGGCTGGCTGTGGGGTCTTCTGCCTGCCTACCACCAGCGGTATCTGCAGCAGAAATTTCGTAATTTCGATACCTCAACATGTCAACCGAACCTTCCGGAGACCTAGCAAGAAAGCTGTCTGATCTGGTAGCCGAAGCCAGACTAGAAACTAGCTTTCTTGATGCCAGCACACAGCACGTCTACCACAATGGCGCCGGCGGCCAGTCGGTACCGGCGCGTCGGGTCGAAAATTGGAATCTGGATGCCAAACGACCCGTTCTAGGCAGTGGCAGCTTTGGCACCGTCAGGCTTGAGAGATGCCAGCAGTCGAGTTCGAGGATGAGAGCCGTCAAGGAGATCAAGAAGCACGATCAGCAACAGAGAGTGATAGACTATTCGCGAGAGCTAGAGGCTATAGTCCAATTCTCCCGGCCCCAGGTTAGAGGTCTAACGCCACGTTCTTAAGATCGTATCCTAATTAGCCTAGTACTCGCATTGCTTCGTCCAATCACATGGGTGGTTTGAGAACGAATCCTCGATATTCATCGCCATGGATTACCACCAGTGGGGTGATCTCAGCCGCCATCTCTATGCACCACTGCCCGAAGACGAGGTGAGCCAGATCATCTCGCAGGTCGTGGAGGGTATTGTCTATATGCATGAGAAAGGATTCATACATAGAGACCTAAAGCCAAGCGTAAGCATCACAACACATGTTCATATATTTACGAATAGCTGTTGACTAATCTATCACGCAAAGAATATTATGGTGATCTCAAATGGGCCTTACTGGTCTGTAAAGATAGCAGACTTTGGTATCAGCAAACAGAGATTCCTCCAGGAGTCTCTCAACACGGTTGGTGTTGGGACGATTGGCTATGCAGCGCCGGAGCAAATCGGCCTTAGCAGCAACGACGTTGCTGTGAATGATGATAGCTCAACCCCAGGCTTCCCTGCCGATATGTGGTCGATAGGCATATTAAGCATGAAGCTATTTACAGGGCAAGTACCATTCAAAGATCTAACAACCCTTTCTCAATACTTGTCCTCGAGCCAAGAAGCTCGCGCTCTCAAATTAGAATCCCCATTAAAACAGAAAGGCGCCAGCAAAACCAGTCAGAAGTTCATTGTCGACTTGTTACAAGTCGAGCCTGACAAAAGAATGGGCGCATACCAGGCTAGTGTCCACGAATGGTTAGCCAAGGTAGGAGAGGTATCTAATGACGTGGCCAACGATGGATCAAATGATTTATCTCTGTGAGTTTCCCAGCACCATGGACGAAACTTTACAATTTCTGACAGGCATCATGTCTTTCCAAACAGGCTGGTAGATCTTCAAAATGATTGGCTTCGAGCCAGTCAAACTTTTGCAGCCGATACAGACGCACCATCTGCAAGCTGGGGTCCCACAACCCAGAATACAAGCTTCCTATCACCCCTCTCAGCGCAGGTTCCTCTAGTTAAAGAACCGGCTTCCGCTACGGCTATTTCTCCAAAACCAGAAAAAACAACAATAACAACAGACATTCGACGCACAAACTCCACCCTCGGGTCCGATCTGAGAAGGAACCGGCAAGGTGTTTCGACTAGGTCATTGAACGAGAACCAACCAATAGACTCCTCGTCTGACCTGCTGTTCCTTTTGCGTCAACCCACTACGCTGTCACATCAGGACCAACTCACACTTATACGCGACAGTATAGAATTCAGTGTCATCACTCCTTCATTGATTGCAGTGATTAGCAGATTCTGTTCCGAGTCCCAAGATTTGAAGATAGAAATGATGGCAAGCAGCCTTGAGGTCATCCAAGATTTGATGAGGAAGGGTGAGGATCATCAAGCTGTTCCCCTGGTTCGGCTGATGCTCGACAACATGGGTTCACTCTCTGATCCTTCTCATCTACAGGTGGTTCGCTTAACTGCTGCTGTAGTGATCGTGAATAGCCCTGGGTTTAGCACAGAAGCTCAGAAATATACCTCGCGGGACGCGGAGCTGAAAGCAACTGTGGCCGTCGAGCTATCAAAGAAGATTGACTGGTTATTGAAAAAGCAAATGTTTGGAGATGCCATCAAAATCCTTGAACAAGAAAAGCTAGACCCGCTCGTTCCAGCTGCGGCAACAAAAGAAGGACAGAAAAGCCACATTGACCTCAACCCACGACTGCGGTTGGCAAAAGCATACATGGGTCAGAGAAGATTTAAAGATGCCATCAAGGTCCTGGAGCATGCAATCACGCATCCCAACGCTGACCAGAAGCAAGTTCCATTTGTTCACCAGTCACTCGCGGAGGCATACTCCAAGATAAACTTCTGGACATCAGCCAAAAGCCACGCCCTGGAGTCCGTCACAATTCTTCAGAACACTCTTGGTGACGACGATAGGCACACGCTGGCCGCAATAAAGCTTGTTTATGACATCTGCAAAGCGACAAAAGACAAAGAAGAGAGTCACTGGGCGGGGTTATAGATGAAATTAGCCGGCAACCATGTCATGAGGATCCAGGAGGAAACAACACCGCCACAGGACTCCTCCATTACCGCGAGAGGCTTCTTCGAGTGCCAGCAGGCCATGATTGAGCTAGCAGCCGACGATCCTGAGAAAGCGGCTATGTTAGGTGTTCGCTACCTCGAGGATAACTATGTCACCGAGGAACCAATCTGCTTCGAGTGCATCAAAAATCACCTCATTCAAGGCGCCTGTCTCTTCAGTGCTACTGCAACAAAGTTCGATTGTAAAGCACACAACTCTGAATATCGCAATTTCTCGGTCGTTCATTTCCTAGCAATATCACGTCCTCGGGTCGAGGAGAATGGCGAAGGATGCCTTCAAGAAATGCGGGCTCTACTAAACTTCGCATATCATGACCCATCTGTCGTCAATGCATTGGCAGAGTACAAGCCCGCCGGGCTGCAATCATCCTCGGAACCCGTATCTGCATCCCCGTTGTGGCTGGCTGCCTTCAAAGGAAAATCCCAGATTGTTGAACATATTCTGGGTCTTGATTCCTCAGATGCGTCGATCGGTGCGCGTATCCTTTGCTCCCTTCCATGGTCGATGAGAAAAGATCTTGTTTCCGTGGAGGTTGTAGATACAACAATCGTCAAAGCAGTCCGTGCTCTCAGTGCAATGACTATCTCATCACTCCTTCGGGACCCATTTCTTCAGCAACATTGCAGTTGGGTGTGGTGTTTTTCTAGTCATGATCTTCTAGAACTCGTGTTGCAGAAATGTGGAAAAGACCCGGGAGATGTGTTGGTAAGAGCATGTAAACCGGATAGCAAGAGGTCTCGCGAGACTCGGATGAAGCCAATAGCAATCGCCCTGGCAGATATCGATATATCATCGGGGAGTGTGCCGATCGACAGAGCAGCTGCACTTGTCACGATTTCCAGTTATCAAGAGAATGGCAACTCCCAGGCCAGTCTAGACGGACAACCAAGCAGGGGAACTTTCAAACAGAGAATTATTCCGTCTCAAGAGCCGCGATCTGCCCTCGATCACCTTGCTATTCGGCTGAGCGAAGCCCTAACCTGCATATCCCCGCCACGCTGGATACCAGAAGATCTTGCCCTGGAAGAGAAACGCATCCATGAGCTTCGCCGCGAGATCAGGGTATCAACAAGAATGGCGCATTGGATTCTCGATAGACGGGGCTCGGTCGATAAGAGAAGCCAACACTTTTGGAGCGAAGTCGAAATCCGATTCAATTATCTCGAGACAGGAAGCTTCCGTCGGAACTTGGCAATTGGCATGTCTGCTGAAGATCGGCGAGCCCGGCGAACTTTGGATCTCGAGACGTCTCATATGCTGATGAAATGCTTACAACCTGTGTTGGATAAAATAATATGATACACTACACTGATTATGATTATGAGAATATACAGTTGGCTCTTCTAACACGAGGGACTTTCAGGGTGTCTTGCGTCACAATTTACAGCCGATGCTACAACATGATTTCGCTCACTTCTACATTTTCCATTATAATGCCTTAATCTATCTTAATTCAAAGTTGCGAGATACATAAATAAAATTCAGATTATTGAGAATATGACACTTTGTTGAAGATCCTTCTAAGTTCTGAGAGAGTATAGCAGCTTATAGAGCTGCTAGAAAACACTCGAATGTGAAAGCAACCCGCGTAATCTTAATACAACCCAACGCAGGCAAGACAAGATTCATGCCTACTCAGTCGCAGCACTTCAGGGGTCTCCTCTTATACTTAGCACGGAGGCTATGCTGCTTTTCTGTTTGAAAGGCGGGATCCGAGGCCGGCTTGGACTTTTTCAGGTGACAATCTTAGAATCCGGTCGACGTTGCGAATGAACACTATTCTATTGCAAGCTCACAATAAATGAACCTATATTCGCAGAAAAGCCAAGTATTATTGGTAATGAGGAACAATTGATGAGAAATCAAGACCACGCCTATAATAAGACAAGTCCAGTAATCCAATGTCCGGCCTAAAGAGAAGCCGTGCTGGATGTCTTGTGTAGGATTTTGACAGAGAAGTCTAGGGGGCCTTGCGTCAAGGATGGGTTTCTATTGGCCATTGGAGTGATGGTCATCTCTGAATGGTCATCTCCGGATTTGAAATGCAACCAAGATACCCATGTAATGTTTACGTGATAGCTGAGTGATTGGTCGATCAGCAGCTCTTGCAACCTTGGCATCGGTCTTGGTCAGACCGTCAGAGCCTGGGCACCATCTAGAAAACTATTTTACCCCTCAATCAGACACATACGCCCAGAAGACGAGCCAAATCTACCAGCTGCTCACACCAGAAAGTACCAAACATCTTCTTCATAATGTCATTCTCAATATTCCCGCCGCATTGCAGAGAAATTGGGACCATGTTTTCTCAATCTACAAACACGGAGCCACAGCTCATTCAGTCTCTTCAAGACCTTACAATTCTTGAGCAATATGAACGCGGGGAGACTAAACTCAAAGCAACCACGTTTTATCACATCAGCAATAACGAAGAATTGTATTTTGGGGTGACGTCGAAGAGCAAAATGGACACATCGATCCCCGAGTACAATTCAGCTCTCAAGCGCGTTCCCGATGAGAAGGTCTGGCCTGAAGTTCCGGCAGACGTCAGCCTCACTCTTGCGCCTGATAACCTGACCGAGAAGTCGGCTTTCCTGAAGCGGCCTAAGCTGAAGTCATATTCTCCTGAGAAAGATAACAGCCTCATCCCCCAGTCATTTCTTAAAGAAACATTGATAATGGAGCAACTATCAAACTTGCCTCATCCAAACCTCATCCAATACCTTGGCTGTCGGGTGAAACGGGGTCGGATTACGGCAATTTGGTTGGAGCGCCTCGAACTGACCCTGAACCAATACGTCAACACCCCAGAGTTCAACCAACTAGACAAGGACAAATTTCTTGATCATATTGAATCAGCCGTAAACCATTTACACGCCTTGGGCCTCGCCCATAATAATATCAATCCCGGCAACATCATGATTAAGGGCAACAAGCCCACTCTCGTTGGTTTTGGGTCTTGTCGGGCTTTTGGAGAGAATTTGGACTCACTTGGTTCCCGAGGTTGGCATGGAAAGATACTCTCCACCTCTGAAAAGGAACATGATATTCTTTCCTTGAAAAATCTACGTGATTGGATCAAGAACCCAGACTAAAGGGAGAAATCATGTCGTTTAGATGAAAGGCATGGGAAAAGATCATCGAGGCACCTAAATGCGGCTCAAGAAGAAATTCATTCAACTATCAAATTTGTACTCCATTTAAACTACGTCATTTGAAAACAGAGCAAAATATAATCTAACGGGTCGCGTGAAGTCTGTACTCTTCGACCATCCCAAAACCTCCAGCTGGGTCTTTACCCCCAACATCTCGCCCAATTTCAGTAGTTCGAATAATGTTACTTACGGGTGAGAGAGTTCGAGTACAAAGTAAAAAGCAGCAATGGAGATGCCAGACCCGACACCTCAACACAATGAATAGTTAGTTACAATATTGAGAGCGGTTCAACGAATCATACACGCTTTTTGGGAAACAACATATGGCTCCGCATAGGTCAAAATTTATGTGCATGTCCAGGTTTTCAAAGCCTCAATAATTCTACTCCTTAAGGATTCAGAGGAATCCAAATCGGTAGAATGTTGGGCTACGCCACTGAGGCTGAATCATGGCTACTATTAATAAAGGCATGTCCTCGCATTGTGCCATAGGAACGATGGCCTGTCTGGAGGTCGCATTGGTCTACGCCCCGCAGCTGCTGCGCCTCCAGCTGATGAAGCGGTGTGTTCTTCAGTGTCCTCATAGCCATCCAACGAAAGCTGTTGGTTGTAACCGCGCAGCTTGCACCAATTGGCCGCGGCCGGGTCACATCGAAACGGGGCAGTATTTCAGGGGTTAGAATCCATGTCACAACCATTCAATTTATAACAGACCAAGCCTAACCAATTGCAACAGGATTGAGAGATTTCCTTTGACTCTTGACATGCCGAACGCCCGTCGAAGGCGACGATACCTCCCACTCATATCTCTCGACGCAAAGCATAAGCCATGGCGTCCATCCAGGAGCTGAGCGACCAATTAAACTATGGGAAAAAGAGATTCAATGGTGATCGGAGCTCAAAACTGAAAGAAAACGTCGATTTTTTCTCTACTCACTATGCCAAAAAGTGCCCAGCGGTCAGGGCGTGGGGCGACCTCAAGAAACCCGACGTCCAACAATTCGTGTTGGAAATGGCTGATGAATTTCTCCGTCAAGAAGGATCAACACTTTGGCCTGAAGATGAATGTTCTCCGTTATACAACGAGAGCCTCATCTGGCCACGGGATGAAAAGGAGTAAGTTACGCCTCCCACTTACCACAGTCTCTGTGGTCATTGTTAACATTGACCACAGAATCAAAAAGCCGATGTCCAGGATGTTCTTCGCAAAGAACCTTCATAAGCAGAGGAGCGACCACCAGATGGACCAAAAGCGTAAAAGCAGCCACACCACAACGCCAAGGACGCCTACTTCGTCCAGGAATATGGACGAAAATGATGTCCGCACCGATAATCAAACGAACCCCGCACGAGAGCCATTAAATCTGGAGAGCTTAGATGAGGCCGATCCTACTCTTCCGGATTTATATGAGGTTCCGGCTCCCCGGGTGCTTACCCCCAAGCAAGAAGCTGAAGTCCGAGCTCTAGCCGAAGAGAGTTTCCCAACGAGATCCTCTTCGACTGAGCTTTTAATTGACGCGGACAGGTCTGACAAAGACAAAAATAAGAGTGAGGACAAGTTACCTCCTCAGACTCGCGAAGAGCGCTCGGCCTTGGTTTCCGAATTCACGCCGGTTAATCGGCTGAGATCACCATTCAACAAAACTGTTGAAAACATATCCAGACCCAGACTCTCTGCTTCCCCTTCCTCGGCAATGTCCCAAGGCCTCCTATCACCTAGCACGCAGCCTCGCACCCCTCGAGCTGAAAAGATAGACACAGAAGACGCTCCACATTACGCGTCCTCAGTTATGCCAAAAAGGCGACAGGAAACCGGTTTAGCTCTCCAGGAAGATGTTAGTGCGGCCGTTTCGCGGATACCCCTGGAACCCGAGATATGGTACTATGCCATCAAATCACATAACCCTAAAGTGACGAAGTCGTGGGAATCGAAAGCGAGATTTTCAGATATGACATTGATGCAGCTCAAGGATGAACTGCTGCGCGGTTTTGACGATGCCGCACCATCGGATATTCGCTGCACATTGCACGGGCCAGATGACAGGAAAGCGGAGGTCGAGATCGACCACACGAAGAAAAGCCATATACAGAGACTCAAGACAATTTTCGAATCCGATATCAAGGAGGCTATTGAACAAGATAATGGCGAAGCTGCCAGTTCCCCACTGTCTTTTCTTATCGAGATTGAACCTGTCTGAATGATGTGTATAACTTAATAGCTACATTGTGATAATACAACTTTTTTGAGGGATGTATAGAGAAATTTTAACCCAAGTTTTCGTAGTATACACTAACTCCAAATTCAGCGAACTTGAGAATCCATCTGCCAGGCCAAGTTTCTAAACTCTTCAATCGGGCTCATGCTCCATTTATTCAACATTTCCCAGATTTCCGCTCCAGTTTTTTCTTTTGCCTCGCCATTGCTACTGCTTGCTTTGGTGAATGTGTCAGAGTCAAGAAGCTCCGCTGCAAGTCTGGTGCGGAGATGATCCGCTGGGGTTGGAGTGGCCCGGCTATCTAATTTATCAAGACTCCCTAGAGCAATAGCTAAGGATAGCGCAGATTGCTTAGGAACTGTTGTCATAATATGCGTCCTTATAATCTCGAACTCGTCATAGTACAGTCTGCCGCCTGCTGTGATTTCACGCAATAACTGCACAATCATCCCCGCGAATGGGGAAATGGCCCCGGAATTGCCATGGGAGAGATCCAAAAGTCTCAGCCTCAGAGGCAACGTATTTGGCAGTGCGAATGGTCGGCGATGGTGGTCAGCTTGCCATTCTGGTGTTCTGAGTTCATCAATCCTCTTAATCAGTTTCCTGATAACTCTGCCAGAACCAGCACTCCCCTGGTCTCCCTCGGGATCATTTGTTGGTAAACGGGATACAATATCATCAAAAAGGGCCAAATCTCCGCGTGATATTGCTATCTCAGCAATGCGCAACACAAAATCTTCTGCCATGGACGAGATTTTCGAAGTCTTGCCATCATTTTGGCTGATGGTGCTCCAAGAGGCCAACATCTCTGCTGCCCATCCTCCGCCCAAATCCAATGCCTCCTTGGAGGTTTTAGACCACAAATGAAGCCAGTGTCTACCAGTATTAGAACTTGCCAATTTTCGATTGTTCTGTACGTAAGTAGTGAACTCTCGAATATCCTTTGGTTGATTAAGCAGAAATAGCACATAGTCGCGAATCATGGTGAAATCTTCAACTGATATGCTGTGAAGAGTTTTCTGTCGCAGCAACTCTAGAAACTTCTCGGGACAGGTTGGAATCTGAGGCAGTATCAAAGATCCATTCCCAAACCCGTACTTCTCCATGAAAAGAGCTAGCCACCGTGAATTGGTTTGGCTAGATATGCGGAGCGCCTGGGTGGCAAGTTTTAGCAGCGCAGTACTACAAGGCTTGTGTTTCCTGGGCATGAGCATGTCCAACACAGTATGGCCATCCTGACTATGGTCAACGAGCGGCAGTTCTCCCCCGCTGCTCGCTGATTTCCATTCCGACTCTATGTCGGGGTGCCTTTCGTTGAGTGCAGAGGCGATGGGCACGGCATATTGTTTCAATAGGCGTGAAACATCCGTGTTTTCACCGCCGTCGTCTGTGAGTAATCCGGTGAGAGCTTTTATCGCAGCCACCTGTATTTCGACATGGGAGCTATGCCTCAGTATCTCGCCGAGTGTATTCACAGCTTTCTGTGGGGTAGTGAAGTTCTTCCCTCGCAGCAATTGCTCCACTGACTTGACTGTTGACACTCGGATAAGAGATTCCGAGACTGTGTGGCCGGTTTCCGAAGCTTCTCTTGCTTTCTGTAATCTTAGCTTCTCCACGATACCGCCAGATAGCGACTCAATGAAAGCCTGCGCATCTTGGGGCTTAAGCCGGTTCAAGTGGTGAGAGGTCAGTAGATATTCATGCCAGTCGCCAGCTTGGGGGACTTCTACAATGAACTCCTTGATGAGTGGGCTGGCGAGTGAAGGTTGTGGCCCATCCAACAGCATCCGAACAATCATATAAAAAAGTCCGTATGCTCCCTCAATTTTGACTGGATCTTCCCGTATGCGCCGCAAAACAGATATTCCCAGCCCTGCCAGAAGTTGAGGAGGAAGACGGGAGCGGTTGAGTCTTAGAGATGAGACTATTTTATCGAACATCAAGCTTTCTCTCTCGAAAAAGCCTTTAGATAAGGATAGATTAAGATCGAAGGGCAGATTCTTCTCCGAACTTGGCAGGTGAGACAGTGAACAATTCGTTCCGTGTGTACTGTCCAGACATAAAACAGCCGCCATCATCTGACTATCCAGCTCAGACCCTGGACACTCTGATAAAGACTTTGGATGCCAGAAGTCAAGCACATTTTTTGAATGTTTTGGAATTATCGGTTCCATCCAAGTCAGCCTCCGCTTTGTCCAGTGAGTGCCCATTTTCCAACCAGGTTTGACCATGCAGTCGAGAACTGTCGCCTGTCGGAGGCGTCTCTCATCTTTTCGATATGCAGTTATGGCGTTATAAGTTGGATCAGGGTCCCATTCTGCTATTCTTGATGGCTCATCGAATTCGTGCTTGGGGATATCGGCGTAACAGCGATGAGGAACGTCCTCATCAAGAACCTTAGCTATTGAACCAGAGTAGGGAAACGCACGAGCCCAGAATCTTTGTGCCTCTTCCGTCGACATTCTATCCCCGGTGAGATGATCGAGTGCGTATTTCCAAGCCGTTTTAAGCCTTGTTTCGTGATGAGAATCGCCATCTGTACCATAAATGTAGACTCGAAGCGCCACGCTCCAGTCGTCGACGAAAACACCAATGCTCGCGTGAGCCTTGGCAGAGCTCGGCGCAGGAGCCAAAACCGCCTGCGGATCACAAAACACGACGTCCCGAGCTCGCTTCTGCAAGTACGAAGCGTCACCAGCGTGATTTATGTGGTTTTCTGGCCACAGACACTGAAGTGGGAGTCCCTTTGGCCATGGCATTTGAAGTGTCGAAACTTCACGATCAAGTCTCGCCCGATATCCAGCCCAAAGACTGTCCCTGTTTTCTGCCAACATATCCAAGAATCTTACGACCAAAGGAGTAAATTCCATTGCCGATGACGACTTACTTAATAACGGGAATCCAGTCGGATTTTGAAAACCCAGACGCTGATTTCCGGGCCGGAGGATCAGCGACTCTGCTGCAACCATCACATCTAAGGTTGGTTGTAGAACCACATTGAAAACTTGCTCATCGGACCATTTCATTTGAACTTGCATATTTTGATAGTTTTTCAAGCGAAGTTCAACCACCTTGGGAATCAGCTGATACGCCGATTCCCAATCAGACCGGCAGAAAGAGGGGGAATCAACCGTCATAGCCGCTGTTTCAAGAAGTGTCATCAGAACTTTGTTCGCCTTTTGAACATTCTCCTGAATATCTGCTGTTGTGTTCCCACCATCCATGGCAGACAGAAGATGTAACAACTGCGGCATGTGGAGTTGCTGGTCATTATAGAGAAGTTTTAGTACCATGGCGTCCTTGTTGAAGCGACGCGCCCATATCAATGTATTGACATAAGCATCAATATCGCCCATGGCAATACAAAGTCGGCAGGCAGCAATTGCCCAGAATGCCCTGGCCTCTGCCGTGCGCCCTTGCTGAGATAACGATTTTCGACGAGAGAGCTCAGTTACTCGTAGATGATTTCTCACGTGGCGAGGATCGACAGGGCAGGGAGTAGGAGTATGTGAGAGGTTGCGCAAGAGGAAACCCCGCAGGGCTGGGCCGTCCGGATTCAATGACTCGTCTTCATTGTTTGTACTGAGCTGAAACAGGTTCCCGAGGTCGGATTGTTTGTAATGCCAAGGCTCCAGAGCAGAGTACCCGTATCCTGGATGTGCGTCTTGAAGGCGCTCAAACAGATTTATCGCTTCGGGCCTGGGGAGGAGGAGAAAGACCTCTATACTTATCTTGAGTTCCCTGAGCGTATCACTTGCGCGGCTGGAAGGTGGTCCAATGTCAAGCTGATAGCCTCGATTGTGTTTAAAGAATACACGCAGGAGCGCATACCGCCTATCCCTTGGCACTTGCTTCAAGATAGCTTCGACTGAAATGTGCTTGGATTCTCTGTCAGGAAATGCTTCGAGATAGGTTGCAAGCCCTGCGTCAGGCAATAAATTGTGACCCCAAGCGCGAACAGCATATTCTAATAAAGACCTCCTATGTCCAGGAACTGAATTATGCCTAGGTATCTCTTGAGTCTCGGTCGCTTTGTCATCAATCAAGGCCGGGCAACCCTCTAAAGCCTCGATTAAAAGAGACCAAAACTCGGATGCAGCCTTTGGATTACAGCGTCGACGACTGTACTGTCTTGCAAGCGGTAAAATCACCTTTTCCCTAATATCGCCAACAGGTGCCCTGTGGAAGTCATTGTTTGTGGCTAGTAATTGAAATACTCTAAGCCTCAAGCCTCGACTACTGGCCATGAATTGTCGTACTTTTTCCCAACTCGCTTGGATCTCCGACGCCGAGAAAGACTTTCGGAAGGTCATCTCAGTTATTGTGGTTCGGTGAGCTCTGTTAACTCGCTTCAGAATAGATTTTCTGACCATATGGTTATCCCCGAGCAACTCTCTCCATCGAAGTGGCACAGACTCATGTGCACTATTTTGATCTGTCCATGCCAGAGCCATTTCAGCTGGGCAGCTTGGCAAAAGATGCGCATATTCCATGTCCAACGGACGTTTATCCGGATTCCGATTGCCATCGTTGAGGATCATGAACAACTCTCCCATTCTCTGTTGACGCTCCGTCCGTGTCAGGCCCCCGGCAAGAGCTGTCCCACGGAGACTTCTGATAAATAACCGTAGATCGGTCATGCTAAACTGAGAAAGTAGCTTGACAATGCCCTCGGATCCACCGAGAGCATCCCACGTGGGTTTAAAAGTGGCATCACCGCGAAGCTGGGCCGTGAGAACGGGCATAGCCAGCCGTCGAAGGGTGACACTATACGGCTGACAAACAACGGCGACAGTGACCCGAGGGTCTTCGGCGACGGACAGCCATGGTCGCACAGGCAGATCCGGCAGGCTTCCTGTAGCCACTGAACTAAGGAGCTGGCTTGTGATTGAGGTATTATTGGCTGATGGCGATGCGAGTGCTTGACGGAGGAGCACCGCCTGGTCGGCGGGCTTTGCATCCCGGAGCCGGCGAATGTCGATCTTGGAGGACGCCGCCGCCGTCACCGAGGATATAGTCCGCCTGAGACATGTGAAAGCTGCCGTTCTTTTCATCATGTCTACTGGATTCCCTTCTCCCGGTGACGATTCGACACGGACGACCGATCAATGCGCCGTCGCCGAGGGAGATGTTGAGCCGAGAACCCCGGTCAGTCTATGCAGGACCCATTCCGCTACTCGGCTGATCAACCAAATAGCCGGTCGGTAAAGCCTTTTATTTCAACAAAACTAGGCATTAGACGTACTTATATTTAATAGTTCTTCTGGGAAATTGCAGGAGGAGCTCTTCTATGACAAGTTTTCCACGTGATCTACAAATTTTCTCCCAAGATACAGCCTCAACTTGAGAGCTCCGGTTGTCCAGTACCCCAGTTTCAAAAAAGCTTGGCATTTACCTAACTTGGACTGCAAGGTTTCTGGAATTCCAGTTCATTGTGCTCACCTCTGCTTTCAAGTATTCTTATTGCCGAGTGCCATCTGATAAACAAACTACGCATGCCGTCCCTCGTAATTGGGAACTCCATTGTAGGTACCTACAAGGCACGCTTCTTCTTCATATTATCCTAGAGTTTGTTTACGTGAGAGAGACTCAAGAATGGGCTGAGGTTTGACCCACTTTCCATTTCGGGTTGCTGAGCCGGAACACGACGGATTTCCGAACGCGTCACCTTCAACTTACAAGGCATTCATGATTCATCTACGAACGGAGCGAGTCGTTAATAACGGGTTGGCTAGACTTCAGTAACGTAAGCCCATCATAAGCCTCAAGGCCTTCTTCTTAACTTCAGGCACTCATCAAGCGATCCAACGAGCATCCAACATCTGAGACTCTTCGGCTTCGGAAAAGACTGACCCATTTTTCCGGCAAATCGAATTTCCGTCTCAGGGTAACTCTCACCCCAGAAAGCTGACAAAGCAGCATTTGCGTGGGGGTCACACTACCCTATACATGCAGCAAAAAGAACAAATTCAGTACGAACTCCTTGAGATTTCTTAAAATCACTCACTGGTAGGAGAATCTATCTCGCCAGTATGTAGAGGAAAGGTTGCTCAAATGGCTGTTAAAGCGATGGGTCCCCTAATCCCATGAGTTCCCCCTGATATCCGAAAGTTACGGAGGATGTAAACCGTTAAGAGACTGCTGATCCAGCATTACGGAGTACGTCGATGTAAGTGACTACCAGAGTCTCAGCGCATGGTTCAAAAACGCCAAAACAATGCGCCATTAAGCAACTTTTAATAAATTATTTGTATGATGTATTAGTTTATGCACTGAGATTTTATAGGGCACCTATTAGATTTCCAAAAGATTGGTGCACTTACCAATGGAGCTGAAGTCTGCTCGTACCGAGGCAGTTACATTAACAAGCTGGCGACAGTAAGCCGACCATGGCTCAAATGCCGAGTCCCTGGGCCTGAAAATAGAAACAAACATCCCAAGCACAACTCAAACCTCTCTCCACGTTGCCAACAGTGGCCTGCCTGAGGATACTGTACCCATTCAGTTGCCTAAGAGAGGCCAGTCGGGGTTGGAACTTCTGGCTTAAGCATAACTAAGTATCGCATCGGAATTCGGAATGTGTGTGTTCCCAGCCCAGGAACCAGGGGGCTGGTGACAAATTATGCTTGGGTGAGAGAAGCAAATACGAGTGGTTGTGCATACTTGAAACAGGATTGTTTTTGCGATGAAAATCGTATTGGGGGAATTAACTCTATCATCACTTCCGGATTTTCTGGAAACGGGCGGACCCAGCAGCGGCGAGAGCGAAACCCGATGGTGATATACCCCGGAGTTCTGAACGATTGTCAGATACTTCAGGGAGGGAGCGTCAACCTCGTCGCTAAAACAGCCCCTAATTCAGCTTAGTTCTAGGCCCCCCCGGTCGGCTGTGTTCTTCGACATGGTTCGACCGTGATGTAGCAATTGCCCCGAGTAAAAGTAATGCGTCGAATTTCAAATGTGTAAACTAAACCATTGGGAATGTAAGTATATAAGAAACAGCTCTGCCATATTATTTATAGTCTTGTTCATCAGCGGCCAGAACAAACTCATCATCTGATTATTCTCCCTTTTTGATTATCTGCTCACTTCGAAAATGAAAGCTTCCACGATTCTCAACATTTCGCTTCTCCAGGCGGTGTCGAATCTATACCTCGCCGAGGCTGCGAGTGCGGAGGAGGAGCCAATACTGCTTCTTAGTGAAGACCCTACCTTCCACTTCGAGATTCTGGGCGGCCTTGGGCAGGCTATCGGCGGAGGGAGTGACATAGCTCCCCTCCTCGCAGCTGCGAAAGATATCAAAGTTGGAGACTTTGAAACATTCTCCGAAGTCTTATTTAAGCTTGCTAATAAGACGAAGGCCCAAGCTCTGGACCCCGCTCTCGCGTTCGACCCTATCAATGTGAGAGACACCTGGTTCTCTGTGGCGAACTACTTTCGCCGTGCAGACGCCTTCACTAAGGGCAACTGGGACAACCCAATAATCAAAGAATATTGGGACGAGCAGCTCGCTGCCTTCAACAAAGGTCTAGTAGCATTGCCCATCCCTGGGGAGCGTGTTCAGATCCCTGCCGACAACTTTACCGTTGAGGCCATCTGGTACTCCGCAGACAAGGACAAGAAGAAGCGGCCAACTTTGATTATTGGTAATGGGTATGACGCTGCACAGGAGGATATGTACCATATTATGGTTGTGCATGCACGGGCCCTTGGATGGAACGCCTTGACATACGAAGGCCCGGGACAGCCCACCGTTCGGAGAAGCCAGGATCTCGGTTTCATCCCTGACTGGGAGCGTGTTGTTATACCTACTGTCGACTATGTTTTGAACGAGAAGTCTGACGAGGTTGATACTGAACGACTGGCTCTTTACGGAAATTCCATGGGTGGCTACCTAGCAGCCCGAGCTGCAGCATTTGAGCCACGGCTAAAGGCTGTGGCTTTGAATGGCGGTGTATTCTCTGTTTATGACTCATACAAAGCACAGCTTCCTGACGACCTTTTGGAGGTTTATGAGGCAGGTAAAAAGGAGGAATTTGACCAAGCCGCACTATCACTGCTTGCTCTTAACTCCACTGCCCCAACCAGTATTCGTTGGGGTCTCGAGCACGGACTTTGGGCTTTCAAGACCAAATCTCCATATGACTTTTTCAAGAAAACAGAACAATATACCCTGGAGGGCATAACTGACCGTATTAATATGCCTGTCTGGATTGCCGATGCCGAATTCGAAGGGTTCTTCAAGGGCGAACCGCAGCGAGTGAAGGACGTACTGGGTGACAAGGCTACTTTTCATCTCTTCTCTGGAGAAGCTGGTTACCACACTCAATCTGGAGCCTTCCAAGAGATGACTCGTGTGATCTTTGGCTGGCTTCACCAGACGCTTGGGTAAACCGTTTCCGCGCTGTTTGCAAACTTTGGTGGGTGTGCTGGAGATGATGTTGGATGCTGCACGGTGTGTAGGACGACCCGGGTGAGGGGTAGGAGACCGGAGACACTCTTTCATATAAACGCACCTGAAGGTCTTAGGACGAGAGTTCACGTCGTTTTTTAGAGTTCTAGATACTCTTAGGCGATGCTTCTCACTAAGGCCTCATAATCTAGCAATAAATAGGTATGTAGTTGTAACAATACACTTCTACTTGACGCCTATCTTCCTAAAGCAAGGGCACGAGCACGGGTCCTGTCAGATGTATGCTAAATAAGGGCTCCTTACATGTGATGAACATGGCGGAGGCTGTGAAATAAGGCCTCAGTACTAAGAATTAAGACTGGTTGCAATTTTAGCTGCCTAAGCATTACAATACTCAGAGGTGATGTAATGCTTACGGTGGCGAGATTCAGAGTGCCTAGATTGGGAAATAAAGATGTATTCAGACAAGATTAAGTTATAATACAAGTCCTCTTGACAGGAGAATTAACTTCCGTACCGAGTATCAGTGCTTTGTGTGCCGTTGTAATTGGACTGCTACCTTCACGTGCGATGGTGTTAGCGAAGTAGCTCACTGCCCGAGTGTTCCGCGAAGACCGCTAGTTGGACGAACTTTCTTCCATTATCAGACTCGGGGAGGTCGTCACTAGAGCTATGCTCTTCATGCTACGTGGCCATGTTAGAGTTTACAATGTCATGTAAGAATGGGGTCTGAAAATTCATCTTGTTGTCCTACAGCGCTTTGGTTAATCACGCAGCCGATTTGACTCCATTTGTTAAGCGAAGCCATGCAAAGATACGCCACAGTCAATTCAAAAATAGCATCATACGAATGGGAAGTCTCTCCAGCGCGATGTGGCTTAGCTGCGAAAACTTCTTGGGGCGGAGCCGGATGGTGAGCTTCCCGGTAAGCAAAATCAAATGCGGGTAAGTTTTGGTTAGTTAGTATCTGGTAAGAGACGGAGCTTTCGATGGAAACAATTTTTAGCAAGAGTCGTCGACTAAGATATTAAATTGGGAGAGGGAAAAAACTATAAAGCTTCGCCTTTTTCCAGCTACCTTCATGGGATATTCAACACCATCTTCTCAGCATCTCTTCTGTCTTTCAACATAGAATCGGCATCCTTTTCATTTGAGCCTCCTCCAAGCTTTTTTTCATAGTCATTCCCATTCTTTCCAGTTGTCAAAACAAAGCAACAAATTTACAGAGGCAATATTTGTTTTCTGCTTTGATCCGAAAATCCAGCATTAAATCAACAACACTGTTTATTCGAATCCCAACTTCAGTCATGCATTACCTCAGCATCATCGCCCTGACCGTCACTTTGACTGGCGTTAGCAACGCGGCACCTCATGTTACCCGGCAGGCCATCAACGGTTCTGACTGTGGATTTGATTTCCAGTGCTTGAGTAACAACTGTCACAATGGTGTCTGCCAAGATCCTTCCCGTGGAACGGCTGTCAATGGATCCGACTGCGGTTTTGATAATCAATGCCTCAGTGGAAACTGCCAGAACGGCATCTGCCAAGACCCTGAGCCAAAGCAGACCACGGGATCAGCTGTCAATGGCTCCGACTGCGCCTTCAACGACCAGTGTCTGAGCGGGATCTGCAAGAGAGGTATCTGCCAGGCTCTGCAAAATGGAACGGCCATCAACGGTTCTGATTGCGGTTTCAATGGCCAATGCCTGAGTGGAAGTTGCCAGAATGGTACATGCCAGGACCCAAAGTCTAAGCCGAGTGGTGGGTCGGCTGTTAATGGTTCTGACTGCGGATTTGATGATCAGTGTTTGAGCGGAAATTGCCAGAACGGTGTTTGCCAAACCCCTGAACGTGGATCAGCTATAAACGGCTCGGATTGTGGTTTTAACGATCAGTGTTTGAGCGGAAACTGCCAGAATGGTGTATGCCAAGAACCTCGTGGTGGAGCTTAGGAAGCTGTCAGTGATAGATGCGGTTTCAATGTGTATGGCGTTATCAACGTCATCGTCATATGAAATTCAGGCGGCCCTTGCTGAAGCAACGATGCTTTGTAGATAAGGGGGAAATGTCATAAAGTACTACTTGGATATGTCATGGTGTAGTGAGCAGTTTTTCGGGGTTTCTTTTTCCGGAGAGATCGCATTTGCTATTGGGACTTTGCTTTTTGTTATCACTTATAATTAGCTTGACTTGAGATTGATCGTTAGAATACACGGCATATGAATAATTTGATTAGACTGACTATTCATACATATCCCTTCTTGTTTAGCTTAGTGCATTTAATACATTAAGATCTTAATGGATAAACCGTGGTTAACTATAAAGTCTGGATGGAAGCTATTTTGCATCATTGAAGAGAATAATATATATATTTCATGCCCTCTATTGTATAGTCCGGACACGGCACTTCTCCTAGGCTACTTGAGATCCCACCAACAGGCCGTGATAAACAGAAAGTTCCCGACACAGTCATTGAAAAAGCTGACGAGGACTTCAGTCTCTAGCCTGTTGGACTTTAGATTAGCACGAGGAAATGTAGAAATGGCGTTCGATATACACAGACCCAACACAGTACCCCCGTTGTTGTGCCTTGGATTGTGCACGTTCCTTATGGAGACTAATGTGATGACAAAATATCCACGACTACGAGCTGAAGTTGTACGAAAATTCGTAGCATGCATTAACTCCAGCGAATCTTGTTATAGGTAGGTTAAGGCATACGAAAGATACCTTCTCAAGGTTAGAGCTAGAACTAGGAAACTCACTTTACTACCTATCACAGAACGGAATAAATGAAGTTCTTGTCTACTAGAACAAGATCAAGTTACATTCTGGTTTTAAGTTACATGTGAAATATTGGCACTGCTGCAGGCTTTTTTTAGTTTAACTAGAAACCTTTCGAGTACTACTCCAGCCCCAATTATTAACTTGTGTTTCCTGTGTTTGTCTAACAGTCTCTGCCCATTTGATGAACAAAGTCAAACCTAGTTGTCGCAAGCCTTTACTTAACAGGTAGGCAGCTTGGAAAGCTTTCCTTGAGCTCCCAGACAGTTAGCAGTAGTGCTGACCTTTGCACTATCGCCATCGCCCTTCTTAACGCCCTTGTATTCCTGGCAAACCTTCTTAGTAACACCGCAAGAGTTGCTGATGGTAGCAGTATCGCCATAGTTGGAGTTGATGCCGGTGAGGTCGGATTTGAGAGTGTTGGCGCGGAGGTTGGATACAACAACGTGACGAGGACCACCGTTGTTGGTACAGTCGCCACAGCTACGGTAGAGCTTGCCGACATTGACAACAGTATAGTCGCGGATAGTGACAGTTCCACGGCCATTGTGCTGGACAACCTTGTCGTCGGCGTTTTGGGCTCCACCACCCTGGATGAGGACATTACCAGTCCCGAGGGCCGAGATCGCATCTAAATTTTCAAGTTAGGAAACGAAAAATCCCAGTCAGCAAATTCGTGGGGAACGTACCCTCGCAGACATCACGGAACCACACGTTGGTCAGGGTGCATGCACCCTCGCAGTGAACACCCTCAAGCTGACGAGCGCCAATGATGACGTTGGACAAGCTGGCGCCGTTCTTGAGAATGAAGACTGCATCTTCGTCGCCGTTCTCGCCATCCTTGCAAGTAACACCACGGTCAAACTCGCGGTTTCCAAGATCGACCGAACCGCTGATGACGGATGGCTGAGAAAGGGCAACAACACTCCCAACTCGTGTTGGAATGTTGAGAGTTTGGGCAGACGCTAGGCCGCAAGAAAGAAGAATAGCAAGGGTATTGTACTTCATATTGAACTGTTTGCTGTTGTGGATCTGTGATCTAGATTGGTATGTTTTGATTTCAAGACTGCTTGAGCTACTGATGCAAATACACTTCCTTACCTCGTCTTGGATCGATCTTTTATTATATACTCCTCTGTATTGTGATTATTTTGACTGTATTGCAGATCTTGGTAGTAAAGCTCTGATTGGAGGAATATTTACTGATAGCTCTCTCATTAACAATGCAACCTGAGACAAGAAGCTATCCTAACGCTGTCTCAACTAACATGCCACGGAATGAGGCAAATGAAGGGAGAATGTCATTTCCACTGCAACTATCAACGGGCCCTAAACCATAATTTTCCCGACTTTCAGGGGGTTTGGCCTTTGGCCTGCAACTCTATTTCGTAACACGAGGGTTTCATGCTCAATCCTTCCAATCGTATTCGCTCGGCATGATTCTCGGAATGTCACCTGTCGGCGGTCAGTTTCACGCTAACGGGATGTGGGAGGAGAAACGGAACAAGTATAAGCAACGAGCCAGAATGAGCGACGGAAAGTGACCCCACGGCTTCCGTAATGTTCAAGATTTAGAAGCCTGAGCTTATTCATTACATCGTATAGCAAATTACTGATTCTTGGCGAAGGACTGCTCGAGTGTGCGACTATAGTTTCTCCACCACTGAATGCTCAGAAAAGAAGCGCCAAGAGTAGAGACAACAACTCCGTGTAGCAGTGTCAAAAGATCCTTTCCTGATTCTGTCCATCATCGATCGACAATATTGATGCTGCCTTTGGTTAATAGGCTGGGCAGTCTTTACGCTCGCGCGTATCCGAGCGAATACATGTCCTTTTAGGGGGGGATATGGGAGCTAGCGTGTGATCCGATATTTGCAAAGTCCCATGACATTACCCAAGTAGGCACCTAAATCAGTAGCGTGAGGAGGAGTAATGAATGTTTCGGGTATGATTACCTAGATTATGTTCCGTTCCAGGACTATGACTGTGCGAATTCGTCATAAGAAGCTTAGCGCTCTGATCATTCTTGCTTAATGTGTTATTATGCAGCTTGAGTAGGGGCTCCGAGGTAGCAAGTGCTCAGCAATCGGGTCCATTACCGAGTTCGTCATGGGGCTCACACCTGATGAATGTAGCTGTTGGGGCTCTGAGGTATCACGCTCTTTAATGAATCCTTGCCTCGGTTAGGGGGCCCGAGCCAGCTACGGCCATGCTGCTCGTCGAGCCCAGGACTTGCACGAATGATGTCTCGGCAGGCTTGTTGCACCTTTTCCGTTGTTAGATGTAGCCATAGACGTATCTGGTGTTCAATCTGTTTTAGCTCCCTAAGTGACCGGTCCTATTGTCATGATATAGCCTGCCGGCGTTACATTCAACCTTGGTGACCAAGAGATTGCGTGGCAAAACTGGAAGTCCACACCGACTTCAGCTCCCGTGGAGGTATCATTCTCGGTGATATTAAGCATACAGAGAACGGCACATTCCGCAATATCTTCTGCGTGCTATCTCGGGCTGAGATGCGTTCCCTAGGGTAATCCTGAGCACTCGTACCGGTGAAGCACGCTCTCGGCTGGGGCAATTATGGCGCCCGCTTGTATGGATAATTAGGCGATGAGTCCTCCACAGTTTGCTGGTAGAAAACTTGATCTGGCATGTTCGGGCTCACTAGATCACTGCTCCATATACTTCAACGAACGAAAAAGTGAAGAGACAAAAGGCCACCCTCCTGAGCCATTCAGTAAATGCTATCTCATGAAATGTTGAAAATATCGAATTTCAAAGTTGCTATTGATATACCTGAATTTACATTTTGCCCAACGCTATCCTCTCTGGTTCCGCTAGAGTAGATATCGAGAGCGGCAGAGGCGCCGAATCGCATTTTTTGGACACCTGGTCCCGAAATAACACCCCCCCCCCGATAAACTGCTCAATAATATTCAGAGTACCTTAAGGGAGATCTCCAGTAACTGGGTTATCCCCAGGAAGCTTGGACAACGGACCATTCAATCCAACATCTTCATCAGGCGCGGGAGTAACAGGCACCTGGGCACTGGGGTGACCAGCATGCCCATCAGCGCCAACGTTGAGACTGCAGCCGGCACTATCGACGCCATCTTCGCAAGTGTCAAGTGCTGTCTCGAGCCTATCCTGGTCTGTCCAGCCTTGGAGATAATCACCATGTAGCCCGTAACCGCTGGCATCTCCATTGTCATATACGAGACGATTGGGGTTCTGGATAGCGCCCGTATCGTAGAAGAATTCGAAGAAGACAGATAGGATGGCTTTTGGGTGTGACTCGGGGCAGACACCGCCGTTGTAGTCGCCTATCGCTGGGAAGGACATCTATCAAAGGATTAGGCACGTCGCTTCTGGCTAGGGTACATCTATTAAAGATAGCAACTTACATGGCTCTTGTGGTTGTCGGAGTCGCGATTCTCACCATCCCAACATGACGGGAAGAAGGTTTCGGCACGGATCCGGTCGCAAGGTAGGCGAGGGAGGGTCGGGCGTTCGCCCTCGTTGGGACCACCCAAACAGAAGGTCTGGATAGCACGCTGCGTGATGTCGGAACTATTGTACGTTCTGCCAAACAATTAGACTTTTGTTCCCGTAGATGAGATTAGGTAAAGTACCGGAGAAATGGGTTGCCGGTAACCATACGAAGGCCCTGAGGAGGAGCTATAGGCTTCGGGGCAGTATCGCAGTTGGTCCGTCCCGGAGCATAGTCACAAGAACGTTCGATATAATATGCGGCCTAACTCGACAAAGGCAGGCAATTAGTACCAGTGTAGGGTGATTGGGTATGTAGTGAGAAAACCATTCGCTTACGTTGCCTTCAAACCTGACAATTTCAAACTTGCCATCGGAGCGCTCGTGGTAGAGCTGAGGCTGCCAGTAATTACTGTTATCGAGAATCTTGTCGCAAGTGGTAGCGGCCGCCGCAACAGCCTGCTCATTCGTCTCTGTCAGGGCGAAGTTGGTTCCCCCCGATACAGCATGAACATGGGCGGAAATCTGCCCTGGAGAGACAATAGGGTCGCCTCGTTGAATTGTCAATGGGTCGCAGTTGACGGTGAATAGCCTGTCACCTTGCACGGCCGGGCAAAGACAGACGACCAGAGCGGCCACAGTCCTCAACAATTGCGGACTCATCCTGGAAAGACGAGTTTCTTGTTTAACAGGAATTTTTGATGAGGAACGAGATGCTGAGTTGGCTCCTTGCTTTCTTTCCTGCAAAACGAGCCGGCGCAAGCTAACTCTATATACTCTGTCTCAAGGGGTAAGAGGTAAGCAACCAAATCCCAAAGGAACTCCACCAACCTTCTTTAAAGGGAGATAAATTTCGGCGCCTGGGTGGGAGTCGCCGGGTATTGTTTCAAGTAAACTCGGCCGCTTACATCCCCAGGCGCGGTTTCCCACCACAAACAGACGAACCTAGAATAAGACACAAATCTTCTTTGCATTCCATGTCCCGGGACGTGCTGTCATGACACGGACAAGACGCATATTCTGCGCTAAAACCGGCACACGGGCCGATGAAAAGGGTGTAGCAGCTATAAGGCCGACGCCAACTTCTAGTTAAGTGAAGACATGGGTTGGCTCCTTGATGACCGACTGCGAAATTGCCACCACATTCCTTTCCTACCGCTATAGCTCCTCCTGAATGTATAAAGAGTTATCTACCAAGTCATTGGGCTTTCTTTAGCACCCTAATCCCGAAGATAGCAGGTATCCAGCTCCTTCGCCATACCTTCGGTTCCCCTTGTTCTATAACAACCTTAGAAGGGTTTGTTACTGTTTCCGTTAAGGAGGTCAACGTCTTGTCTATTAGATCTGCCCATTGCGTATTGGGATATGACTTTGTAGTTGCCTCGTCAAATTAATCAACGGGAATCTAATCTGGGTCTTCCATTCAGTACTGAACTCAACATCAAACCATCACCGTTTCTCCTTCCATTTCCGATACTGATCACTAGCTACATTAATCCGAGCTAGCCTGAGTTGCCAGCCAGATTATGACCCTATACGGAATCAAAGCCCACTTGATCCTAATCCTACCTTCGCATGGGGTATTTTTCGGTTTCCCTAGCATAGTATCGGAGACGGATGCCGCCCGCACGTGTGTCAGATATATCATATAATCTACGCCCAAATCCTTCAGAGTTTACCGTCGCGCGCGGGTGCTCTACAGTGGCAAGGGTAGTTAGATTAGCAGGGTTAGGGAACCACCGAGGTTTGGGCCGCCATATCTTGGAATCTAGCAGGGGTTAGGGCTGACAGCTCTTGGTAACGAATACCTATCTACATAGTATGTCCGGCTTCTGCTCATCTCTAGTTTGGGCTGTGTCACCTTAGCTAGACGAGTTAGTGCGAAATATACTGTCTGGATGGGAAGAAAAGGTTTGGGATGGTTTATCACAAATCAACCAGTATTCAGCATAAGTATTTGGTATCTCCTGTAACGCGCTTTTACTCAAGTATTCTTACTTTCTGACAGCTACATGTAGGTTTCAGTCTTGGCTCGCAGGATATCGTGGCGGGTGAGGTTTTGTCTAGGCCATACTGTGTTCAATGTGCAATTAATTAAATTGGAATCTGCAGCTACAGGTTCGCTGTAGGAAGTTGACTTGATTGATTGGTTGTATCTTCCCTTCCATCGCTTAGATCATCCATCTTTCATCTTCCGACAATGTCCATGATTCATAAAAGGTATCAAGGTCAAGGAATAGCCTGCCCGCAAGAGACAACATCTTATATTAAAGCCAACGTTTACCCAAGCGTATCGATTCTTGTAAAAATAATTAAGATTGGTTTTCCGGAACCGAAATGCGGTGACAACTAGCTATTCAAGTCAGCAACGGTCATATCCTCGAATACCTGATACAAGCAGCAAGCTTACAAGGCTTTCCGACAGCTGTATATAATAATGAATGATTCCCAGTAATGTGAACGACTGTAGTTCCCTGGGTAATCACTATGTCACTGTGCAGACGCAGACCCGATATCACGAGTCCGCGCGAGGAATCGCCGCGCCTCGTCTCATGTGGTTTCTCGTGTTGCGAGCTGCGCCGCCTGAAGCGTGTCGGCAGGAAACCATTCCAGAAGTACCTAATAACGATTTAGGCTCGTGCACTATAGACTGATCGTAAACTTTTGCATGGTTATTTAGTTTATACATGTACATAGTCTTCCAGGTGTAATAACCACTGCACTACTGGGGCTGCTTCAGCAGCTTTCATCCCAATTTGGTGATGTGCAGCGTCCTCGCATAAGGCGAGGCATCCAGCTGCTTGGCGTAGGCGCCATGAGGTGAGACCAGTTGCCTCGCCAGATACACACAGCCACAGGGATCCATGCTGACTGTCTCCCCGCACACGCAAGAAAAAGCAGGGTGCTCTTCACGCCGTCAATATTGACAATTTATTCGTCACCCCGAGCTACTAGCCACTGCTCCAGGAAGAACAAACCTACTGATACCATCTCCCTACTCTCCTATAACCGAAGATGGCCCCTCGCTGGTTTGGGAAAGTCGGATCCAGCGTCAAAAGGCTGGTGCAACCTCCCCCACCACCATCAGCATCGACGCCGTCTACGCCTCAGTCTGGCTCTTCAACGGCAATCCAAGCGGTATCTCGGCCAGCCTCCCATCTATCCCCTGTGACTGATTACACTATCTGTTCCCTGCCGACTCTGCAAGAGAGGCTTTGGAACAAGGCTTATGATGAGCTTGCATCGAGCGAGCCTAAGCTGGTCGAAGGATATGAGAAGATTCTATCAGCTGAACTAGACCGAAGCAGCTCGGCCCCTGTCACCACTCAACCGATGGAAAATAGGATAGGGAGATCCCGAGAGGCTAGGTCTCACCAAATGCAGCAATTGGTGCAGGAAGGACTGAAACGGACGGAGAAAGTCGCGTCTTTGAAGCGAGGCATTGGCGAAGGCTCACAGGCAGTGGAATCAGTGAAGGAAGTGGTGGCCAAGGCGGTCCATGCTGCTCCTGGAGCTGCTATAGCCTGGGCCGGCGTCTGCCTTGGACTAGAGGTGAGTGTAATGGACTTTCTCTAGTGAAGGGACGATAAATTTTTATATTATCTGCTAACTGTTGATAGATCCTTTCGAACCCTATCACTGAGGCACGTGACAATCGCAAAGGCATTACCTATGTCCTGTCGAGAATGGAGTGGTACTGGAACTTGGTGTCGCTGCTTCTCGACGAGAACAAGGATGAGCAGTCCGTCGCAGGACTGCGAGCCCAACTGGAGAACCATATTGCTCAGCTCTATGAGGATCTTCTGGCCTACCAGATGAAGAGCGTCTGCCTTTATCACCGGAACTGGACCGCTGTCATCGGAAGAGATCTCCTGAAAATCGATGACTGGGCTGGTCATCTCAGCGGGATACACGAAGCCGAGCTTGCTGTGCAAAGAGATATGGAACAATACAATACTGAAGAGAGCAAGATGCGACTTCGAAAACTCGTCGACTCTGCAAAGGCTATCGAGACAAATCTGCAAGACATCCATTCAGCGATCCAGGACCAAACACGCCAACAAGACAAGCGACATCGAGATGACAAAGATGAACAATGCCTCAAAGATCTGCGCGAAACTGACCCTCGTGATGATAAGACACGTATCCAAAGCACCAAAGGTGGTCTACTGAGGGACTCTTACCGCTGGATCCTACAACATGATGACTTTGAGAGATGGCGTGACGATTCGCAAGGCCAACTGCTCTGGATCAAGGGCGACCCTGGCAAAGGCAAGACGATGCTTCTATGCGGGATTATCGATGAATTGGAGAAGGATTCCGCCAATTGTCTGTCCTATTTCTTTTGCCAGGCTACTGAAGACCGATTGAGTAATGCGACAGCCGTACTTCGTGGGCTGATCTACCTCCTTGCTCAACAACAGCCATCGCTTATCCCGCATATCCGCCAGAAATACGACCACGCGGGGAAGCGACTTTTCGAGGATCTGAATGCATGGGAATCATTGTCCAAGATCTTGACCGCTATCCTCAGTGATCCAAGCTTAGAGGGTGCCATCTTAATCATAGATGCACTTGATGAGTGTAAGACAAACCGACACCAGCTTCTTGATTTAATTGCACGGCCTAGTCGTGCCAAGTGGATAGTCTCCAGTCGAAATTGGCAGGATATCGAGGAAAGGCTGGATAATGCAGAGCAGAAAGTCGGGCTGAGCCTCGAGTTGAACAAAGCCTCAACTTCCAAGGCTGTCGAGACGTACATTGGATACAAGGTGGAACAATTGGCCCGCGACAAGAATTACGACGAAGAAACAAGACAAGCTGTTGAACGTCACTTAATTTCAAATGCTGACGGCACTTTCCTCTGGGTAGCCTTGGTCTATCAAGAGCTCGCAGACCCTAAGGTCAGGAAACGACATACACTGGGCAAGCTGCAGTCATTCCCCCGGGGGCTTGATTCGCTCTACCGCCAAATGATAGAGCATGTGCGTGATTCAGAAGATGCTGAGCTTTGCAGAGAGGTCTTGGCAATTGCTTCGGTAGTATATCGACCCGTCATATTGGATAAATTAAAAGCTCTGGCACAGTCGCTTGCAGGCATGGACGAGGATGAGATCAGAGAAATCATCGGCGCCTGTGGTTCTTTCTTGACACTTCGCGAGGACATCGTCTACTTTGTGCATCAATCTGCGAAAGATTACCTGCTTAACAAGGCTTTTGGCTACATTCTACCTTCCGGCACCGCGCATCAGCATCATGCTATCCTTTTGAACTCGCTGGAACGTCTATCAGAAACTCTTCAACGAGATATTTATGGGCTAGAGGCTCCAGGAGTTGAGATCAACAATATGTCAACACCCGATCCCGATCCATTGTCTGGGGTTCGGTATTGTTGTCTATACTGGGTTGATCATCTCGATGAATCAGAACACGACACAGAGGTGGAAAATGAAGCCCTAAGCGATGAGGGCGTGGTTCATGAATTCTTTAGAAATAAGTATCTTTATTGGTTAGAGTCTCTCAGTCTCTTACACAGCATGTCAGAAGGGGTTTTGGCAATGGAGAAACTTGTGCGTTTAATAGTGAGTTTCCCCCACTTTCTCGATCCATTTACAAATGAGATAACATGATTTCAGGAAAACACTGGATCAATGAAACTAAAATCGACGATCCGGGATGCTCGCCGCTTCATTCTCTCCAACAAGCGAGTTATAGAGATGGCTCCATTACAGACTTATGTGTCAGCTCTCGTGTTTAGTCCTACCAAAAGCCTAGTCAGGGAGTTTTTCAAAAAGGAAGAGCCAGATTGGATCAAATTAGTCCCAAACCCTGGATCAGACTGGGACTCATGCCTCCAAACGCTTGAGGGCCATAACACATGGGTGTGCTCCATCGCCGTCTCGCCAGATGGGCAGCAACTTGCCTCTGCCTCCGATTCTAGTGAAGTCAAGGTCTGGAATATAGCAACGGGAGCATGCGTACAGACCTTTGAGGATCACAATAAGTTGTGGGTAAACTCGGTCGCCTTCATAGACGGCCAGAGACTCGCCTCTTGCTCTAGAGACAAAACAATCAAGGTCTTGGATATAGCAACAGGGATGTGTGTGCAAGCGATTGAAGGACATGGCGATCCAGTGTTTTCGGTGGCCATTTCAGATGGCCAACACCTCGCCTCTGGCTCCAAAGACAAAGCAATCAAGATCTGGGACATAGTAACAGGTGAATGCCTGCAAACACTTGTCGGTCATGAAGAGGGAGTGACCTCGGTGGCTTTCCTGAATAGCCACAAGCTCGCCTCAGGCTCTCAAGATCGAATGATCAAGATTTGGGATATAAGGACAGGATTATGTGCACAAACGCTTGAAGGGCACAGCGATTCAATATCGTCGGTGGCTGTCTTAGATAGCTGGAGGCTCGCCTCGGGCTCATTCGATAAAGCCATTAAAGTGTGGGATCTATCAACAGGCACATGTCTACAAACACTGGAAGGTCACACTAAATGGTTAAGCTCAGTGGCGTTCTCGGCGGATAGTCAGCGCCTCGCATCAGGTTCAGGGGATGGTATGGTCAAGGTCTGGGATGTACTAACTGCAACATGTATTGAGACTCTTGGTGGCCATGCTGATGCCGTGACCTCCGTCGCCTTCCTGACGGATAGCCAGAGGCTCGCCTCCTGCTCTCGCGATGCTACACTTAAAATATGGGATACAGGGACAGACCCATCTGCGCAAATTTCCAACCGTTATGGCTCTTGGCAGACTTCAGCAGCGTTCTCAGCAGATTTACGGTGGCTTGCTACGGGTTCGGATGACAGCAGGGCGAGGATCTGGGATGTGACAACAGGTGAATGCATAAGGACATTTGAAGGTCACCATGATTCAGTGTCTTGTGTGGCCATCTCATCAAATAGTCGGCTGCTTGCCTCAGCTTCACGAGACAAGACGATCAAGATGTGGGATGCAACAACAGGGGCGTGTTTTCAGACACTGGAAGGCCATACAGGTTCAGTTGCATCTGTATCCATCTCAACAGATGGCCAGTGGCTTGCCTCCGGCTCGCATGATTGTACAGCTAGGGTCTGGAACGTGAAGACAGGCGAATGTGTGCACACGCTCGAGGACCATACTCGTCTGGTGAGCTCAGTAGCCTTCTCGCCAGATGGCCATCAGCTCATCTCGGGTTCATACGATGCGACGGCTAGGGTTTGGGAGATACCAACTGGCGTATGCATGAAGGTCCTTGAGGGGCATACCTCCAGATTGACTGCAGTAGCTTTCTCGGCGGATAACCAGCACCTCGCCTCGTGCGCGCATAATAACCAAGTCAAGGTCTGGCATGCAGCGACTGGATCGTGTGTATTGACCCTTAAGACCGACGGTTTTATTGCCCAAGTTTCGTTCGACCCTATGACAAACTCTCTCCTCTCTGCCAATATTGGATTTCTAAGTTTGGATCTGCCGGGTCTACCACCTTCGATTGAAAATGAGTCAACCACTGCTGCTACTCAACAAGCTAACCGCGTCGGCTATGGAATAAGTTACGATGGTGAATGGGTTTTGAAAGGTCGACAGGAGAAATTGCTTTGGCTACCTACGAAGTATCGCGCATCTTCATCGGCTGTGACAAGGTCAACAATAGGTCTTGGCTGCGGCTCAGGTCGTGTACTTTTCCTAAAGTTCTCTTAGTAAAACCGAGCATGTGGGCGTCTTTGATTCTAAGAAGCTTTTTCTTCCATCAAAAAGCGAGATATCGGACAGTTTCTGCTTGGTTCAGAATCCAAGAACTGGTAACCGCTCTTTGCGTTGACGTTTTCATTTTCGCTTCGATCCCAGACGATGACAGAGGCTAAACTGAGCCCTTGTTGGAAAGATTGGGTATGTCCTTCCTCGAATAACCGCAAGCTGTCTGCTCATAGGGCGTCCATTGTTATGAATAGGATCTATTAGGATTGCAAAGATAAACCAAAAGAGAGCTCAGGGTTCGCCTTTCACAGTACTCCATGATAAGCAGTATGTCTCCAAGGTTAAGTGGTTATCATGTTAAGACCCCTATCCCACATGGAAGCTCCACCATCACCAATCCGTTTGAGAGAACGCGCTCAACAAGACGAAAGCTTACTGCATCGAATATATATCAGGCCCCATAGGGATTAATAGCGAAGATTGCTAACTATTGGCTATTTTATTCCTTCTGACATGACTGAGCCGGGATGCTCTCGCTCGTTCAAAGAGGTCAGATCCGGGGCAAGGATGACAATAAATCAGGATTGGTCCATCCCTGTCAATGCCTGCATGCCTATATCATAGCCAGTGACCTCCAGTGGACAGGACGCCTTTGAAAATGCCTTGCACGTGGGGCTCACCTTCGTATATCTCGTACCATCCTGTCTAAATCAAGCCGCTAGAGTGAGCATAATACACATTTTGTAAATTTAATTAAGAACACATGGTCAAATTAGACTGAATAACATGTCATCATTTCTTTCATGGCTGAGGCCAACGAGCCAAGAGGAAGAAGATGAGATCAGAAGAGGCCTCAAACAGAGGTCGCAGAGGCTAGAGGCATCAGGCTACGACGCGACACGAGATGGACCCGGGGACGTGGCTCTTGCCCTCCGACTAGGCGAACTCCTCCGTCAGGATTCTGTCAAAGAGTGGTGCTCGAAAGACGGCCCTGAGGCAGCAGAGTTTGCAAAGACCTACCTCGACCTCCTGCAGGATTCCTGGGGCAGTCCCGTCACCGGGCTCTTCAAGATCTCAGCCGGCCTCGGTGGCGCAGCAGTACCTCTGGCGCCCATTTCTCAGTACCTTCGCAGCGGCTTTGCTGTCTCGCGCGATGTCGCTGCTGCTTCCCAGCACCGTCTTGCTATTGACCACTTGGAAGTACCTGATCCAAAGCCGCAGACGGCCTCAGACCAGCCGCGTGGGCTTCAATCCGGAACTGTTCAACCTCAGCATGATATGGACACGCTAAGCAACAAGGAGTTGGTTTCCGGCATGGGCAAGAACCTATGGGACATAGCCCGCATGGCGAAGCTTGCCTGTAGCCCCAAGGTGCTCAAGTTCTTATGGCATATACGAAGACGGGACGCGGAACTTACTGCTCGGGAATTGGAAGAGATCCGAGTGGAAATGAACGATGTGTTGTTGAAATCGACAAAAGAAGAAGGATCTGACAGTGCTAACCGGGTCATGCTGGAGCACTTGAACGAGACATTTCGGGAGATGACGGAGACAATCCTCAAATCGCAGGAAAAGCAGGACGTTAATGCGTCGTCCGACACAGGGTCGGCCCAGCCAGTGCAGCCAAAAGAACATATCTTGACTGTTCCACTGGGATTCTACAAGAAACTTCCGTTGCGATCCAATATTCGCCTTCTAGAGGTGATTCAGTCAGACATCTCCAGACCCATCAACGCTCGGTTGCACACTGTTGATATTAACAAAGGCCCATCGTACATGGCCTTATCTTACGTATGGTTTGACCCACGCATTTCCCTCTATCAAAAAAGTCAGGTCAAGTCCCAAGGTAAGCAGCATGAACTCATCTGTGACGGCGAGTCTGTACCCATAACCGAAAATTTGCACAATGCTCTCCGCGCGTTGTTCACGCTCGATGACGACGGTCAGTCAACAGCCAGTAGGCTAGGATGTGACAGGCTATGGGTAGATCAACTGTGTATCAACCAGGAAGATGATGTTGAGAAGTCGTCTCAGGTCGCTTTCATGGGTCAGATCTATAAGTCCGCCAAGGCGGTCGTCTCTTGGCTGGGACCGGAAGACAGCCACACTAAGCAAGCCCACGAGGTGATCACGGCGCTATCTTCGATTCCAAGACAAGTTTACACCAGCGTCTCATATGATCCGACCTCGGAGGTGAAACGCTTCAGTTCGGTGGCTTGGATGAGTGCGGTAGTCCTGCTCAGTCTGCCATACTTTCAACGGGCTTGGATCGTCCAGGAGTTGGCATTCGCCAGAGAGAACACCATGGTGTGGGGAAGCCAGGTTTTTGTGTGGAAGGACATAAAACGAGCTACCAAATATCTCTCCTCAAACAACACCTGGGCCCTCTTGCGGAGGGAAGTGGATGCGTTCGAGCCCATGTGGGAGTACTTGGAGTCGCAATCAAACAAACTCAGTGCTGAGCCCTTATCCAGCGCAATTGAATTACACATCACGATTAAGAATCTTGCGTTCAGGGCCCTTTCACCCGAGTCTCCGTACAAGCTGCTCATGGCAGGGCGACTACTGCAGGCCAAAGATCACAGGGACAAGTTCTTCGCGGTGCTGGACCTGGCCAAAACGAGCGCCCAGAGGCTCGCCACGCCGTTCCCGAACTTTAAGCCGGACTACAACAAGAGCATTGAACAGGTCATCAAAGAGTTTACAGTCGAGTTTATCAAAGCCAAAGGGGACTTGACTATCCTCACTCAAGTGGAAGATCGTAGCCTCCGCAACAAACGCACTCTGCCCTCATGGATGCCGGACTACACCGCAGCACTACTTCCCCTGGATCTTTTAGGTACATCACAGAAGAAGAGATGGAAAGCAGACGGCGGTGCTCAGCGTGGTATCACGATTGTCGCGGCCAACTCTGTACTTGCTGTGCACGGCCACAGAGCAGACACGATCCAAGCAACAGCGGTTAGCTTCAATAACATCATGGCTAATGGCGACTGGCGATCTGTTCTGGCGCTCACCAAATCACTGTATGAAATGGATGGGTCCCACGTAGACTATCCAGCAGACTACCGGTTGCTGAGCGCACTTCTCTGCTCCTCCTCCGTGCTCAAGATGGACAAAGACTCGGAGGCAAGGGCCCAGCTCAAGGCCGAATTTGCAGACTGGATGATCAACAAGCTGCGGGCCATTGAGGAGAAGTCGAGATGGGATCCCACAGCCGCCGTGCTGCTGGCAAAGAAAGAACTGGATGAGATGAACGATTATCTCAAGGAGAACATGAGCAACCCGAACGCCCCGAGACTGGGAAGTGGACTGCCCATGCCCAACTTGACCACCTCAAGTGAGTTTCGCAAGATGATGTTCTCCGGACCGCAAACGGAGACAATCAGCTCACGAGACGCTGTGGCCCTCGTTGACGCGACAAAATCGGCAATAACCCAGCTCTGGGAGCTGAACCAGGACGGCTTCTTCCCCTCCCCATCACAGATCCGTGAGACGCTGAGGGTGTTCCAGCCAGCAGGCGTAGTCGCGCCCAACGCGAACGCCGATGAGCGACAGCAGGAGCGGCAAAGAATCCAAGACAGGGCCAAGAAGTTCGAGCTCGCGATAGGCTCCCACCTGGAGGCACGCGTGCTTTTCCGGAGCGCGAGCGGATATCTGGGACTCGCGCCGCAGAGTGCCGAGGCAGGTAGAGACGAGGTCTGGGTGCTGGCCGGGCTGCCTGTCCCCATTGTGCTGCGGCCATGGTACGGCGCTGCGGGCGATAATGCGTACCAGGTGGTTGGCCATTGCTATCTCCCAAACCGCATGATAGCGGACGCGGCGAAGCAACCACCGGATTATTTCCAGCCGCTACATCTCGTGTAGTCTTCAAGATTGTTTTCTCTCCAGTGGTGTGAAATTGGGCAAGAGCGCAGATGTTTAGTCAGCACAGGCCGTCAGGTACGGAAGATCAAATGCATCACCAACTTCTTCCATGAATAATGGCACACCGATTTCACGGCGCTTGGCACCGCAGCAACATGTCTCGTGCGCCCACCATATTCAACTGTCTGATCCGTACCCACCACATAACCTCGCGCAAGAAGCTACAGCATGTCCGTCGTGCGGCGAGCCAGCTCAATGTCGACTGGCTGCTTGTTCGCAGTGGCGGGTGTCCAGGCATCATGTTCGCCGAATCGCGTGACGCTGCTGGTCTGGAGGAATGGTTAGCCACCGTCCACGCGCTACGGTACAAGGATTTCCGCTGTGTCGCGAAACCTGCACCGTCATGTGGGAGCGCTGTCGAGGATGAGGATACCAAAAAGAAGCGACAGGGAGCAGGCCGGCCGTCTGCTAAGGCCGTGGCAGACGATTTACTAGCCACAGGGTTCTACGAGACAGAGTCTGTTGCAGATTTCGGCAAGGAATTGGAAAAACGAGGGCTCGCTTCATGGTGGAAGAAAGCAATGGGATATTCACCCGACAATTGAGGTGCGCGTGCAGTTCTGGAGGACCTTGTTCAGGTGGTGGATTACTGCACCTGCGGCTGGCTACAGGCTTACCCAGCACCAACTGTGCCCTGAACCACACCTGGAACTGCCGCTACGGACACCAGCTGACCCTGATCTGGGCACCAGAAGACGCAAAATGCAACCTTCAATGACCTGGAACCTGAGGACTCCCAATGAAGCTCAGTCATGAGTATTTTGGCATTGGCACGGCCACTGCAGATAGTCAATCTCATCCCTGACCACACACAAAGGCATGTATCGCAAGGTTCCCCAATCTGCCATAATCCAAGAGCGCAGCAAGGCCTAGAGAGATTACAAGGCATTGACCCTGTTCCCCAATGGCTATCTACACCGGAGTGAATAACACTTCATGACGACAGCGAACTAACATGTACGTCATGAGAGTTATATTCGCGATACAATATTTCCAGTCGCCTAGGAAGGGTTGAGAGTCATCGAAATATATGGTACTTCATCAAAGACGCGTTTGACCAAGTACATGGTTCAACCCCCCATTGCACAGCTTTTCATGGGCTCCCTAATGCTAGAGGCATTGTTTTCTCCTAACTGCCCATACCCCGAATAATATGGATAGTTGACGAGAAGAACCTACATAGCTAGGGTAGGCTTGAATGTCTGAAGTCCACTTAATCGAGCCACCCATTGAGGTAGATTTTGCTGGAGGGGTGATTCTTGGAGTTGAAGCTTCCGATTTAAAAGTTCGCATGAGACAAGAGAATGGTCAGACCCTGATCCGGCCGCTCTAGTTAGGCTGTTGAGAGCGAAATGATTGAAACATAGAAGTTATCACAGAGCGCAATTTGATGAAGCAAAGAAACTACGTCCAGGGGTTTCAAGATCAACTGGCGCCCCAGATTCTCGAGTGCGTCAAGTCGACGGTTGTATTATACTCAAGCCCAAACCACATATACAAAGAATTGTTTTACACATTTTAATTACAGTATTAAGCCAGGGAATACGGCGCAACTGCTTAGCTTACGTTTGTGTTGGATCGATCTGGCGAGTGGTGTGATCTTGCTGACTACCTACCCTTAGGTTGTTGCTCGAGGGCTGAACTTGAATGAAAGGAGACCTTGTGACCGACCAATTCTCCCAAATGGTATGCTTTTCTTCTCGGTGGCCTATGGTTAGTATCTCGACCAAATAATACGATCGTTCCCAAATCACAAAATTTCAAAGCACAGGTTTGACAACCTAGCTCCATCAATATGTCGAACTAGGCCAAAAGTTTGCAGTTGGAGACGAGTCTCTATTATAGTCTACTACGGTACGTAATGGGTTAAGATATGGACAGAGAGGATTAATCCAAACCCACTCAATGATGTAACGTGCCGAGCCGAGTTCCGTATTGTGTCTCACTAAACTTGTCTTTTAGAGACATGCATTATCAGTTGTGTGGAACACGGGCCAAGCTGACGGGGAGAGCGAAATTGGGAGCTCTTATCAGGCTGTCAGGGTACTTGGCTTACGGCTTCAAAGGGCATCAGGCCAGAAGTATCGTACCAGCAGATGCCTACTCTGTACTCTAGAGATAGCGCGCGGATGAGAACCCCGGGCCCCCATGCGCTCCCAGTCACATCGCGTCTCTTCCAAAGACCTCCCCGGGCTGGTCGATGATCAGACCTGGTACTGCGGCCCGACTGCGTGGTTTTTGGGCTGTCTCAGCTCTGAAGAGGCAAAGTGGCGAACGACCAGCCGTGGGAGGATGTGGAACGATAAGCTTTTAATTGGAAGGGAACATCGACTCCATCCGCTGGGGGCAATTCAAGGCCGTGGCATGACGACCAAGACAGCGGCCAGATCAATAGAAAATTTTTCGCCTTGGGCTTTTCCCCACTGACCTGCCGTTTCCATTCCTGTTCCATTTCTGTTCTTAATTTACTGATCGCCATCGTGCCTTTTCTCCCTTGGTCCCTTCGCTTTCCTCTTTCTTCTTTTCCCCCCTCCTACCACAACGGAAAATCATGGTTTGCTGACATCGCTAATCGAATCACCCATCGTCTTCTCCCTTCTCTCCCGCCGAGTCGGTCCTCTCTCCCTCACTGCTTGCTTCCGGAACGCATGCGGCTCCAAGGAGCCGTACCCCTCATCAGCGCACGCGACAGTGACCCATTCCCCTACAGCCGCTGCACCCACTCCCTGTAGCTCGCCTGCATCCCGCTGAGCCGCCCGCTAAAGCAGTCCGCGCCGCGCCACAGCCCGCTAAACATCACGCGTCATACTAGTTGACAGCTCCCCACCAACCAAGCAACCAATCAGCACGCAGCATCGTCTGTCGCGAGTTGGCCTCGCGTCGAAATTGATGGACGGTCACCCGACAACCTCCAATCTCTACGATGATGTGCTCCCAGGCACAAAACGAATATTCACGGATGAAAACGCAAGTACCTCCGATGAGTCCCTCCTCGAAAAGGATGGCGACGTCATCCTCGTCCCGCGCCCGACCAACTCCCCCAACGATCCCCTGAGATGGAGCCGCCCTCGCAAGGTCCTCCACTCCGTCATCGTCTGCTACATCGTCGCCCTGACCGCCGCCACCTCCAACATCGCCGGCGTTGCCTCCACCGGCGTCGAGGAGGAGTATGGGATCAGCTACGACTACTTCAATACCGGCGCAGGTGTCCTGTTCCTCGCCATTGGCTACTGGACCCTGCTGAGCTCCCCGCTCGTCCATCTGTACGGTCGTCGAATCGGATACATTCTGAGCGCGCTGCTCGGCTTCGGTGGGAACCTCTGGTTTGGATATCTGAGCAGTACCAATGACACCATCTGGTCGCAGCTCTTTGTCGGCGCCTCCGAGTCCGTTGCTGAGTCTGTTGTCCAGCTGTCCCTGCTTGACATTTGGTTCGAGCACCAGAACGGCACCTCGCTTGGCTTTTATACTCTGGCTACCTCCGTAGGCACGTACCTTGGCCCCCTGATCGCCGGTTACATTGCCCACGATGAGACAGTCGGCTGGCGTTGGATCGGTTACTTGGGTGCCATAATCTCGGCCGGTACCCTGGTTCTGACTTATTTCTGCTTGGAGGAGACCGCATTCGATCGCAATCGATACCTGAGGGCTGAGGAGCAACGCGCCAGCAACAACACGTTCGGTGTGAGCGCTCCTGAGACCAACGCCGAACCTGACGAGAAGACGACCGAGGCGAAGCAGGTCGCCCCTGTCGACGCCGCCGTTTCTCCTATTGCTACAAACACCGAGGGTGAAAAACCTGCCGTGAGCGAGAAGCCCCCTGTGGGCATCAGCGCGACGGACGTGGAGCGCGATAGCGATGGTCTGTCTGTTGGGTACACCGAGCGCAAGACATACTGGCAGCGCATCAGGCTGATCACACCAGCCCGCAACCTGCGCGGGACTGGCTTCATGCAATACCTCAACCGGCTCTGGCACACCCTGCGTGTCTTCACCTTCCCTGCCGTCTGGTACGCCGGTCTGCAGTGGGGTATGCAGAACATTGCCCTGTCCTTCTATCTCACCGTGGAGGAGGACACCTGGACCGACGAGCCGTGGTTCTACGACGACGCCGCCGTGGCCAACATGAACCTTGCTTGTATCATCGGCAGCGTCATTGGCTGTTTCTACGGTGGATACTGCAGCGACAAGTTCATGCTCTGGAGGAGCCGTCGCAACAGGGGTATCATGGAGGCCGAGTTCCGGCTGCACCTCATGACGCTCTGCATGGCCATCTTCCCGACTGGCATGTGGCTCTTCGGCATCGGCTCCGCCAACGGATGGAGCTGGCCCGTGCCGTACGTGGGTCTGGGCTTCATTGGCTTTGGCTATGGGTGCGCGGGAGACTTGAGCATCACGTACCTGGCCGACTGCTACCCGGACATGGTTCTCGAGGGCATGGTGGGGGTCGCGGTCATCAACAACACGCTCGCCATGATCTTCACCTTTGTCGCCAGCTACTGGCTGGATACTGGTATCCAACAGTGTTTCATCGCTCTTGGTGTGCTGAGCTTTGTCATTCTTGGTCTCTCACTTCCCATGATGTGGTGGGGGAAGCGCTTCAGGTCCTGGACCAAGACCAGGTACCTCAACTATCTCCAGATCCGTGATGGGCTGGATGATTAAGGAAGAAGCTGCGGGGGCTTGAGAAAGAGATGGAGAAGGGGGGTGAGACAGGATGGGTGGGTGTGAAGACGTGGCCTATGGCGTTGTAGAGGGGACGGGGAAGAGGAAGAGGACCACCGCTTCGAGAGAAGAGTTAATTTATTATCATTCTTGCCTGTGCTTCCGAAGAGGCACCTAGTAATACGACTCGTAATCAATATCTAGGCTTTTTAGGCTTTGAACTTCAAAGAAAACCAATTATCATCTTGGAAGCATACAAGTCACAACACCTTCCTCGCTCGTCATGTCTGATCCACGGGCCAATCCCTACATCGTTTTGCACTTAATGAAGATATACTTTTCCCATTAACCATTATATTAAATTTCTTAATATACTAATAACAACCTTAACCTAGCCTTACCAGAGAGCACCCTAGATACGGCCCCCTAGAGGAAACTACGAGGAGTACCTCAGAAGAGGTGGAAGAAGGCCACGGCAGCACCGGCGGCAGCCAAGAAGCTGGAGACGGCAGCAGCATTACCCTGCGAGATGTTAGTACAAAAGATTACACATGTCGACTCCCAACAGAGTTTGATAACTTACCATGCTGACAGGGATAACAGGGACGGTGGTCTTAGCACTACCAGCGGCAGTGGAGGATCCGGCAGCCTGGTTGCCAGCGGAGGTGGTGGCAGGCTTGTTGGTGACCGTGACGACGCTGGAGTCGGAGCCCTGCTGGGCGGAGGTGACGGGGTAGATGGTGGTGTAGGCCGGGGCGGTCTCGGTGGTGACCTTGCCGACGGAGCAGTCGGTCACGGAGGCAGGGCAGGCGGTGACGGTGCGGACGCTGGTGGTGTAGACGGTGGAGATGGCGTAATTCTCGGAGGCCGGGCAGACCGTGGTGGTGACGGGGACGACGACGGTGGTGACCTGGCCGACGGGGCAGTTGGTCACGGTGGGAGCGCAGGAGGTGACAGTCTGGACTTGGGTGTCGTAGATGGTCTTGGTGGTCAGGTCGGAACCGGCCTGGGTGGTGGACGCGGCAGCCTTGGTCGTGGTCGACTGAGGGGTGACGCTGGCAGGGGTGGTGCTGGAACCACCCTGGGATGGGTTGGAAGATGGAGTAGCGGAGGAAGAAGCAGCTCCAGAGGCTGAGGCGGATCGGGAAGCAGAAGCAGAGCCCGAAACGGAGGCTGAGGAAGAAGCAGATGTGGAAGCCGATGCAGAGGCAGAGGCGGATCCAGAGGCGGAAGCAGATCCAGATGAAGCAGCAGCAGAGGATGACTGAACGGCAGAGCTAGCAGCGCTAGTTGAGCCGGGCAGCTGAGTAGAGGAGGTAGACTGGACGACGTTGCTGCTGGAGACAACAGCTGAGGTACTCTGGACAGCACTGCTGCTGGAGACGACAGCGGAGGTGGTCTGGACAACACTGGTGCTAGAGGAGATAACAACAGAGGTGGTCTAAGTCATACCTGGTTAGCACACAACCGGGTCAGAGTCCTAAGTGAAGAGCTTCCATACCGAGGGAGTTGCAGGTGGTACGGTGATGGTGTAGCCAAGCTCTGGGAGCAGATATTAGTCAACTACCTTCCTTCAGGCCAGGGAATACCACATACCAGAGCACAGATCAACACCAAACTGGATGGCTTCTCCCGCGGAAGCGTCATTAGCGCAGGTGGAACGAGCGCATGAAATGAAGAAGCCCTGCATGTCGGGTAGGGCGCAGAAGCAGTAATACATGTCGGGCAAGGTGCAAGTCAGGGGAGGGTGCTCAGTGAGGACGCTTGAGAAACAGTTGACCTGCACGAGTAACAACCCCGGTTAGTATGATAACTCAATTTCGACAGTCTGACACGCCTCGCTGCCAGTGATGGACAGATTTCGAGTTGGTTGGTCTGAGGTGAGCAAGGGGCATCATACAGCACATGCCGGGATGGCAGTAGCCACGGAGGCGAGCGAGAGAATGCCGGCAGCGGCCAGCTGGATGGAGGTGAAGGTCTTCATGGTATTAGTTGCTGCTTGAACTTTCGAACGAAAAACAGGTGAAGCGAGTGGTGAGTTTAGGGGATGAAGGACAGCCGAGGTCGACTAGGGCGAGGGCAAGCCTCTCTTTTTAAGAACAAGACAGTCCATGTCCCCTCCTCCCACTTCCCTCTTTCTTCCCGCCTAGGTAATACCTCATCATTCTCCGTATGCAGCATGACTACTAGTGCAATGGCTATTACTGATGCCCAAAACTGGACTTCACGGAACCTTGGCCCTGGCGATGACCTTAATTAGCTCCACAAGGCAGCTGAGAGTCTAGTGTGCGTGATATTCCAGCACGCTATGCTTGATCGGTTCCGCCACGCACAAAAGAAACCGGGATAGTGGAGTTATCAGATGATCTGATAATCTGATAGTACAGTTAGTTTATCTGATCCGAGGCCGGCCGGCCGTCGCCGAGCCAGTGACCCAGCTGAATAGCCCTGGATGCCCAGCCGGATGTGGCTCGCGTGGGAAATTGGATTGGCCTCTTCTGTTGGTTCCCCATCTCTTGGTGCGAAGATTTTTCCCTGCCCGGGTCCCCATTGGCATCCGATCCAGGGTCGCATCGCCCAATAATTCCAAGGTACCTTACATTTTACGAGCATCAGAGCACATGAGCTGAGCTTGGCACGCAGGTTCCTACATTACCTCTTGCATGAACCACATCCACAGCTTCCGGCCGGGATGAAGTCCTGGGGCCCTTCTCGTTTGTACAAGCATTGTCCAGCTCTATGTTGGGTAAACATCTGATGACTAGGTAGCTTCTACTGCCATTCATCAACTGAAAGGAAGAGTTTGACTCCGGATCGACGAGATCATGACCCCTGCAAGATCAGATAAGATCAAGCACCCTAGTCATCGTATGAGGTGGCGAACGGTGCCGCTAATAACGGTCTCGACCGGTCAATCGATAGTGCCCCAAGGTTCCAGTCCTCAGAAGGGAAGTCGTGTCAGTTGCCAACAGAGGACAAACGATATTCCGCCGCAAGCGAAGGCCATGGGCCAGTGGAGCATGCACCATCCCTTTTCAAGTTCAACATGCTTTGCTCATCCAGGGGTGGGTTAAGCTTGATGCAGGTACGGGAAGCACGCGGTGTCCCGATTGAACGAGGGTCGGTACGTGTGGAACGTGACAACGATGAGCTTGCATAAAAAGGCAAAGTCTATCAATCGCGCCGTACGCGAGCTAGCTTAGCACCTCCCACTAGTAATCGAGGAACAGGTGAGTGAGGTTGATCTCGTTGTCAGCTCTTGACACATACTTGGTTACCTGTAGCCAAGACTGGCATGTGTTATTGAATGGGCTGAGAAGGAGCGGGTCTTGTTGCCGATTACCGGAGAAAGACCCTTGGTAAGCCAAAAACTAGCTCACTTATGCTTATGCTACTTGGCACGTGAAGGAATAGAGAAGTACTAACCCCTAAGGGGCTCCTACATACAGGCTGCTCGACTCGAAAAGCCGTGCAAGCCTGCTGTCTGAATGTCCAAAGTCAAACATCCATTCGATCCGAGAACCCAAAATGATTCCATATGCTGGAGCCGGAAACGACGGCTATTGGCTACCAGCTGCACACACCGACTGGTTCCCCCCTGAGGTGTGGATGGCTTCACCGTCTTTGTCGTCGACACCGCGTGTGCGAGGCGGTCTAGGGTAGCGCCGGGATAATGTCACGTTTCCAAGGAACGATGCATGAACATCAAGCAGCGGCCGGAATCGTGATTACAACAATTACGGGGCACCCCCAATGCAGCGTATGATATTCCTTTCTGACATGAGGACTTTGTGCTGACATGGGCATCATGACAGGACAGAGACATGGCGACACACCTCCTGCAAAACACACATCGGTGCTTTGATGTTCCGAGCCCGATGGCCTTCAGTCAGGTCCTTCACCGTAATATTGCAATTGGGCTCGTCGTCCCTCGCTCCCCCCTCATCATCCCATCTTCAAACTTGGGTCGCATTGTTCCTGATCATCAAGCGCCCACATGGCCGCCAGTAGCCCAGTCCATGCCTGCTTCCGTGCCCAGTGCGGCATTTGCGGCAGGGCGCTGGTCGCTGATGATCGCTTTATACCGTGTGAGCCAACTCCCATCCCAGACCGCCGGAATTACCCACTCTGAACTACAACTCAATGACTGACTCTCCTTCTCAATCACGCAGTGATAGGGTGCGAGCTCTCACCTGAATCTCCCCCGTGTCTGGAGGGCGCAGAGTTTCCCCAGGGCAACGGGGTTGCTTTTGATTATCACGGCAGGACGCTGTGCTGGCGCCACAAGTGTCAGCAATGCAAGCACGCCAGCAGAGCAGTCGGTGTCCACTCCGACTGCTTCGCATTGTTTCAGCAAGAGTGTGTTCTTGAAGATGCGCTTGATCGTCTTTGGGTAGCGGTCCTATCACGAAGTCCGTGGTGGTTCGCCCTGAATGCTCGTGTTGATCGGAGAGCCGATTGCCCGCTGGAGCTTATACATGAAAAGGCGGACAAGTTCGGACTTTCCGCCTGGAGGCTTCTGCCGCCGGAGCTGACACATATGATACAAGACAGCTCTGAGTCAGCTTTGTTTTGGCTCTACCTCTCTGCTCTGAGTTTTATTAGAGATCTTCCTGGAGAAGATTCGTCCGATGGCTCGTCCCATATTTCGGTGCCTCTCAGTAACGTATTGGCATGGACGAGAGGAAGCGCCCCAATTATTACCCTAGAGGAAGAAGGGCCACCCATTGTACGTCTTACCAGTGATTGTAGAGGTCTGAAACGGGTAGAAAGGCTCGACAACATGCCAACCTACCAAGACTGGCGCTCAGACACAATGGAATTTGCCATCCAGGACCTGGGCCTTGTCAAAAGTGTCATTGCGGAGTTCAAGGTTAGCCTCCCCCCAGTCCCAAATTGCGCTTTTTGTTTTTGTTTCTAAGACTTTGGCTATAGTACAACATCCTGCGCCTAGAAACGTCGGACATCAACCATGGGTTCCATATATGGGACATGCCTGACCCACCCCTGTTAGAAGACTGCAAGTTCTGTGGGCATATTGGACACTCCATGCGGTTCTCGACAATCGATTTGCACGTAGTCACAGGTCTCACCTTTTTCTTCTCCCACAATAAGGTATACGCAGTACATCCGCACACGCCATCTTATCCAGATGCAACGAAAACTTTTGACCGGTTCTCGCCGCAACGCCAGGCAAGTGTCGCTTGGGTGTATCTTCCATTGCCCAGAGGGGAGGAGATCATCTCATTTGGTATACGCCTGAAAACCGTGGATGGGAGGACCGTGTCACAGATGCCTTGCTTTATGGTAAACACATTTATAGCCTCTATATCGGCATGTTAAAGCTCACCCAGCTAACCGTTTATAGTTCCACACCAAGCTGGCGGGAGAAGTCATTCTCGGACCACTGCCCGCTAGAAATAGATATCAGGATGTTGTTCTCGCGCCATCATACCCGAAGTTGCTAATACACAACATCACTGAGTTTGGTCCCATCACGGTTTTTGGCGCATTTGCCCCAGAAAGAGATGACTCCATGTCAGTTCCTGATTTTTCGGACTCTCCGCCTTCCAATGTTCCAAGTCGCCCGGCACTTTTCTCTTCTGCTTCACTCCAATCTGTCACATGCATTGAAGTCTTCGAAAGCATACAGACAGGCGCGAGCTCGGGCATCTTATTTCATTACGAGAACGGGGCACAGCGTGCCGTGGGGAATTGTCGAACCGGCCTTGACAGTGTCCAGACTTACATCAAACCTTCGCGCCTATGCTGGCAATCTACATCGGAGCGGCCACATTCAATGCGTGTCATCTATAAGTTCGAGAGCGGGGATTGTTCTACACATCAGCACAATGATGATAATTGGGTATGTATGGCTCTCGAAGGAACAATGGAGTTCTGGTTTTCCCAGGAGGATTCTTCGATTCTCATCCACCACCCATGAGCGGTGGTCTCATCATCTTGTAGCGTATCTGCGTCCATCTTTTCGGGAAGAGGTATGCATGGGGATGCTCTTTGAATCATCAATGAGCTAGGGGATGGAAAATTGCCTTGGTTTTTATTGTTACAGGCTTACACCGGATTACAGAATGATAAAGTGTTGGTAAGATCTGAGCCATTTCTTTTTCTTTTGCTCTAAATACCAATATAAATTTCCCCATGACGGATATTTAATCCTTTTAGTTTAAAATTGCTATCTCAAAAGAAACCAAAACCAAAACGTGAACTGAACTTGTTTCCCAAACCGGCCATACTCGGTTTACGACTTCGCCACATCCCGAAATTCTTTGATGGCGCCATTCTCCAATACCATGACCCGGTCGAAATTCTGTAGTGTGTGCTCCTTGTGCGTGACTTCTAGAATTGTGTACCCTTCAAATTCCTGGTGTAAAATTTCGTGGATCAGCGAGTCTGTGACGCTGTCGACACTTGCCGACACCTCATCTAGAAGCACAACACCACCCAGTCTCGTCGCACCAGTATCATGAGCACCTTGCGTGGAGAGCAGTCGGGCCCTAACGCGTGCACGAAGCACGGCTCTCGCGATACCAAACAGTTGTTTTTGGCCTTGGCTAAGGAAGTCTGCCTTCATGGGCTCCTCCAACCCTCCATGCCCGAGAATCAAAGTCCACAGCCCGACTTGCTTCAACGCTGACTCGCATTCGTCAAGAGAGGCGACCGCGTATGGGTCCAGGTTGACATGCCAGGAGGTTCCTTCGGGAAGCAAGAAGGTATCTTGCGGTATTGCAATGATTCTGGAGCGCACAGTATCACGATCTACTTTGCTCAGAAGTACCCCGTCAATTGTAATTGTCTGATTGTCGGAGGGCAGAGGGTCAAGCAGGCGTAGAAGAAGGAGTACAATCGACGACTTGCCACTTTTTCTAGGGTCAGTGCGTTATTTGGATTATTGAATTATATTGCAAGCACTCACCTTCCTGTGCGTCCAACCACTGCGATTTTCTCCCCGGCCCTGATGGTGAAGTTGAGCTCCTTGACAGCAAGAGCCTGGTTTCTGGTGATCGACGGATAAGGTTGATCGCTGAAGGTATTTCTCGAATGTTGCATATACTGGTATGAAGCGAAAACATCTCTCATCTTAATTTCTCCGTACCGTGGCCAGTCTTTAGACGGCATCTCAGCCGCGTCGCCCTGGCTTTCGTTCTTTACCGTCTCGCAAAAGGTTTCCATTCTGCTCACTGCACCCATGCCTAGTTCTAGTTGCGTCCAATTGTTCACTGTATTTGAGAGGAGAGTACCGAAACTCATTAATAGAACTAGGGATGCCCCAGCAAGACCAACATCTGCACGAAAGGCTGTGACCAGAGCCACAACTAGAACTGCCAGAACGGCAACCATCAGTGCAAGATTGACAGCTAGCCAACTCTGGATAAGAGCCAGGAGGTATGCAGGGCGTTGAGAATTGTCCACGAGGGTGTGGTTGGTGGCTGCGAGGGCATTATTCCAGCCGAAAGCCCGGATGGTTGAAAGTCCAGAAAGCGTTTCCAGCAAATGGGTGCTGGATGTTTGTCAGCTTTAGCCGGTGATTGAGGGTAAATCTCAAACTTACAATATTGGACTCTTGGTCTCAAGATCTAGGAAGCGAAGCTGCCTTGAGGTTTTCAAATATATCTTTTGAAGTAGATAAAGCAACACGCCCAAGAAGGGGTATGACAATGCCACGTATGGGGACGCTGTGGCAATGATGATGGCCATAGCAAAAGATATCTCAATACATATGACAAGATCTGAAAGGTATTCTTTGATCTCAGTATCTATGATATTGAGATCTTGTGCAAACCTGTTGAGCAATATACCAGATGGCGTCATGCTAAATAGACTTAAAGGCGCAGCCATCAGCGTGTTGATAGCTCGCAAGTGAAAGAGATGGCCAGAGTTCTTGATCAACTGGATGCATGTTACAGCGGTAAATCCGCCCATGCAAGCCAGACAAGATATCTGAATCAGAGCATAAGTGCCCAGGTAAAACCCATATTGTGATTTATCACCAGGGTGCTTAGTATTGTAGTCTGACCAGAACTTTAGCCAAATGGTTCCAAATTGGTCACAGAAACTGTACGCCAGGGTCAAGAGAAAGAAGAGACATAGCAACACTGGACCAAGAGTGGATAGATAACGCTTGTACACGGCGAAATCCCCAATGTGCCTTTGGCGATTATCGATTTCAAACTCCGGTGTGGAATCTGGCTGTGCGACATGTAAATCGTCAGATTCTTGAGAGTCGGAGCCGCCAGGCTCATCCCTGGCGTTCTGAGTCTCAACTATGTCCAGAGAGTGCGTATATTCCTGGTTTTCTTTAAGCTCCTGGTACGTTCCTTGATCTTTAACCTTGCCATCGGCTCCCAAGGCAATGATTAGATCGGCCCAGGCCAGGTGCTTAGTTGAATGACTGCAGAGGACAACAGTGGCTCTCAATCTGCAAATCAAGCCATTGGATCCAAACAAATTTGAGAAGACTGAATCCTCGGTCTTCTTGTCTAGCGCGCTGAAAATATCATCAAAAACGAACACCGATGGTCTGACATAAAGTGCACGCGCGATAGCAACTCTCTGACGCTGCCCTCCACTCAAATTGCACCCGTTCGAACCAGTCATAGATTGGTCCCCTTGGGAAAAAGTGGCGATATCTTGACTTAGAGCCGTGGCTTCAAGAACCTCCTTATACCAGACTTCGTCGTACTGACCGTGACCTACGATGACGTCTCGCAGCCTCGCGTTCGGTATGTACGGGGACTGGTCGCAAAATCCGATTGCCGAGAGTCTTGGGGTAAAGTAAACGTGTCCTTTGACGTAAGGAACCTCTCCGAGAAGAGCCTTGCAGAATGTAGACTTGCCAGAGGCTACTGGTCCAACAACCATAGTGACTTTTGATTGGGGAATTGACAGGTTGATTTGGCGCAAGACGAAGTTGTTGTCTCTCCACCCGAAATAGCCATCCTTGATAGAAAAAGCTGGAGTTGTGTTTGAAGACGCCGTTGTATGTTCGTTATTTAGTGCGTCATTCTCTCTTGGGCGCGCAGAATTGGACCCATTTGGTACCTCTGATGGCACAAAGGATCTCAGCCGGTAATCTGAACGGGATTCGGCCTCCAAGTATGAAGCAACCCTATCGAAGCAGGCTGTTGCCGAAACCAAAGCTGGGAGAAGCTGAAACAACTTGCCCAGGGGTATCGTGAGCAGTCTGATGAAGGCCAGTGAAGTAAATGCTCTTGTGGTGTCAAAGTCTCTGCTGGTTGCTGCGAATGTCAGGAGAGGGGAAAGGATCATGGGAGCATATGAACAAGTTACTGAATAAATGATTGTCATGCGGAAACTTGAGCCCGCATCAATCTCAGCATCCCTCATGGTCTGAACAAAGTCGCCCAGCTGTTTATTCACTCCCATAATCTTGATGCTTTTCATATTCTCAATAAGAGTCGCTGTGATCCCAATTCGCTTTTCGGTGGCGTCCACCCATGCTCTCTGGAGTCGAGGAGCTGTTTTCCCAATGCCCACTGTGATGAGGAAGCATATGCTAGCTACCGCGATCGGGACAAGGAACGCAAGGCCTACTTGAAGGTACAGCAAGCAAGCGACTATGAAGAACTCGATTATGCTGGCCTGCGCGTCTGTCAATTATATGTGCGCAAGTGGGATATACATCAAACCTACCCAAATGTCATGAAATCCGTGGGCACCCTGCTGAATTCGTTCCACATCAGCACTCACCAAAGTCAGAGACGCCTTACTATCATCCGACGACAACCTCAGCTCTGTCGTCTTTCTGTAAATTCCGACGACCAGGAGGCCACGAAGGAAGCTGCTTGCCCTCTGGTTGTAATATTGGTACAGTCCCAGAGAGCCTGCCGAGCCCAGGTAGATCACTGCAGTTGCTCCGACGAGTGCTCTACCTTCTGGTGCCCACTCGGACGTCTTGGGGTTGGACAGGAAGTGCCCGACAGCCTGGATCAGAAAAGGTTGGCAAAGGCCAAAACCAAGCTTTGCAAGTCGTGGTATCACGGGCGCGAGCAGCTCCCACTTCATCGCCCTCCAAAGGGCAACAAGCAATCGGGTCTTCCCTTTCCAATTACTCGATGTATTCCAAGATACCCAGAACTTGGGATCCAGCTCTTTGGATGTCATTGGTGGATCCAAATTATATAAATCAGAGACCCCAAGGAGCTTTCGGGACCCAAGTAGAATGAGGGGGTTCAGCCAACAATAGGTCATAATGCTGAATATCCCAAGAGTCGGCTCTGGGCTGGGATGTTTTGGCCCAGATGCCCAGGTCTTGGGATAGCTCTCGAGCAACAGAGCAAGTGCTTTAACGCATGTTGCGGTGGAGAATATGTACCCGATGCCCCATGACGATGGTGATATGGTTAAGAGAGTTCTGGACTGAGCTCCATTGAGGAGAAATGTGAGGAAGAGGAAAATGGTCAAGGTGAATGAAGGCCGCAGGCATCGTGAGTGCGTCAGCCATGACAAAATGAGAGCTGTGAGAGCGGCAAGGAGGGCACATGCTGCAGCTGTTATTTCGATATTATGAAGACGCGCACTGTTATAGCCGATGACAGTTTTTTTACTCAAATTATATAGAATAGCTAGGCGAAGGAGTGAATGCGCAAGGTGGACTGCCTGTCAAATGATGAGAAATGCCACAATACGGAACTCAGGCCTATATGTCTTACAGATTTGATCCTTTGAAGTAGTTTTCCATTTGCGATCTGCTCGGCACGGCATAATCGTGTAATTTTGTAAGAGGAAGCAAAGATGAATATTGCACATGGGACAATGGTGAAAAAAAGGTGTTCAAACAGGAGGGTGAAATCAAAGTCATCGCGACACCCATGAACTATCGGCCCAAAGGTGTCGTCTGAGGGGCACGTGTGAGTCTGCCACGGAGCCATGCTAATGTTTACGGCCAGGGGTATGGCAGAGATAGCACAGTGATAGGCAAAGAAGATGGTGGTTATGGTCTCGATTCCACGAGCCACAGCAGGTCACGACGGGATCAATATAAGGTCGCTCCTCGTGATGTACCAGTTAAATGGGTCGTGGAAAGTACAGAAAGTCTTTTGCAAAAGTCCCCAGGTAGTACTCGTAGTTTGATGACTGCATGGCGAAGGTGCTTCGCAGATGGCAGAGCAGGTAAAATGGTACCACGTACAGGGGTTGATATCATCCTACCACAACAAGCAGGAAGCTCAGGGGAACCCACCAGTGTGCTGAAAAGAGGCTTCCCCTGATAGTTTAGGAGGAGGAGACCTGAATACATATTGGCCTACGCCATGGTGTTATTGTCAACGTATCGACGCATTGTATATATGCAGCCAAAACAATGTTCCTGGGTCAAATATAGGGTAGTTGCAAGCGAGGGAGGTTATGCAGATAATGCCTGGTTTATACACTGTCAGCAGCGCTTACATAAAATAGCGGGGTGTTGCAAAGATAGCGGTTATCTAATCGCTTTCGGCAAAATATCGGGCATAAAATGCTGGGCCTGATGGTTAGCGAGTTTCAGAGCATGTGACGCTGTCCAATAGCGTTGCCCGTGGCGAGCAGACCCTGGAGCACAGTGCTGTGGAAAGGCGCTAAGGGGGACCGCTCGGTTGTCCAGGCAACGCTGCACACAACAGTGACGTTTGTTGTTTTCGACCCTTGTCGATGCCGCTAACAGCATCTACTGGAGAAAAATCAAAGCACGGCAGAGGAAGGGGGCTGCAGGCATTAACTCTCCAGCTCGCCGTCGTCGTTAATTAGTCGAGCTAGCTTCCCGTCTCCTCAATTGCATTTGCATTGTGCATTCGTCCATCCTCCTGCCGGCAACAGAGTAAGTATCAACAAACCAGCTCAGGACGCGTTGCACGGCTGCTCTCTCTTTCTCTCCTTGGTCCCTTTAGTCACTCACTTTTGTTTGTTGTCTTTTGGGCTTTGTTTTTGAGCATCTATTCTGCCGTTTCTGCGCTGCACGAGCATTATTTTCCTGCTTGTTTATTGCATCCCCATCACGAAGTCGACCTTGACCAACACCAGACAGGCACATCACCGCCCTTTGCCAACAGTCTGCTGTCTCTCGCCCAGTTTCGCAATCCAGGCACGCAAGTCGACCGGCACTACCAGAAGCTCCATCGATCCTCACCTCGCTGTGGGCGGTGGACAAACAACCACAAGCGCCTCGAGACCGATACGACCACATTTTCACACTGCCAAACATGGCGCAAGCTGGCGGACAGTCCTCCATCACAGTAGCGGGTATGTTGGCACCTTTTGCCTCGGCGGACAGGGCGATATCTCGTCCAGGACATGGAGGTAGCAAGAGTGAGGGCCAAAGCTAACCAGAATCCAGTGCGAGTACGGCCGTTTACCATCCGTGAAGCTGCACAAATGTAAGACTTTTCCGCCCACACTCGCCCCCAAGACAAGCTTCGGCGACTTCGAGTGCTTGATTACCATGGCAAAGCTAATCTCAACTCCATCTCGACAGCCAAAAAAACGACGATGGCACAGTTTTCCTGGGAGACGGTTCCCTCGCTGGCGCCCCAGCACCCAAACTGCACCAGCGCGGCCTGCGCAATGTCATCAAGGTCGTAGACGACCGGTGCCTGTAAGCTCATCGCCCCTTGGTGACACTTCGTCGAATCAAGCCACCGAGTGCTGACAGAGACCACGTCTACAGAGTATTCGATCCTCCCGAAGACAACCCCGTGCAGAAATTCTCCCGATCCGTCGTGCCCACATCCAAGAAGGTCAAGGACCAGGTCTTTGCCTTTGATCGCGTGTTTGACGACAACACAAGCCAGTCAGACGTCTACGAGGGCACAACACGAAACCTGCTCGACAGCGTGCTCGACGGCTACAATGCCACCGTCTTCGCCTACGGTGCGACCGGATGCGGGAAGACGCACACCATCACAGGCACATCCCAACATCCGGGCATCATCTTCCTGACCATGCAGGAGTTGTTCGAGAAGATTGACGAGCGCAGCCAGGAGAAGACGACGGAGCTTAGTCTGAGCTACCTGGAAATCTACAACGAAACGATCCGAGATCTGCTGGTGCCTGGAGGTAGCAAGGCCGGTCTGATGCTGCGCGAGGACAGCAACCAAGCCGTCACAGTCTCCGGCCTGACAAGCCACCATCCCAAAAACGTCCAAGAGGTCATGGATTTGATTGTTCAGGGCAGTGAATACCGCACAGTGTCACCCACAGAGGCCAATGCCACTTCCTCGCGATCGCACGCTGTGCTCCAGATCAACGTGGCCCAGAAGGACAGGAACGCAGACGTCAACGAGCCACACACCATGGCAACTCTCAGCATCATCGATTTGGCAGGGTCTGAGAGAGCTTCTGTGACCAAGAACCGTGGCGAGCGCCTTACCGAGGGTGCCAACATCAACAAGTCTCTGTTGGCTCTGGGCGGCTGCATCAACGCCCTCTGCGATCGTCGCCTCAAGACTCATGTGCCGTACCGCAACAGCAAGCTCACCCGCCTGTTGAAATTCTCGCTCGGAGGAAACTGCAAGACGGTCATGATTGTGTGCGTGTCACCTTCGAGCGCCCACTACGACGAGACCCAGAATACTCTACGATATGCCAACCGAGCCAAGAACATCCAGACCAAGGTCACTCGCAACGTATTTAATGTCAACCGTCACGTCAAGGACTTCTTGGTCAAGATCGATGAACAGATGGCGCTCATCAACGAGTTGCGAGCACAGCAGAAGGATGCCGAGGCCCTCTTCTTCGCCAAATTCAAGAAGCAGTGCGACAAGCGCCAGGGCTTGGCTCGCGAGGGCATGCAGCGTCTTCGCCAGGCCTATGACCATTCAGCAGGGGATCGTCAGGAGCGCATCAACTGCATGAGGAAGCTGAGGGCCTTTGAGCGACGTATCAGTCTCTTGTCAGGTTGGATCGGGGCATTCGACACCGTCTGTGACCAGCACACCGGCGGCGATGAGGAGGCGATGCCACCCAATCTCGTGGCAATCCGGAAGACGGCCAGTGGTATTCTCCTTGAGCTTGAGAATAGCCGCCAGCATCTCCATCAGAAACTGGAGAAGCCAACCTGGGAACGGGCTATCGACACAGCGCTTGTGCACAGCCTCAAGCAGCTCGAGAGTACTGATGGTGCTGATACCGGCGAGGTCGCCAATCTCGAACGGGAAGCTGAGCTTCTCAAGATGAACTTCAACCGGGAGAGCTACAGAGAGGTGCTTGAGGGGGAAAGGGGAGGCGACGCTGCCATGATGCAGCTTCTCTTGACGGCCCAGTTTGAGATGCTGACCTCGCTCTCCGAGACCCTCGATATGGACGAGGAGTCGGCTGTGGCTCATGCCAGAGGGCTCATCCATTCGCTCCTTCAGACCGGGTTCAATGCCGCGTCGCAGATAGTCAAGCCTGACGGACCCTTGCCCGTAGTAGATGCTCTCCCCCCGATGCGCAAGGGCACTCCGCGAAAGAAGAGGGCTCCTGGTTCGGTCGTGAAGCCGATTGTTTTCCCTAGCATGATGCAAACTGAGGTCACAACGATGAGCCCAATGAAAGCATCTCCGAAAAGACGCAAGGCGGCAAACCCCGCAAAGAAGGGAGTTTGTTTCTCCCCTGTGAAGAAGGCCGTCATGAAGAAGGGAGGTGTCCGATGGCGCGACGACGAATCCGAGGATGGCACACTGGCCGACTTTGAGAAGACCCCTAAGAAATTCAGCTCTCCGCCGGAGAATCCAGTTGAGGCTGCCGATGTGGAGAGCACTCCTCCTCCGCCACCAAAGTTCACGATGCCCTCAATTGCGACTGAGCCAGCGCCAGCCGCGCCAGTCTTCCTGCAGCACGAACCTACGATCGACGAGGAGGATAGTACTTCAACAAGCTTGGACTTGCCGGAGATGACTAGCATCCCCGTTGCCAAGCCCAGTCGGTTCCAGGCCGGATTCCTCTCCAAGGCGTCTAGAAGATCCTTGGCGGTAGACGGCTCTCCTTCGCAACAGGCGCCCACAATGAGTCTCAATCTCGCGAGTCGTCACTCGATGTCTCCTTCAGACTCAGACAGGACGCCCCCTCCGCTGCGGTCGCTCGACGTCGCTAAAACCGGTAACCTTTCACCACGGCAGGGACAGCTGCCGATCGCCTCCTACAGACGCTTCTCGCCCAACTCTCAGCGCATTGCCCAGGTCATGGCCGATGAGAATAACCCGCCATCGCAGCAGTCTGGATCCGATTCGGAATCAGGCGCCATTGATGCTCGCAAGCTTAGGAGCGCATTGCACTCAGCCAACAAGGCGCGAAGGGTGAGTCTGATGACGGGCGCAGCGGCTTCTGGCGCACGGCGTGTATCGTCGATTGGTTCTCTGAGCGGTGAACGACCTCTAGGAGCAGCCCCCAGGCCTAGCATGCCTGCTTCCGGCAGCCTGGCGAGCAGCACCAACGGCATCTCGAGGCACCGACGGGGCAGCTCGGAGCGACGCAAGAGCCCACCTCTGACGTGCTCTCCCTCGGAGCTGTACGGCAAAGGCGAGAGGGCTCTTAGCGCCAGCCAGGCGAGACGCATGAACCTTGGTGGCAGCCTCCGAGTGGATAATGGGCGTTCTGGAAACGGCTCTGGCGAGACTCGGCGCGTGACTATTGGTCTCGCGTCGACGCCTGCCGGTGGGAACCGAAAGGCTGATGTCCGATCTAGCATCGCCTGGCGGTGAGTTTGGACAGGATCATCCCCATCTCCAATACTTAGCGGGGTAACGAGGGAGAAGCCTTGGCTGGGGGTGTGATGTGATATGAACCCCATCTCTTGGCTGTTGGAGGAGCATGAGCTTGATGAGGGGGCTACGCGATATCGCTACACAGATTGGGTAGCTGGGATTATCCTTTCTTCTTCTCTTTCTCTGTCTCTATTTTCCTCATTTTATATGTTTTT